GTACCCGGTATGACCGAGTACCCGGCCAAATAACGAAGTAACCGGGTAACCCGGTTTCACCGGGTACTAGTCAGTACCCGGCCGAGTAAACCGGGTACATTGACAAAACAAAAAAATAGAATTTTTTAAGTTTTATTTTTAATTTATAATATAAAATTCAAAAACAACATTAACTCTTAAAATAAACATATTAAAAAAATTAACATTGATTATAAAAAAAATTAAAAATCAACATGTAATACCAAATTAAAAAATAAGATAAATTATTTGCTTTCATTTAATAATTAATTTTTATTAATGAAACTTCCCCCTGACACTGACACATTATTTATTTAATATTCATAATTAAGCAGGGGGGCATTGTGGTGCAAAAAAATAAGTTTTTCTCCATTTTCTGGTAAAAGACGATTTCTTTTTGTATCAAACACATTCCCAGCTTCTGAAAATATTTTTTTGGAATAGACACTGGATGGTGGAGAGCACAAATATTTTTGATACATTTGGGACAGTTTAGGCATATTAGACATATTGCCATTTTGCTGTCTTCTTCGGATACCTCATAAAATTCCCACACCGCACTTCGCTCATGAACACTCATTGTCTAAATAATAATTAACATTTAACATCAAATACTTGCACTCGCAAGCGCACTACTGATTAATCTGATCCAATAAAGTTGGGTTATGTGCATTCGTTTCGGTGAATACCCGGTACCCGGTACCCGGCCTAGCCGTACCCGGTACCCGGTGTTTAAATTTTAGGCAAACCCGGTACCCGGCTTTTTTAAAAACCACTACTCGGTGCATCCCTACTTTGAACTATTTGAGAAAAACGAATTTTGACAAGTTTAGACTGATGGGAATAGCTGAATAACAACTTTAAGGCAAGTTCCATTTTTCAGGCATTGTGGGAATCCATTAGAAGAAAATAAGATAGTTCAAAGCACTCTAGATTGATCTTTATGATGATACATTTTCTGGTGACAAAACGTCAAAAGGTCAATTTGAGGATGCTCTCTGACTCAGAATTTTCTTATGATTCCAAATATGTAAAAATTATTAATATATAGGGCATTCCATTTAAAAATGAAAGTTGGATCATTTCCGGCGAAACCGGAAGTTTAAAAAATTCATTTTGTACTCTTAAAAGTGGAATTTTATATCCAATTAACCATGCAAAAGTTCATGTGTCTATCTTTATAAATAAAAAAGTTACAGATACAGTTACAGATACTTTCAATTGCAGACGCAAATGGACTTAAAGTTTTCAACAGTATTGCATCCTCCTTTTCCGTAAAGTTATTTGCACGTTTTCTCTTGTCCGACATCTATGAAGTCAAAATAATGATAGGTAGTAAACTACATTGTATAAAAACATGTTAATACTTACGTTTTATAAGATGAAAAAGTAGCGACAATTAAATTGGACCTTTTTATTTTGAAATTTAAACAATTAAAACTTAAAAAAGTTGTCACTTTGACGTTTAAATAACATACCAGTGCTACCAACAATCCTATGTTTAGGATTAACGAGGATTTAACTAAACCAGTGTTGCAATGGTTTTGTACAACGAATAACTGGAATAATCTAGAGTTATTTTTAATCGTAGTTTAATAAACACGTGAGTTAACTCGGAGTGGTACAACCCATTCTAAAAGATGCATATTGTTCTATCTATATATAATTGAGGTAGAAATTGTACAGTTTAAGCCTTAACGATAATTCAAATATAAAATATAACCAATTTATTGTTTTTTAAATATAAAGAACATTCACTGGGAATGTTCTTAGATGGTGCCTGGAAGTTTTAGAGGATCATTCTAGGAATATTCCCGAGGAATATTCTCTGGGAATGATGATGTTTGGAAGTTTTAGAGGATCATTCTAGGAATATTTCCAATGAATATTCCTAGAATGAATCGGATTATTCCTAGACGATAGGGAATATTCCTGGAATATTTTCGAACCTTCATTGCAGTCTGGGCGGTGTTACATTTCAAATAAAAAAGTTATTAACGTTTCAAGTTAGTAATTTGCCCTGAGTTTTCTCAGGTAATTTGTTAAAAAATGTTAAATAATTCTTTTAAACTATTTTTTAATTCCAAAAATTGCACCCCCATATTCTCAAACCTAATAAGAAACAAGTTATAGGCTATTTTTAATTTACGCGCATTTGTCAAATATTAACGAAAAAAATGAATAACTCGAAAACTATTCAATTTGGGTATGGGGCATGGTATTGTAATTTTGTTCAAAATTTTATGTATAAATTAAAAATGTAAAAATATATTGGGTGTTCTATTTGAAATAACAAAGTTGATGTCACTTCCGGTTAAACCGGAAGTAACATTTTGTTAAACATATTTTATAAAAATAGACTTAATTGGGTTATAAACGCTTTTAAAATTTTAAATCGATATCTTTTTCCGTTTCCCAGAAACTTCTAATGGACCTAGGTTGAGCTCGAATGTAAAACACCTATATATATGTTTGTCCAAACATATTTTTTTCAACTATTCTTTACTTTGATATTGATAATAAATCTATTTATTTAAAAAATATATACCTACCTATTAAGATATTATTAAACTTTACAAATATTAGCAAATTTTGGTGCAATCACATAACTACATTTACTTTATTTAGTAATCAAATAGGTTTTTGTACTAAACTTTTAAAAAATGTTTAATATACAGGGTGTTACTTATTTAAATTGGTGATTCTTGGGCTTATTATATAGGGTGCTGAATAGGGTGGGTCAAAAAAACCGACTATTTTTTTTTTACTTTGTACTCTGAAAAATCGGTTACTAGACACCTCTAGAGAATTCTCACCAAACATGAGCTCTTAATTTTGATAAGAAGGTCCTCTGCTTTACAATTTTCCATTTTTTCCTCAGTATTAGAAACAAAAATTCATCTCTTCGACAACTGTTCGTTAAAAAATAAGTATAAATTACTATAGAAACTCGAATTTGTATAAATTTTCGTAAAATTCAAAAATTACATTGAAATTTTTCGAATTATTGATCAAAACGTTAATAACTTTTTTATTTTAAATGTAACACCGCCCAGACTGCAATGAAGGTTCGAAAATATTCCAGGAATATTCATTAAAAAATTTTGTAAGCGAGTTATAAAATTCATAAGCAAAACAGAAATTTCTCTTAAAATAATTAAACTTTAATCTTCGATATCTTTTTAACGGTGAGGTTTACGAAAAAATTGTAAGAGACCTTTTTTGTTTAGCGTTCGATTTCCTACAAGAATATGAGGAGACTTATTTTTTAACGAACAGTTGTCGAAGAGATATAAATTTTTGTTTCTAATACTGAGGAAAAAATGGAAAATTGTAAAGCGGAGGACCTTCTTATCAAAATTAAGAGCTCATGTTTGGTGAGAATTCTCTAAAGGTGTCTAGTAACCGATTTTTCAGAGTACAAAGTAAAAAAAAATAGTCGGTTTTTAAGACCCACCCTAGTGCTGAAGCTTTCATGAAAAATTTCAAAAACCATTTAAGATATTACATTAAATTTTATAATAGCACATTGTGGTATGAAAAAACACTTTTTAACTGGGACAGTTTTTATTTAACAGTGGTGTGGGCATGGCCATCTCATGTTACAATGTTATGGAAATCAAAAATTACATATTTGTAATAACAAAAATTTTAGTCATCTAAACAAGAAATACAACACAATAAGTAATAAACAAAATCATACCTCAAGTGGTTTAAAACAATTATTTTTTATATCCAATTTTAGTTTTTTAGCAGCACCCACAACTAAATTTTCATCATGATTTCGGCAAAGTTTTCTTATTTCCTGACACAAATTTGCATTCACAGCATCATCAAATGAATTATCCTCACAATACTGATAAAGAAAAAAAAGTCTTAATTGAATTTCTTTTTGGCACATTGATGTCGGTTTTTGATACATTACTGGCTGTAAGTAATCCACAAATAGTCTTATTAATTTTTTTGGCAGATATCTTTTAAGCCGTCCACATTCAATGTTACATTTGTCATGCCACTTTTTGTACATTGCAGTGTTGTTTATCACAAACGACCTGTCTCTGTTGTATAATAATTCAATAATGCTGCTGTTGAGAATACTTAAAATATATTCATACAAAAAATAGAAATCCTCCCGTGATAAACATGATGTTTGGATTTGTTTGAGTTTTATAAGTCGTTTTACACTTTCAGGTTCTTCAAAGTATGATTTTGGTTTAAACTCTCTTAAAAGCTGAAACACTTTTGATGGGACAGAAAAACACAAATCAATTTCGTATTTTAATGTAGATCCTTTAAAACTTATTTGTTTCACTATATTATCTTTATAAAATTTAACTGTATATCCTTTTATATCGGGTTTAATAGCTTTATGTTCCTTCTTTTCTAAAACGTCTAATGGTTTTAGCTGGCTAGTTAACTTGTCACCATACAATACAATATCATTAACATGTACTTCTTCAGAATTTGAGAAATATCGTTCTCGTTCTTTGAGTTTTTTCTCTAATTTTAATACATAGTCCGCCCATGACCTCTGTAGTCCTTGTTCAATCACGGTAAGATCTAAAGTTTTTTGAATTAGCATTAAAACGTTAAAAAATGACACAAAACTAACCTGGATCCATTTTCATTTGTTTACCCGCTTCATTTAAATCAATTCAATCATACCAACATTACTTACTCAAACACAATTTTGATTTAAGGTTAAACAACACGTTCTATAGCATAATTGAAAGGTAATTTAAATCCTTTTTCTATGATTTAAAATATAACACAAAACCACTGATCATAAAAGTTACACAAAACATATAAGTTATATGATATAACACGGGAACATTCACTAAAACTCGATTTTAAATATCAAATTTGTTGTGTATTTTATGGTGGCATTATGCTGATAATACAGATATCTACTTTATCGACAGTGCACCCGCTAGTCTTTAAATTGAATGTAATATGGGATTTTAACGATATAAGAAGTTTATTTACTTTAATTAAAACGCTTTATTATTTACAATTTCTGATGGTTAATTTATTTGGTGGAGGTGCGAGTGCGCTTGTTCCACGAAAAATTGATTCCATAATTTTTTGGTTTGAAAGGCTTATCGTGGGAACTTTCTTGAACAAAATATTCCCAACCATTTTTAGCACAATAATCCATGGCATCTTCTTTGGTGGAAAATTGGATTTTCATGTTTGATAGCGGATCACCACTATAAAAAAGATACAAGTTAATTTGATCTTAATTTAAACTAGACACATCAACTTACGTTGATGCCCACCCCATAAGGGGGTTCTCCCATCTTTCACGGTTATCAAATTCCATTTCCCAGTGTCCAATGTTGTTTGTACCACTTTGCATGGCATTTTTAGGTGGTTCGTAAATTCTAACCCTACGGCCTTTAATATGTTCCTCAGGAATGCCAGAGATCAGTGAAACATCGGGCTGAAACCGGGTTTCAATTAGTTAGGTGCGATTTATTTTGGTTTTATAATACTTACAGCTCCTTCGACTGTTATATAACCTTTCATTTTTTGTTTATGCTCAACTTCATCAGGGTTTAATAAAGCAATATTATTTTCCACTTGCTTTGGTTCTTTTTGCTTAACTGCCTTATTAACATCATCTGAAAAAGTTGGGGCACTTGTGGAAATGGTTGCTGAAGTCCTTAAAACACATTTATCAAAAATTTGACAAATTTCAGAGTAATATTGTAATATTTACCATTTTAAATTATTAGAGCATAAAGTTAAGGCCCTACTACGCAGCATTATTAATGCCATTGCAAATTTTCTAAAATTTATAACTATTTTCTTTAAATGACAGCTGTCAGATAACTGTCACGAAGTTAACCGCACAAAGTTGGCAACATTGATAGACAAATATTCTTATTGTATGGAAAATAAGGCTTCCCCTACACAAACTTTACGATCCACACACGTTATATCAATAAAACTAGTTTTTTGTATAAAGGTATGTATATTTTGTGTTATATCTATAATAAAATTGTGTTACAGCTTAAAATAAAACCTAATTAATAAAAATCGGGAGGGGGCACCGGCGGATTGCTCGCAGGCGAGTGTTGTACCAATAGGGGTTCGCGTTCCACGTCAACGTCGTCTTTGGTCAATCTGCTTGGTTGCTTTCGGATTTTTTCATAAAGGTTCGGTTCTTGGTTGTGGCGGCCACCGCTGGCGCCACAGTAGCAGTACAAAAGAAAGAGTGTCAGGAAAATCAGCATGCTGCACGCAAGACCCACGTAGACTTTAAACATTTCCGTGTTTGAGTACTAAAAAATAATTTTGGTTTTTAAAATTTTTAATATTTTTTATTTTCTTACCAAGACTCTAAGACAGAAAGTATCATCAATTGGAGAAGTACAGGTCATACAAGATTTTGATCCAACAATTGGTTGATATTCTCCAATATCACAAGCTTTGCAAAAAGCATTATCTTCTTCACTATAAGTGTTTTTAGGACAAACCACTGAAAAAAAATATTAATCTAAAAGATATATCTTTGATATACAGTATGTCCACAGTTGGGGTTACAAAAAAGAAAAAACAATATTTTACATTTTCTAAAAAATTTAGTTTCTGATAAACGTTTTTCAAACCCCCAGAATATGCGACACATAATTTTTATTGTCTATGGATGATTTGAAATTTTGATTTTTCCGAAAATTTTGGATTTATTTTTTTATATAAAAATCATTTTTGGCCAGTTTTCGTTCATTTGTCATTTTATTTCCAACAACTGATTGTTATTATCACGGTATGACATCAGTGGCGGCTGGTGGATTTTGGCCCAACATTTTTTGGTATACCAATATCTTAGTTAAATAATAATAATTTAAAACCGTATAAAATCACCACTTTTATTTGAATTATCTCAAATAGGGGGGCCAGGAGGCGGGTGAGGCGACGGGAACTTTTTTCGCAAACTTTAATTTAAATTCTGTTTGCGCCGAACTTGTCTGTTTAATGTCATTATAAACTATTATAAATTTGGTGTGGGTCCCATGTCTAATAATTGAGATATCGGTATACCCAAAATCCACCAGCCGCCACTGCATTTGATTACGCCAGGAATTTTCGTGGGAATATTCTGGTACGCTTGGAATAATCCTTGGAATATTCCTGACATATGCAGGGAATGGGATTTTGTGGTCTGGGTTAGCGCTCAAGTCTTGATCTCTTGTGTTTGTCTTCATCAATACTATTGAATCAATAGTCATGTACGTTTTTCTTCGTTTTTATCTGCACAGGTTTACAATTAGCACTGCTTTCGCATACTATTTTTACTTATTGAAATGTTTAAGTGTACCCAAGTGACTTTTTTTTATAAAGTCTCTCATTGCAATGTTTAAGGTTCGTTAGAAGAAAAGACTAGTCTTCTCTTGTATGTAAAAATCAAAATTCCAAATTTTGGACTGAACTTATTTTCAACAGTAATATCACAAGAAAGTGGAAATAAATTGAAAATAATTTGACAGATATTTCGAAAACTTGTCTGCCAATAGCCCTACGGGCTGAGTGTTTAGTGCCGAATGACAAGTTTGAGAAATTTCCGGGAGAATTATTTTCTAATTTATTGATCTCTCGAGTGGTATCCTTTTTCACTACAAAACGTTTGAAATTGTTTTCAAATTGATTTATTGCTAGTTTGAGTATTTTTTTATATATTTTTCTATATGAACATTTATTTCATCCTCAGATGTTGAACTAAACCTTTTGCTGTTCATTTTAAAATACTGATGACAGATATTATACTAACAGATCATAAAATTTCCGCGAAAATAAATTCTAGTACACATAAAAAAATCTAACATAGTACCAAGAACAGCGCTGTCATTGAAAGCATTTAAACATTTAAGGTGTATCTTGGCATTTAAATTGAAGAAATCTTAATTGTTATTTGCTTAATAAATTACTATTAAACCAAAATAGGGAAATATTTTGCCAAAATTTCAAAGAATTTATTGCGTTAAATGTATACATAGTATATATACAATAGTAGGTATACATACAATAGTAACGTTATTAAATAAATCAAATAAGTATTTAATGCATAGTATATATACAATAGTATACATACAATAGTGACGTTATTAAATAAATCAAATTAGTATTTAATGCAATAACATTCTAACATTCAAACAAATAAATATGAATATGAATATCAATAGATTTAGGAGCGATAACTCTTGTTGTTAATTTTGAAACAGTAAACGATTATAAACCAAGTGCTAACTACCTATTGGTATTATAGGAACTGTTATTCAGGAATACGGATTACAAGATCCCATTGGTTTAATGGCTCACCCATTCATGCTAGCGTTTTTTCTGTGTAGATATTATTTCCGATATAATAATCTGACTGAAATTAATAGTATATTACACTACAAGGGCAGAAAGTGTGAGATTCCTGCACTGCGCGCCATCATGGCGCGCAGTTCAGGGCTCTCACACTTTCTGCCCGTGTAGTGTATACTATTTTTCTTGCTACCCGGCCGAAAATACGGGAAAAAATTAAATGTGTATATCGAAACATATTGATGCCTGCCCCGACATTTGCGGCACGAGCGAAGCCTTCGTAGCCCTTGTAGTGTAATATACTATTTCTTACTACCTCGGCCGAAAATACGTTGTTTCGTCCCCGATTCCAATGCATCAATGCATTTGATCAAACGTAAATTTGACCAATGCATCAAACGTAAACTTTCTGCCGTGGAATCGGGGACGAAACAACGTATTTTCGGCCGAGGTAGTAAGAAAAAATTTCTAATGGCTTTTAGAAACGACAAAAAATAATCTTGCTGAAATGCCCTTTTACCCATTTGTTTTTTACTCCTTCAAATGTTTCATTCCCTCCTGCTACCATGACGACGCTACATTGTGATTTACTTTGAATGTAAACGTCAGAATTAACTTAAACTTCAGATATAATTTTGACACAAGTTTTTTTGCGGGTACCCAAATTGTGTATTTGTAAGCGATTCCACTCGCCCATAGGCTCGCTCGGAAACTTTCATCATCGGGAGTAATGGCTATGATAGTATACTATTACAAACAAATAACTTTTGGACTTTTTAATCTCACCGATTCAATTGCATTTGCAAGTTAATATTATTATTATTATATCTAGGTACATCATATGTGCCTAGATATAAAATGAATTAAAGGTCTTTGCCTTATATATATATGCCTTATTAAAATTAAATATGTTTAATTAGGATGTTAAAATAATGTAGTCCTTCCCCACTGTTGTTAATAAAATTTTGGTGCGGAAAGGGATCTATTGTCGGAAAAAACAAATTTGAGTAATTATTTTTTTCAAATGTTAAAAATTTAGTGTAGTACTACACTAAATTTTAAGAATTTCGAGTCCAAATTCAATTTTTCAACTTGAAAAGTAGCGAAGTTAGCTTTTTATATGGAAATCACTTTAAAGTTTTAAAATGGCGCCAAATTTTTATTTCAGGCTTAAGGATTCAAAATTTATCGAAGTTCTCTTGTCGCTCAGCTGTAGGTCAAAACCTTCGCCCTTCCGCATCACGATTATAAAATTTAGGATTTTAATTTTATACCACAAATTCGTCGTTTTTCCATTTCTATCCCGAAACCTGCAGGGCAGCCAACCACAAGCTTTGGTCTTTTAGATACCATAGGACTTTCGGAATAGTTATTTTTCTCATCACTCGGAAACAATATCGGAGTAAAAAGTAGGTTTGGAGTGGTGATTTTTGAATGAACTAAAATAAAAATTTATAAAAAATCAGTTATAAGATATATTAGGTATAAGTCCAAATTACAAGAGCCCTCTCAGGGCTTTTAGACCTGGTGCCACCAATAATTTAGACTATGGGTTTAGGATGGCCACCAGCCTGGTTGTAGTCTAAATTATTTACCTTTTAAATTTCTGCTATTATCGGCATTCTTGAAAATGATCTCGACAATTTGACTGTACAAATGTATCTGGCAATTCAGATCGCAACTGGGCGTTTCTCTCACAAGACTCGTTAAAGGCTCCATTTTAGCTGTAATGCTCACATTGAAAAAGGCGTTGCCATCCTAAAATATAACAAATAATTATCCACCAATTTCTAATAATCTAACACCCTTATAAAATTTTACCTGTGCAAAACAGGTGGGGCGCATCATGTCCAACAAGCAAAACTTCTGATCGTTGGAGCCACATAAAAGTTTTCCAGCAGTGTTCGGGAAATATTGATAAAGCAGGTCCTCGTTGGACAAAGAACAACTCTGATTGGTCGAATAGAGGATATTTAGCTCTATTTTGTACGTAGGTAACTCCATAACTTCAACGTCGTGAGAAAAACTTTTCTTGGTGCCAAGATTGTCGTTGTAGTTAATTGTGCAAGTGTAGTTCCCTGAGTCTTTGGGTGTTATGTTATCTATTTCCAGAACAAATTGATTGTTGGCCAAATCGTGAACTAAAATTGTCTTGTTAGTTTATCAAGTTTTTATGGAATTGTATAAGAACCTATTTTTGAGGCGTGCTCTGAAAATTTCCACACATAGGACTTTCTGTTTCTATGCGAAGTTTCATTGCTATTATAACAAGGCAAATGCAGAAGTCTTCCAGGTAAAGTGTACTGAGTTTCACCTACGCAAAAATTATATATAACTTTATCCCAAACTTGTTACCCCTCACCAGGTATATCAAGCTCAAACTCGTCACCAAAAACATCCTCTATATCATCGTACTGTATGGAACCACTGTTACTCTCTTTATTGTTTTTATACTGCTGACTTCTTCTTCTGCGTACAGTTGGATCGGTATCGTTACCAATTTGCAAGCTGCTATCTTTAAAGCTGATAAAATGACTGCAGAGATTCTTTACCGAAGTGTTGTCACCTCTTAGTATCTCCTCAACTCGCATTTTTAGAGTGTTTAAATCGCAAAAACATTCGCGGTTCTTTTCAAATTCAGGCTTACTGCAATCAATCAGTTGATTGTCTTGGATTTTGGTGTTTTCCTGTTTTAGTTTTTCTAATTCGCAGTAAGGTTTGTGTTTGAAATCCTCTGTTTTAGAAGAATCAAAATTGGATATTTTAACTGAATGATTATCTTCGATTTTAGGAGAATTAGACAGATCTTTTTGAGAAGGATCAGAAGCGTCAGCTAGTTTAGCTAAAATGTTATCTTCAATTTTAGGAGAATTAGAAAGTTCTTCTTGTGAAGGTTCTTTTTCATTGTTTTTTATTGTGGAAGGAGAGAAGATTGGTGTAGCGGATTGTAAATTGACAAATTCAATGTGCAAATTGTCCAAAGATTTATTGTGTAAAAGTTTCCTTAGCATATCGGAGTCCAAAGTTGATGCATTGTTACCATTGATTACAATTACTAAATTTCTTTTATCATCGTAAGTTGGTTCGGTTTCTAGTAAAGGTAAAGTTACGTAAATATGTTTAGTATTTTGACAAGTACATTTTTTAGCTGTTTCTTCTGATTCAGTCGTTTCCTTTGAAGATACTGTAGTTTCTCTAGAATGAGTGCTATGATGATTCACGTTTTGAGTTGAACTGTTCTTCTCTATAGAATTTTTTTCTTCTGTGGCTTCAGTTTTATGTGGAGATCCTGTAATGTGTGTGCTATGACTTTTTAATTTTTCTGCTGTACTTTTTAGCTCTTCAGTACTTTCTTCTTCTGTTGCTTCAACTACCATAACAGTCCTTTCTGATGCCTCGGTAATTACATTTTTGTCTTGTGGGGATCCTTTATTATTATCTATTACTTTTTCAGATGTGGTTTTCATCTCTTTAGTACTTTCTTCTTCTGTTGCTTCAACTACAACAACAGTCCTTTCTGATGCCACAGTAATTACATGTTTTTCATGTAAAGATTCGGTATCTTTTTCTTTCGAAGCCGTACTACTTTCATGGCCATTCATTTCGTATAAAGTTTGTAAATATCCTTTGACAGTTGTCGTTTCTATTTTTGACGTTTTTTTATTGTCATTTAATGACGTGCTGGTGTAAGGTGTATAAGTAGCAACCTTATTAGGTTTAGAGGGATAAAGATACTCTTTGCTATTTGTAACCACTGTGCCGCCGCTTGTAACCTTAAACTCCGAAAATTGGTCTCTTAGAGGAATGGTAGAGTGCGTGGAAAAAGTTTTTAGCTTCTTAAAATCATAGGTTGGCCTTATTGTTGATCTGCTGATGAATGTTTCATCATTTGGTTTATCGAATTCCACCATATTGTTAAATTTTCTCGTTGTTTTAACTGGGATAAAAAATGTTCCAATCGTCATTCGTATCGTCGGAGATGCAGTCGATAAAGGTTCTTTTTCCTCTATCGCGTTGAAATCGATATTTTTTTCATGATCCACCGGAATTTGAACTGTAACAGTTGAAGGACTTGGTTTATAGGTTGTTGTTGTAGTTGTTCTTAAAGTCTCTTCTCTTGCTAAGGTAGAGTTGATAATTTGTTCTGTTATAAGAAACAGACCACTTGTCGGTGGTGTAAGTATGGTGGTTTTTACAGTCGTCGTATCTTGAACTGTAGTGCTTGACATTTTTGCTAAGTCTGTAATTGGTTCACTTTCTGTTTCTGCTTCTGTTATAGAGTAAAGTCCATACAAATCTTTGGTAAAAAGAGGACCTTTTGTTGTCTTTTTTATATTTCCTGGTTGGTTTTTCTGCGGCTCTCTACTACTATCCAATATTGTATTACCACTTTCGGTTGTCTTGTGTTTGACTATATTAAATTGGTTTTCTATAGTAGAGGATTCTTCTTCCACATTATTGGTGAAATGTTCTTTCTTTATAGTAATTTCTTTATTTTCTAATACAGTTTCTTTATTATCAGATTCTTCTTCATTACTTTCTGTGAAGGTTTCAGTTTCATCTAATTCCGATTCTGTGTTTTCTGCTTCTCCTATCGAAATCACCACTGTTTCTTCTTCCTTAGTTTCTTCGGTGGTTTTTTCTAATTCATCATTATTTTCTCCTTTAGCTTCCGATTCTGACTCTTCAGTGTTGTCTTCCATAAGAGATGCGCTCTTATCAATTTCGTCGATTCGTTCATTAGGCTCCTTCGTGTGTTTTGAGATACTTTTAAATTCGGTAGTATCTTCATCTTCACCACCTTCTTCACTTTCGTTAGTACTTACTTTTTCACTTTCTGTGTCATTTTCTGCATTTTCTGCATTTTCTTCTGATATTTCAGACTCTTTAGTGCTTTCTATTTGGGTTTCTGTAGTATTTTCTTCAGGGCTTTCTTTATTTTCACTGTTTTCAGTACTTTCTGTTTGTCTAGTTCCACTTTCATTTATATTTTGGTTTTCATTATGTTCATTTTGATTTGATTCACTAGTACTTTTTTCATTTTTAACTTTTTCGGTACTTTCTAAATGAGTATCGCTATTACTTGTCTTAGCCTCTGTTGTTTTAGTACTTTTTTCATATGTTGATTTATGAGTGTTTTCTTCATTTTCAGTATTTTGTGTTATGGTAGTTTCTTCAGTACGAGATTCAGCCTCTTTATTTCCTTCAGATGTTATTGATTCATTCATGCTTTCATTTTCACTTTTTTCGGTACTTTCTATTGTGGTAGTTTCTTCAGTACCTTCTTTATTTTTATTGGTAATTTCTTTTTCAGAACTCTCTTCATTTTTACCTTTTTCAGTACTTTCTTCGAATGTTTTTGATGCATTCGTGCTTTCTTTATTTTTGCTTATTTCTTCAGTACCAGTTTCAGGTTCTTTATTTTCATTCGTACTTTCTTTTTCTGGATTTTCTTCATTTTCACTTTTTTCGGTACCTTCTATTGTTGTTTCTTCAGAACCACCAGGTTCAGCTGCTTGGTTTTTATTTGTACTTTTTGTAATAGTTTCTTCAGGTGTAATTTCTTGAATTTCACTTTTTTCGCTACCCTTTATCGTTGTTTCTTCAGTTTCAATTTCAGCTTCTTTAGCAGTCTCTTCATTTGTATTTTCTTCGGATGTTTTTGATTCATTCGTGCTTTCTTCACTTTTACTTTTTTCGGTACTCTCTATTGTAGTGATTTCTTTAGTAACAGTTTCACCCTGTTTATTTTTATTGAAAGTTTCTTTTTCAAAAGTCTCTTTAGTTTTACCCTCTTCGGTATTTTCTTCGGAAGTTTTTAATTTATTCGTGGTTTCTTCATTTTCCCTTGTTTCTTCAGTACCAGTTTCAGCTTCTTTATTTTCATTCGTACTTCCTTTTTCAGGAAATCCTTCATCTGTTTTTGATTTATTCGTGCTTTCTTCATTTTCGCTTTTTCCGTTATTTTCTATAGTTGTTGTTTCTTTAGTACCGCCATGTTCAGCTGCTTTGTTTTCATTTGTACTTTTCGTAATATTTTCTTCATATGTGAGTTCTTTATTTTCACTTGTTTCGCTAAACTCTATTGTTGTTTCTTCAGTTTCAATTTCAGCTTCTGTATTTTTATTCGTACTTTCTTTTTTAGAAGTTTCTTCATCTGTATTTTCTTCGAGTGCGTTTGATTCATTCGTGCTTTCTTCAATTTCACTTTTTTCGGTATTTTCTATTGAGGTTGTTTCTTCAGTTTCCGCTTCATTATTGATACTTCCTTTTTCAAAAGTCTCTTCATTTATATCTTTTTTAGTGTTTTCTTCGGATGTTTTTGATTCATTCGTGCTTTCTTCATTTTTACTTGTTTCAGATTCAGATTTACCCTCGTTATTTTTGTTCGTACTTTCTTCTTGAGGATTCTTTTCTTGTGTACCTTCTGTAGTATTATCTTTAGATGTTTTTAATTTATTCGTGCTTTCTTTATTTTCGGTAAATTCTATTGTAGTACCACCATGTTCAGCTGATTTGTTTTCATTTGTAGTATTTTCTTCAGTTATAATTTCTTTATTTTCATTTCTTTCGGTATCCTCTATAGTTGTTTCTTCAGTTCCAATTTTAGCTTCTATATTTTTATTCGAACTTTCTTTGTTAGAAGTTGCTTCATCTGTATTTTCTTCGAGTGCGTTTGATTCGTTCGTGCTTTCTTCAATTTCACTTTTTTCGGTATTTTCTATCGAGGTTGTTTCTTCAGTTTCCGCTTCATTATTGGTACTTCCTTTTTCAAAAGTCTCTTCATTTATATCTTTTTTAGTGTTTTCTTCGGATGTTTTTGATTCATTCGTGCTTTCTTCATTTTTACTTGTTTCTTTAATATCAGATTTACCTTCGTTATTTTCGTTCGTACTTTCTTCTTGAGGATTCTTTTCTTGTGTACCTTCTGTAGTATTATCTTTAGATGTTTTTAATTTATTCGTGCTTTCTTCATTTTCACTTTTTTCGGTACCTTCTAGTCTGGTTGTTTCTTTATTTTCAGCTTCTTTATTTTTATTAGTACTTTCTTTTTCAGAAGTCTCTTGATTTTTACCTGTTTCAGTATTTTCTTCGGATGTTTTTGATACATTTGTGCTTTCTTCATTTTTACTTTTTTCTGTACCTTCTTTTATGACCTCTTCAAGTTCCTTATTAGGTTTTGTGGTTATTTCTTTATTTTCTGTTGAGTAGGTTTCACCAAGCGTTGTTTTTGTAATAAAAGTCGAAGGCAATTCTGATTGAGTGATTTTAATTTTGCTGTCTTTGGAGCATAAAGGACACAATGTATTTGTATCCTTACCAGTAAAATCAAACTCTTCCATGCCAGCCTCAGTAACTGGCCCCACTGTAAGCCGCACAGTATGTTGCTTTTGATCGTGAACTTCTGAAGAACACAATAGACAAACTGTATTTTTTTCTTTGTTGGTAAACAAAAACTCTTCATCTAAACCCTCCTTTTCTGGATCGCTAAATTGCGTGGTGGATTGTTGATATTTATGATTATTGAGGGACATGTTTTTTTGTGTTTTTCTTTCTGTTACAGATTCTTTTTCTGTATATAGTTGTTCATTAGGTTTTGCGCTTGTAACAAATGTCAATATATTATTTGTTGACAGTTTGTCAGATTTAGTGGTGTAAGTCTTAATATAATTGCCTTGAGTATATTTTTGTGTAATCATTGTTTCTTTTTCATGATTTGGAGTATATGTTTGTTCAAATAGTGTGACTATATATTCGCTAGACTCTTTGGTGTGTGTAACTTCTTGATTTTTTTCCCCAATTTCTGTAACCATTGTGTCTCCTTTTATATTTTTAACAGTCCCACTCTCTTCAGTAGTGTTTTTCTCATATTCATCTTGTTGATTTTTTTCATTTGACTTTACAGTACTTGAAACATTTTCTTTAGTTTTATTTGGGTTTTTATATTCATCTTGTTGATGCTTTTCTTCATTTGTTTTTACAGTACTAGAAACATGTTTTCCTCTAGTTTTATTTGTGTTTATAAATTTATCTTGTTGATGCTTTTCTGTATTAGATTTAATAGTACTAGAAAGATGTTCTTCTTTAGTTTTCTTTGTATTTTTTAACTGTGTAAAATAGGTTTTTTCTTCCTCATTATTTTTCTGGGAAGATGTAGTTTGTTCTTCTTTATGTTGATTATAATATGTATCTTCTTCTTCCTCCTCCTTATCTTCCTCATAATAACTGTTTTCTTCTTGGTTACTCTCCTGGGAAGTAGTCTTTTTCTCTTCTTTATTTTCATCATAATTTGTTTCTTCTTCATTTTCCTCGTCTTCCTCATTAATATTTTCTTCTTCTTTATCCTCTTCAGAAGATTTAGTTTCTTCTTCTTTATTTTCATCCTCAATATTTTTGTCAAGAGAAGTACTTTCTACTTCTTCAGAGCTCTCTTCTTCATCCCCTTCAGAAGAAAGATGTGTATCTTTTTCATACCAAGTAGTCGATGTATTCTCATAATTATTTAGAGATTTTGTTTCTGTATTACCTTCTTCTTCTTCTTCTTCTTCTTGTCCTATTTTTTTATTAGAAGATTTTAAAGTAGACTCTATTTCATCTAAATATTCATTTTCTTCAGTTACTTCATTTTCTTCTAAAATGGTTTTTGTTTCTTCAGAATCATAGTAAGATTTAGTTTCTTCTTCTTTATTTTCATCCTCAATATTTTTGTCAAGAGAAGTACTTTCTACTTCTTCAGAGCTCTCTTCTTCATCCCCTCCAGAAGAAAGATGTGTATCTTTTTCATACCAAGTAGTCGATGTATTCTCATAATTATTTAGAGATTTTGTTTCTGTATTACCTTCTTCTTCTTCTTCTTCTTCTTCTTCTTCTTCTTCTTCTTCTATTTTTTTATTAGAAGATTTTAAAGTAGACTCTATTTCATCTAAATATTCATTTTCTTTAGTTACTTCATTTTCTTCTAAAATGGTTTTTGTTTCTTCAGAATCATCGTAATATTCAGATTCTTTAGATTGACTTTTTGTAGGTTGTTCTTCGGATGTTTCGTTTTGATATTCAGATTCCTCTTGATCTTTATTGTTTTCGGATTCTTCAGTAGTATGTTGTTCATTATCATTGATATCAGATTTTGTAAGATGATCCATGTTTAAGGTTTTTGATTTTGAGGTTGTAACTGTTTTTTCATTTGTTGTGGTAACTTTTAAATTTGAAGAAATTATTTCTACAGAAGTTGTTTTGATACTGGTTGTTTTAATAAAAGCAATTAGACCTTCTGTACTATTCTTAAAATCAGAAAACTTATTAAAATTGGTTACCGAGTTGTAAGATAATGATGAATGCGGTTCTGAATGAGTCGATTTGCGAGTAAAAATTATTTCTGAAGTGCTACTTTTATCTGTGTCAATTTCATTTAATTCATACTGAGTTGTTTCATCTGATTTAGTAGTTACTGTAACTGTTGTGTCTTCGTTTTCTCCAGTATGAGATGTTTTAGCAGTATTTTTATACGTTATGTTTTCATTATTTTTTTCAGATTCATTGTATTCGGAAACACTCTCAAAATCTTCTTTAGAATTGTCTGTTTCAAAAATTTTTGTTTTAGTATTATCTTCTTTTGAAGCATATTTAGTAACTGCAATAGTTTCATCTTCATATTTTGCTGGTTCTTCTGAGACTGTTGTTTCAGTATTTTCTTCGTTTGAAGCATATTCAGTAACTGCAGCTGTTTCATCTTCATATGTTGCTGGTTGCCATGTCCAATGATAGGCATCGTTGTTATATTCGGGTAAGCTTGGAAGCCGTGTGGTCGGCTTGTTTTTTTTACGACCAAAATTTGGTTGGAAATTATACTTGGACGTGTCTTCTTCGGAGACTGTTGTTTCAGTATTTTCTTCTTTTGACGCATATTCAGTAACTGCAGCGGTTTCATCTTCATATGTTGCTGGTTGCCATGTCCAATGATAGGCATCGTTGTTATATTCGGGTAAGCTTGGAAGCCGTGTGGTCGGCTTATTTTTTTTACGACCAAAATTTGGTTGGAAATTATATATGGACGTGTCTTCTTTGGAGACTGTTGTTTCAGTATTTTCTTCGTTTGACGCATATTCAGTAACTGCAGCTGTTTCATCTTCATATGTTGCTGGTTGCCATGTCCAATGATAGGCATCGTTGTTATATTCGGGTAAGCTTGGAAGCCGTGTGGTCGGCTTGTTTTTTTTGCGACCAAAATTTGGTTGGAAATTATATTCGGAGACTGTTGTTTTAGTATTTTCTTCATTTGAAGTATATTCAGTAACTGCAGCAGTTTCATCTTTATATGTAGCTGGTTGCCATGTCCAATGATAGGCATCGTTGTTATATTCAGGTAAGCTCGGAATTCGAGTGGTCCTTTTAATGTTTTGAAGACCATAATTTGGTTGGAAATTATATTTAGAAGTTTCTTCTTTTTTTGTCGTTGGTGATTCTATGATATTTTCTATATTTTTTTCATTATTATTATTATCAATATCTTTAGACAGGTTGTCATTTTCTTCGTGAAAAACTTCTGTGCTATCTTCTAACTCTTTTTCTTCACTAATACTTTCTTCTGTGTTATTTTCCTCTATTGCATTTTGATCTTTTGTTACAGTTACATTACTTTCTTCAATTTCCTCATTTTTTTCATTGGTAAATTCAGTTTTTTCTCTCATTTCAGTTGTAATTTCTTCTTGGTTTTTGGTTGTTTTTTCAGAAATATCCGAACTATTTTCATTTTCACTATTTGTTATGCGTTCCTCACCAAATCTTGTTTCAGAAATTTGTATTGTAGTATATTCTTCATTTTTAATATTTTCGTTTGTTATTGCTTGTTCTGCAGCATAATATGTTTCTGATACGAATGTAGTTTCTTTAATTTCACTATTTTCCTTTATACTGAATTTCCGTGAGGTATATTCTTCTTCTACATCCTCATATTCAACACTGGTCATCTCTTTTTCAGCATTATATTGTTCTTTATTGCCTTGAGGTTCTTTAGTATTTGCCTCTTCTGTGGTTTCAGTTTCTGCATCTTCAATTTCTAGATTTGTAATTTTTTCTTCAATTCTCTTTGTAGTACTCTGTTGATTGGTACTACTATTATTTTTAGCGTTAAATGCTTCTGAAACGATTGTAGCTTCTTCAACTTCATTATTTTCCTTTATACTGAATTTCCGTGTTGTATATCCTTCTTCTTCAGAAGCAGTTTCGTCTACTATTTCTTCTGTACTATTCTGATCTTTATAATCCATTACATAAATTGTGGTTTCTTCTAAATCCTCATATTCAACACTGGTCATTTGTTCTTCGGCATTATTTTGTTCTTTATTGCCTTGAGTTTCTTCAGTATCTGCTTCTTCTACAGTTTCAGTTTCTGCATCTTCATTTTCTACCTTTGTACTTTTTTCTTCAATTGTGTTTTTAGTACTATGTTGATTGGTACTACTTTCTACTGTGGTATATTCCGGAATACTATCTATATCAATAGGAATGGTTTCATAAGTTGCTGAGCTTTCTTTAAATTGTGTATTTTCTTGTTTTTTTGTTTCTTTAATTTTGTTTTCAGTAGTTTGTTTTTTGGTACTAATTTCCTCAGTTACATATTCTTGAATATTGTCTATATCAATGGAAATCGTTTCATAAGTTAATGAGCTTTCTTTAGTTTTAGTATTTTTAGTAGTTTCTTCAATTTTATTATTTTCCTTTATACTGAATTTCCGAGTGGTATATTCTTCTTCTTCAGAAGCAGTTTCGTTTACGATTTCTTCTGTACTATCATTATCTTCATAATTCGCTAAATAAATTGTGGTTTCTTCCACATCCTCATATTCAACACTGGTCATGCCTTCTTCGGCATTATTTTGTTCTTGGTTGCCTTGAGTTTCTTCAGTATTTGCCTCTTCATTTTCTTGGATTGCAATTTTTTCTTCAATTGTGACTTTAGTACTATGTCGATTGGTGCTACTATGTTTAGCGTTATATGCTTCTAAAACGATCGTAGTTCCTTCAATTTCATTATTTTCCTTTATATTGAATTTCCCTGTGGTATATTCTTCTTCGGAAGCAGTTTCGTTTACTATTTTTTCTGTGCTATCCTGATCTTCATAATCCTCTAAATAAATTGTAGTTTCTTCTACGTCTTCATATTCAATACTGGTCATTTCTTCTTCAGCAATATTTTGTTCCTCATTACCTTGAGTTGCTTCAGTATTTACCGCTTCTAGTGTTTCAGTTTCTGCATCCTCATTTTCTAGATTTGTACTGTTTTCTTCAATTGTGTCCTTAGCACTATGTTGATCGGCACTACTTTCTATAGTGGTATATTCCGGAATATTGTCTATACCAATAGGAATTGTTTCATAAGTTGCTAAGCTTTCTGTAGTTGGTGTATTTCGGCTAGTTTCTTTAATTTTGTTTTCAGTAGTTTGTATTTTGGTACTTATTTCCTCAGTTGCATATTCTTGAATATTCTCTATATCAATGGAAATTGTTTTATACGGTAATGAGCTTTGTTCAGTTTCAGTATTTTTACTAAATGGAGTTTGTTCTGTATCGTCTTCAGCTGCAGTAGTTTCACCTTCTATATCAGCTGGTAGCCATGCATCGTTGTTTGTTTTAATTGTAGCCTCCATCTCAGGTAACTTTGAAATATATGTGGTACGTTCGACTTTTTTAAGACCATAATTTTTATTTAAATTGGAAGTTTCTACGGTATTACTAGTATTTTCTACTGGAGAAACAAAAACCATTTCATTATTGAGAGTAATACTGTCTTTAAGAGTAGGCACCAAAGTGCTAAGAACGCTAAGATTGATCAAAGTTTGGGTTTTATGTTTATTTAAACTAGTGGTAAATATTTCTTGTTTTTTAGAGCTTATTTCTAATGTCGATAGTTTTTCTGAAATCTTTACTTCTTCAGTACTTGCATTTGCTTCTTCGTAATAATCTTCATTGCTGGTTGTTATTTCCTCAACTGTATTTGTATTTTCTTCTTCATCGGTGGTTTGTATTTCTTCTATGTCATCAACTTTAGTTGCCAACTTTTCATATCCAGTTATATAATCATTGTCTGAATTGTTTATTTTATCATATTCTTCATAATCCAAACTTCTATTGGTACTGCTTTTTTCATCTTCTAAATTATAACTAGTAGTTGTAGACATTCCATAAGTTGATTTGTAATATTGTTTCTCACTTAGACTAGATTTTTCTTTTTCATTGTTCAATGTTGTTTTTGTAATTAAATTTTCTTCAAAATCAATAGATTTATCATTATTTTCTTCGGTTTGTTTTTCATTTGTAATATTTAATTCAGAAGTATTAGTTTCTTCATCACTTTCACTATGCATTTTTTCAATAGTGCTTTCTTCTGATATGGTATTATTATTTGTAGTGCTTTCTTTGATCCATGTTTCTTTACTTTCAGTATGTTTTTTCTCAGTAACACCAGATTCTTCTGTATCATTATATTCATTGTTAAATGTGGTTTTTGTAATTGAATTATTAAGATCAGTAGTTTTACGGTTGTATTCTGTAGTTTCTTCTTCATTTGTAATAATTGATTCAAATGTATTTGTTTCTTCCTTGGTTTCAATAAGCGTTTCTTCTTGTGTAATATTAGTAGTCAATAAACTTGATGTTTCTGTTTCTAAAGAATTTATAGTTTGTGGAGATGTTTTTTCGTATGTTTTTATGGTCAGTAAACTTGATTTTTCTGTTACTTTTAAAGACCCTTTAGTCGTGCTCTTTTCGCTAGATTCTTCAATTTTCTTCAAAGAACTTTTAGTATTTGCCGAAGATTCTTCACTTTCATCATAATATTCCTCCTCTTCGGTAGTACCTTCAGTTTTTTCAGTCGTGCTAGATAATTTAGTAGGGTTTTCAATCAAAGTAGTGCCCCCCTCGACGTTAAATTCACTTAAATTTGTCCTTTCCAAAGTTGCAAAACTACTTATATCAGATTTGCTTTTAAAAGTTACATTTTCACTGATAGATGTATTAAAGTTATTCGTATTACTTGAATTATCTACTGTTAAATTTTTTAAAATCACGTCCATGTCAAAAACCGGCTTTATAGGCGGCAATACATTATCACCGCCGTTCATATTGTTCAATATCACGTTGGCAATGAAATAAGTACTACCGATTGGTGGCGTGTAGTGGGTGACAAAAATATCTCCCACTTTGATATTTGGTTGAGTCGTCATCATGTTTAAAATGGTGGATAGTTCGTGTTGTACCACGGAAAGTGCCTTAGAGTTGAATTGTAACTTCGAAGTTGTTGGTTCCGTCTCGGGAAGAAACAATGGTGGAATCGTTGGTCGATGTTTACGCGTGCTGGTGGATGGCTTTGGTGAATTTTGAGTGGCATTTAAGTCTTCTTCTTCATCGTCGTCATCTTCATCGTTACTAAAAAATATAGGTCATTAGAAATATATGGTACGTTGTTTAGTAATAGCCACCTTTCCATTTTTAAAGTTGTTCGAATGTATGCGCTAATCTTTCTGGAAGTTGTCGCTAGATTGTTATGGTTTGTAAAAGGCACTATAAAGGTAAACCTGGCTAGTAAGCTGTCTTCCGTTGATACAGTCGTAAACGTTGTCGTTTCAATTACAGTGATAGTGGCAGTTTGAGTACTTTGAACAGTTGTTGTGGAAACTTCTTGAGTTTTTTCATCATCTCCTTTAAAAGTGGATAATTCGACCAAATACACATTTTTATCTAAAGTTTTCTCGAAATTTTGAAGAGGCTTGCTAGTTGGGAAAGATATAGTGCTAAACAAGTTCACAGTTTGAAAGTCTAAATTTTGTGACGTTAAGAAAGAGTTGAAACCAAATGATGCTGGTCTATCATATAAATTATTATATGGTGGTCTCCAATTGTACGCATCGTTATCTGATTCAACGGTAGCCTCAATTTCAGGTAAGTTTGGAATGCTTGTGGTGGTCCGTACGACTTTTTTACGACCATAATTTGATTGATAATCCAATGGTGCCATTGGTTCTTCATTGTGTTGCTGCCAACTATACTTTAATGTTTTTGCCTTAAATTCATTAAATGCTTCCGGATTATCACTATTTGCTTCTGGATGATATTCCATATTCGGTGGTCTCCATTTGTACATATCGTTGTCTGATTCAACAGTAGCCTCAATCTCAGGTAAGTTGGGAATCCTTGTGGTCCGTACGACTTTTTTACGACCATAATTAGGTTGATAATCCAATGTTTTTGTTGATATAGGTGTCATTGATTTTTCATAATCTTGCTGCCATTCATACTTTGACGTTTTACCCTTGAATTCATTAAATGCTTCCGGATTATCACTATTTGCTTCTGGATGATATTCCATATTCGGTGGTCTCCATTTGTACGCATCGTTATCTGATTCAACGGTAGCCTCAATCTCAGGTAAGTTTGGAATGCTTGTGGTGGTCCGTACGACTTTTTTACTACCATAATTTGGTTGATAATCCAATGGTTTTGTTGATATAGGTGCCATTGATTCTTCATAATCTTGCTGCCATTCATACTTTGACGTTTTACCCTTGAATTCATTAAATGCTTCCGGATTATCAGTATTTGCATCTGGATGATATTCCATATTTGGTGGTCTCCATTTATAGATATCCTTGTCTGATTCAACGGTAGCCTCAATCTCAGGTAAGTTGGTAATCATTGTGGTCCGTACGACTTTTTTACGACCATAATTTGGTTGATAATTCAACGGTTTTGTTGATATAGGTGCCATTGATTCTTCATAATCTTGCTGCCAACCATACTTTGACGTTTTACCCTTGAATTCATTAAATGCTTCCGGATTATCAGTATTTGATTCTGGATGATTTTCCATATTTGGTGGTCTCCATTTGTAAATATCGTTGTCTGATTCAACGGTAGCCTTACTCTCAGGTAAGTTTGGAATCCTTGTGGTCCGTACCAATTTTTGTCGACCATAATTTGGTTGATAATCCAATGGTTTTGTTGATATAGGTGGTTCTTCATAATGTTGTTGCCAACTATACTTTGACGGTTGAGCTTTAAATTCATAAAATGCTTCCGGATTACCAGTGTTTACTACTGGAGGAACAAAAACCATTTCGTCGTTGAGATTAATGCTGTCTCTTTGAGTTGGCACTAAAGTGTTTAAATCGTTTGGGTTAACTAAAGTTTGAATTTCGTGCTGATTTCCGTTATTTCTTAGAATATATGGAAATACGAATTCTGTTTTCATTACTTCAATATCAGGATTGGCTTCGGTAATCCACTCCTGATCTACAGGTTCTGGATAAGAGATTACCTGGGATTCTAAGTATCCTACAATAATAACCAATAAAACAAGATGTTTGCATTATTTTGAATTTTGTGGATATTTAATTTATGGAAAACATACCGTATTATTTTACGTCAGTGGTTAAATATCGCTCGGCTATAGTATACAAATATTCTTTTATACGGTCAGTACCTACGTTTCTATTATTATTTGCAAAGGCTTTAAGAAAATTTAATTTTTCAAGGTCATCATCATCTAAAATAGTTTGTTTTCCATAAATTAAATAATAATGCAATGCAATTACTTACCATTAAAACCTTCAGTAGTTTCCATAGTGTTAAAACCTTCTAGTTGACCAATTTCTGTAGGGATATTCTCAGCTTCAAAAGTAGTTTCTTCTGCAAATGTTGCTTCTTGTGCAAATGTAGTTTCTTCCGAAAATGTAATTTCTTCTGCAACGATAGTTTCTTCGGTAAACGTAAATTTTTCTGCATTATTTTCAACTTCTTTATCTTGTCCATCATTACTACCAGTTTCCCCACCTTCCTCATTTTGAGAAATTTGAGTCGGAACCTCTTTATTCACTAAACTCTCCAAATCGTGCAACTTATCATTCATTTTATGTTCAAACTCGTTCTCGGTAGATTCAAAATTATATTTTCTTGAGGTTAAAGGCTCCACATCGGTCGCGAAATTCGTATCAATTATGGACTGCTTGATGTCGCTGTCGTTCTCGACGGTATCCAAGAGATGGGCCACTTCTTCATCGGTAGAATCGGGAGGAGTTTCGACGCTCACTTCCTCAAACTTTTGCGTTGCTAGATAATCGTCGACGTTAAACTCGGTAGTGCTGGCCTCCTCAAAGTTCATTATAGATACCGTGGTTTCTTCTTCTTCAAACGTGTTGGTTTTAAATTCTAGTGGTTCGAATTGTTGCACAACCATTGTAGTTTCTTCTATTGGTGAAAGTAAATATTCAGGTGAAGAAAATATAATTGAATATTCAGTAGGTTCTTCTTCAGCCACAGTTTCTTCAATAGTAATTGCTTCTATTTCTTTAGGACTTATTTCTTTAATTTCATCAGATAAATAAAAAGGATTAAAATATTCAGTAGGATTTTCTTTGGACACAGTACCTACAGTTTCTTTAAAAGTAATCGCTTCCATTTCTTTATTAAAATATTCAGTAGGATTTTCTTTAGACACAGTACCTACAACTTCTTTAAAAGTAATCGCTTCCATTTCTTTATTATTCAACGGTATTTCTTTAATTTTCTCAGGAGTAATTTCTTTAGTAGTAGTTGCTTTAATTTCTTCATTACTAACAGTCGTTAGTTTTTGAATTTCATCAATAACATTCGCTTCAGTTTCTTTACTACTCGTTGTTTCTTTAATTTTTTCAAATGTTGTTTCTTTAATAGTGGTTGCTTGAGTTTCTTTAGTACTTATCGTACTTTCTTTAGATGTAGTTTTTTTAACATAAGTCACTTTTTCAGGTGTTATTTCTTCCGTAGTTGTTTCTTTAATTTCTTCATTTATTGTTACCTCAATGGTCGTTGCTTCTGTTTCTTTAGTATTTATCTTTGTTTTTTTACTTTTTTCAATCGTCATTTCTTTTTCTTTGGTCGTTTCCTCTCGGCTTACTTCATTTTCCTCAGGTACCATCTTTGTGGCAATTTCTTGGGTAGTTTCTATAACGAGATCAGCAGTTATTCCCTTCAGTCGTGCTTGCATTTCATCTTCCTCGTCTGATGTTTCAGACGTTCCTTCTTTTTCTTTTTCAATGGTATTTTTAGTATTTTTACCAGTGCTTTGTGTGATTTCGTCATAGTCTTCATCATCTTCTTCAATCACCACCGTGCTACTCTCAATCTTCATTTCGCTTTCGGGTGGTTTTACTTCTTCAGAATCATCAATATATTGTGTACTAGCCTCTGAATCGTTTTCGTCATCATACTGAAACTCATTTGTAGTTTTAACAGTGGTTGTTTCAAGAGTCGTAGTTTTAACAGTTGTAGTTTCAAGAGTTGTTGGAGTTGTGATGTCCTTGGTAGTTTTAGAGAAATGTACACCTTTTTTAGTTGTCTTTGGTTTTCTACTGGGCCATCTAAACTTCTTCCAGATCGGCGTGTTTCCTCGTTTCTCCATTAAATCATAGTTTTTTTTACTTGCACGTTTTGTTTTGTGCTTGGATGTGGCACTTTTTGCTTTTGTCCATTTATACATGCTCCAATTTGGCTCTAAATCCTTTTGAAAAATAAAACAAATTTGTATTATGAAGGTAATGCCTATTAGTTGTAACTTACTTTGTCTGGTGTATTCTGCGTGGTTTTCTTAATATTATGATTGTTGTTGTCATGGTGCGGTTTAGCAGTCCAATGGTATTTTTTCCAGTTAACGGCTTCTCTTTTCTTTGCCGAAACATTATCATCATCGTTATCGGGAACTAATAATTTGGATCTTGACCTAAAAAACGTTCATTATCGTCGTTCGCTTCGCGTTTCAAACCGAAAATTTTCTTCCACCATGTCTTCTTTTTTTTCTTCTTTTTCTTTTTCTTTTTCTTCCTCCGATTTTTCTTCTTGCCTTGTTTGACACTGCCTCTCTTGATTCTCGTTATTTTCTCCACCAGCTTGTCGATGTTTACTAAATTACCGATATTGTTCTTCTTGTCCATCAATGGACCATGTGATTTTTTCAAATCCAAGTTATGAATCCACGGATCATGTTCATGTTGGTGCTTCCAATAAAGAACTTTTCCTAGAGCGGAAAGTTTTTTGTCCACCCTGGCGTTAGTTTTGTAATCAAAGCTCTGCAGCGATCGCGACCTAAACGATAACTCCTCCATTAATCCGGGCTGTCCGAGCAAATTCTGTACTTCATTGACCAACTTCAAGTCTCTTTCAAGCTGCGATAATTTTTCGTATCGTTTCTTTTTGTGCTTGCAGGCGGGACCTGTCCCATTGATAGATGCGGCCGTAGCCGGTTGAACAGGTACAGAACTATGTGCTGCAACTGCAAGAGGAGTAGAAGTAGGAGGAGGAGTAGAAGGTTGATGCGGCGGTTGTGTGGGTGGAGATGGGGTTGGGGCAGATGGAAGCGGAGGAGCAGCTGGCCGTGCAGCTGCTGGTGGTGGAGCTGCTGGAGGTGGCTGACCCGCTGGAGGTGGCTGACCCGCTGGAGGAGGCTGACCCGCTGGAGGCGGCTGACCCGCTGGAGGTGCAAACTCTTGTGGTTGAGGTGCAGATGTAAATGTATCGCAGTTTCCTCCAGCCATTGGTGCTGAAGGTGGTTCCATTTGTGCAGGGTTCGGAGCACCATTAACTTCATGATTTGCATGGTTTCTTTCCCCAGGAGCTGGTTCGGCGTCCGTAAAAAGATCGACGTTCATCGAGAAATCATCTAAACTGCTTTTTGAAGTTATTTCCTTGTTAGCCTGGAAAATAGTTGTCATTGTATTTCAACGAATAAAAACTTAATTTTCATGTATCCGTTTGTCCGTCATCCGTATGTCAGTTTTTCAATAAAATCGTCCGATAAGAAATGTTCTAATTTTCATGCATACGTTTTTTAATGACGTTTAACGGATTAATTTTGCGACAAATAGAAATTAAGTGTCAGTATATTCACTTACTAAATTTACCTAATGCTTAATTGTCATAGTTACAATTATGTCAACAATTGTAACTTTAACAGTTAGCTGTCTAATAAATTTAAAGGTAGGTAAATATACACGATGACATTATAATATGACAATTATAACAAAAATTCTTTGACGTTAACGTCTTTTTATAGCCCGCGGGCGTTATTATGGCCCAGCGGGCTATAATGAAACGTCAAAAATTAAAAACAACAATGTTACACCATTTGATATATTCGAAGTAAGTTTTTTCGTATAAAGATTTTGATTTTACCGGCAGCAGGCCGCAATTTTTCGCCTTTTCAGCTGCTTCCTCAATTTCATTTATCTTTAAACTTTAAAACTGACTGATGTCAGTTGACATTATAATATGACAATTATAACAAAAATTCTTTGACGCAAACGTCTTTAAAAACAATAATATATTAAAAATAATAATATATTAATCGTGCATAAAGTTTTGTATGCATTGCTGGCATAACTGGTTTTTATGGTCCTACGAGGCTTTTCTAGCCCTCGCGCTAACGCGCTCGGGCTCGAAATAGCGCCTCGGACCATAAAAACCTTATTATGCCCTTAATACATAAATAACTATTACGTGTCAAGCTTTGTAAATGAATCTTTACAGGCGAGCTGGAAGTTTATGGGGTGAGCGACGCAGGAGCGAACCCCATAATCCAGTGAGCCTAGTATAGATTAATTGCAAAGCGTGACACGTTCAAACTTTTATTTTCACCTTTAGATAACGATTTTCAAATTTAAAATTTTAATTAATATGTCAAATGTGACATTTCATTTCATAAATTGCTTTTCTACAAGCCTGTAAAACTTTACAGGTCTTTTATACAAGCCCGTAAAGTATTACAGGCCTAGACCACACCAATAGATACGTAACTACCTGAAAACGTTTTGATGCAATAAAGCGCCATCTATTAAAATTGAAGTAATTAAAATGCAACGTTGCCAAAATCGCCCGCCAATATTTAAAAATATATATTATTTTGTAATTGGCAGAGTACAGTGCAAGAACTAGATAACTCAATTTCCACTAAAATGTTTTACATTTTAAAATAGTTAACTGGTTCTTGCACTGAACAAGGCTTTACATTGCTTTTTTTTCAAATTGTAAAATGGCTCTTAAAATACATTTATATTTAAATATAATTATATTATAATCATTGTTAGGTCATAAATGAAATAATTAAAATATTTTAACATATATTTTTCAATATAAATATTACATAAACAGTAAAATACTACCTTAGGCCATACAAATAATAAACATAAAATAAATAATTCAGGAGTGAGTGGTCAAAAACAAATTTATCCATTTGATCAAATTTTCAGGGGAGCGTAAAAACATAAAAATACATTAAATTGTTGTTATATAAGACATCCTCTTAGTTTTTCTAAGATGCCTATAGGCAGTAAGCCACTGTATTCAGAAACCTTTTAGAATTTGTAGAATTGAATTTAGAGAACAAACATGTTTGGTTATGACCAAATTTCATTTAAGATGATTATTTTTAAGTCCCATTTAAAGTAATGGTCTTTGACCACTTTTAAAGTGGTTATATGTATGTGTGAATGATCCTCCTCTACAATGATCACTACTTAAGTAGTAATAATTATTTGCCAGAAGTGGACAAATTTGGTTTTGATTAAAAGCTCCTCAATTAAACCGTACAAAACATAATTATATAATAAAATCCTATTTTGATTTACATACATATTGAACATAAAAAACATAACAATTAAATGAAAAAGTAGATGCGTTTCACTATATATACATTAAAATAACTTGCATTGGTCAAAATTGATTAACTTGAAAATATTTTTAAAGCCAGTTTCCTGTCTGTCATGAGAATTTTATATTATTAATTTGTTTAATAAAATTAAACAAATATACTTTAAATTTTTTAGTATTGTATTCTCTTTTTAAAATGTTTTTTAAAGCCAGTGCCCTGGCTTTATGAAAGAGCTCTGGAGCTTTTTTATTTAACTTTCTACTGTCTTTTGAATTTAAAATATTATTTATTTGTTTTATAAAATTAAACAAATTTACTTTGGTATTTAGTTCTGACAGACAAAAGCAGGCAATAAAAATAATAATATTAACTTATATTTAAAAATATATAGATTTTCATGCAGAAAACACCACTGCAAAATTACATACTAATTTTAATGAAACCAAGCTATACCTGGTAATAATAATGTTGGGTAAGCCAGACGACCAAGTCTTTTATTACGTAAAAGTCCTCCTGAATAAAATGCTTTGAACACACTCTGCAGTTTGTAAAAATTTTTTGAGGTGTCATCTCAAGAAGTCTTTTATTGGCACATAACTTAACCCATTTATTAAACAAGTCGATGTTCTTTGAAGGATTTGGAAAGGAATGTTTAGATTCCTTAGATCCCCAACAACTTTCAACAGCACAATATATAGCAACCATCTGTAATAACAAAGTTTTAAAACAAGAATTAAACAAGAATAAAAAACATACTTACCTTTCAAGATGTAAAAAATAAAATAAAATATAAAAATAATATAAAAATATAATAATATTGGAATTAAGCACTAATTTAACACACGTTCAAGTTTATTAAACCAACTTATATTTAAGACACTTGTTTGACAGACATTAAAAACAGAGCATATATGATTAATATAATATTTTAAAGATGAGTGACAGCTGTTTATGAATTAATTAAAAAGGTTAAAGCTGTTTATTAGTTGCGGGGTTGCTACATCGTCATTGACCACAGCGCCGTCTAAAATGAAGAAACTATATTATGATACAAGGCCATCCATTAGAGTAGATTATCTATTGGTGTGGTCTAGGATTACAGGTCTGTTCCCATAATGTATCGTTTACTTGGATACAAAAACAACACAATTAACCTATAAAATGTCATTTACTAAGAAGGTGGAAATAAAAAGAATATACTAGCCTTAATATACATTCAAATGTATAGTTTTAAAAAAGCAGGTCCTTTTAGTTCTAGTTTTAATTTTTTGTTTGTCCTTTCTTTTTTTCCGTTATTCTTATTAAATAAAAACTTAACAGTAAAACATTATTCACATAACGAACGTAATATTTCCGTTTTACAATCTTATTAAAAAAATATAAAAATATTTGAAAATAAATTATCTTAAAATAACGTTCTGCGTCAAAAACAGATGTGTAGTGACGGATGAGTTAAAATTATTTAACCTTTCTCTGTCAGACGTACGAAGTTGAAACTTGACGGACCGATAAAATGTCATAATTTTCGAATTATAATTGGACCAATAAGAGCGCTCCCGGATGAACGGACTGACGGACAAACGGATACATGAAAATTAAGCTTAAATAACTGAATTATTCCCAGCAAACATTAAATCGTCGGCCAATGATCGGATAAATGTTGGCAATTGATTTATCGGATCGGATATATCGGATCTGCGAAATTAGACCAATTGTCGGTCATGAATCTTACGTCGGCAAATCGTTGGGACGATATCGTGTTTCCTTTACAGATGTTGAAAGTTTGAAATAATATTAATTGTTACAGTTAAAATTGACAATATTAAACAAAATTTCTAAAAAATGTAATTAATTAACAAAGTTATAAACAAATATAAAAGCGATACATCTCAAAGCTGCTAAAGCACGCTTGCTTACTATAAATACCGATAGGCAAAAGATATTTAGTTGAAGATATGCGTCTACAGAGACAAAATTTATCATAACTGGGAAGCCTTCACCGTGAAAGCTGGAGTACCCCAAGGCACTGTGTTAGCTCCGAAACTGTATATCTCTTACACGTCAGATCTCCCACATTTCATGAAATGCAAGCTAGTATTGTACGGTGACGCTACACGCCCATTCGTTCGCGTCACAGGCTCGCTTTTTCGGCTGACGCTACCCGGCTAGGATGCGTCAATCGCCATACCAAAACAAGATCTTGTTTTGTTATGGCGATTGACGCCTGGTCGACCAGTCATACACAGGTATCGACAAAAATCTACACACGAAATACAGTTTTTTTTTAGATTTTTCTCTGAATGAGCTCTAGAACGTATAAAATTTAAAAAGTCAAAAGACATTAACAAGAGCATATTTGGGTACAACAAAGCAAAACCACCTTCATAAGCGCGTAGCGTAAATAAAAGGTTACGTCGAAGACATGTGTGTGCGCGGAGTACCATGGGACTCAAAACCCATAAGTAAGGCCCGGATTTTAGGTAAAACACCTTTTGTTGGTTTTTTAGGTTTTAAAGATATTTTTTTGTATTTGCCCGTTTTATAAAAAATGGAGTCATCTGACTAAGTTTTATTTGACCTAAAATACCTTTTTTATATTTTTTTCACCTATTTTCCTTTTTTGCACCTAAATTGTATTTTTAATACCTAAAATGAACTTTTTTTACCCGTCCTGTGACGTTGAACGATCATTCTCTTGGCTTAAAAATGTTTTGACTGATAAACGCACTAGCTTTACTTCTGAAAACTTGGAGAAATATTCTGTCATGCATATAATCGTTAAATAAATTAATAATTTTTTTTTTTTGATTTTAGAGTTCCTATTATGTTTTTTTGCTATTTTACATTATTTGTGATATGATATATTTACTTTTTTAAAGAATCTTTTATTTTATTTGTTATTTTTCCAACCAAACATTTTTGTTCAGTTAATGTTAATAATAAATATTATTTTAATAACTATATATAAAAATATATTTCATTTTTAATTTAAATCCTTTATTGCCGGACATTAACAGAGCAATTATAATGTAACTAAAACTACATAAGACCTATGTATGGTTTTACAACGATATCGACATTATAATGAAAACATTTTATTTCAATAAATCAGCTTATTTAATTTTTTTATTTAAGTATCTAAAATGTAGGCACCTAAAATAATAACCTAATTTTATAACTATGTGACCTATTTTTTGCATTTTGTTTTACTTTTTTATAACCTAAAAATACGGGCCAACCAATATTAACTTTTTAATTAAGTACCTAAAATATAGGTACCTAAAATAATAACCTTTTTTATTAAAAATATCACCTAATTTAGGAACCTTTTATCACTTTTTTATGACCTAAAAATCCGGGCCTTACCCATAAGGCTCTCGTAGCCTTATTCTAGGGCCAACATAAATGTTATGCTAACTTGTTCAGGTACCTGTCTTGGAATGTTCTCTTTCCGACGTCGGGCTGACGCATAAATTCGACGTCATCCCGAGAAATTTTAAGACTGATCGGCCAAACGTCATCAAACGTACCGTAAAGTAATTGGTAGTACCCTAAAAATAGTTATTTACGTGTCAGGCTTTGTAAATTAATCTTTACGGGCGAGTTGGAAGGTTTTATAATCCAGTGGGCCTAGTAAAGATAAATTGCAAAGTGTGACACGTACAAACTTTTATTTTCATCTTCATATCGATGACTTTCTGCCAAAGTATCGCAAGCAACATAACTCAAATTTCGGGAATTGAAAACATTTTTTCTTTTAAAGTCTGTTTTAAATTAAATATAGCCCAAAGGTTTTATAACAATTAAATAGCTTATAATTATAGCTATTTACTTGTTATAAATCCCATAGGTTATATATGGTTTAAAACAGACTTTGAAACAAAACAAAATTTTAATTACCGAAATTTGAGTTACGTTGCTTGCGATACTTTGGCAGAAAGTCATCGATATGGCGATTTACAAATTGAAAACTTCAATATACTTATGGTATAAGGAAATACGATCCTATTTCTTATAAGCTACAAGAATGTAAGTGTCTTAATATGGAAAATAGACGAAAACTGCATGCTGTGACATTTTTTTCAAATATAATTTTATACAAAAGTCCAAAATATCTATACAATAAATTTACTTTTAGAACTGATGTCCATACATTAAACTTGAGACATAAAGGCCTTATATCACCACCTCTTCATAAAACTACTCTATTTAAACGGTCTTTTACATATAACGTATATAAAGTTATAAAGTTATATGCATTATATAACAAGTTGTCCGATTTATTTAAAACCCTTCAACCTAATAGCCTTAAGTATGCTTATAAAAATTATCTCCTACAAACAGCTCAATCTTAAACAAATACCTTATACATAATATATTATATTAACTAGGTTGTTTATACTCGTATACCACTTTATTTCTACCCTAATGTGTTTTTTGTACGTGTTTTTTTCTTTTTAAGGACTGGAATTTTTATATCAGTTTTAAACTGCCTTCCAGCTCCTTTTTATTGTCATTAAATAATTATATAGCTGAATTTGTATTTTCTTTTTTTTGTAATTATAAAGCTGAATTTATATATTCTTTTTCTTTTTTGTATTTGACAATAAATAAACCATTTATTTATAGAGACCACTAATTATTAAATTCAAAATAAATTAATATTTGGTGTATTTTATTATATTAGGGTACCTGATCTATTAGATCGTTGGATTGGGCTTCGTCAACATCATCATTTACAGGACCTAATGCGTTTGAATGTTGTTCGCTATCAGCATTAACAGACTCACTTCCATTTTCAATTTCGGGTGAATCGACAAGATGAAACGGCTCCGGCCCTCCAGTATTTATTATTTCCTGCACCCCAGCTATGATGGAATCAATCTAAAAAAATTAGTTAAATTTATTTCTTTCAAATAAACCTAGATACAATCTTACAGTTGTAAATGGATCAACAGTTTTATACAAAGCATCATCCAAGGTAGCATCGCCCTCTTCCTCTTTGTCAGCATCTTTGGCAGGAACGTCTTCATCGCCACCCTCTGGTACAGGGTTTGCGCCCGTTGAACCTTCAGGGCCCACACTAATGTGTTCGAACTCGCTTTTGACCGTAGTATCGACACCTGATGGCGCCACACTCACAGAGTTTAACATGTCAAGCAGCTTTTCGGTTTCATTTCGACATGAATCTTCGGACGCGTTGCGTTTCGCTTGCAGTGAACAATCTACTACCTAAAATTACACAGTTAGACTTGTTTTGGAATGATTTTGCAGGTTTGTACTCGTTTCGATTGGGCAGCATTTCGCTTATGCTTCTTTTCCTTTTCATCAGGAGATTGAGGGTACACCAGGAGGCCTGGATAAAAATTAAACATGGTGGTGGCATCAACAACACGCCTATTTCTTTTTTGCTTTTCCACTTTTCCTACATCCCTGCTCTTTATCTACAAAACCACACAATCATTAATATTAAGTCTTGACAATTTTGTCATTTTGCTCGCGCGCTTGAAGAAGAAGAAGGGAGAGAGGGGGAGACCCCTAAAGTAAGAATTGCGACGATGCTGTCATCCGCGTAAGGAAACACGAGTGACAACAACATAACAAATCTTACAACCCCAAGCCCATGTCATACCTCTCTCTCATCTTCCCAATCCACAAACTTTATTGATATAATTTACATTAAAAGTATATATAACCTTTATATGACGAATATACTCCAAAATAATTGGAAAATATTATTATTATTAAATTTGAAAATGGATCGGTAATGATTTAAGAAGAATACGAGGGTTGCCTTTTATATTTCGGGAATGGCCGAACCTGCTGATGCTATCGGCAACAGATGTCTGTATCGTTAAGTTCGACCTTTTAGACGGTGTTCTTAATTAACACGTTTTGACGTGCGGGCGCAATTAGTATTATTAACAGTCACTTGAAAAATTTCGTGAAGGTCGTCCAAAATCACTCGTTCTTGCAAAAAACATTGATGCTTTGCGTGAACTGGTAATGCAAGATCATCATGTGACATATCGTGAGATTGGGTCATCCTTGGGCATTAGTGGGACATACATTCAATATTAAATGAACATTTGGCCTTCAGAAAAAATTGTTACCGTTGGATCCCACATAATTTGAGAATCGATCAAAAAAGGTCTCGGGTCTAGTGGTCAAAAGAAATGCTTAAAAAATACGATGGCGGTGCTTCAAAACATGTTCATGACATTGTAACAGGTGACGAATCATGGATCTAAGCGTATGAACCTGAAAGTAAACAGCAGTCGACTGTGTGGGTCTTTAAAAGCGGTTGATGCGTTCAAAATGCATGTTTTGGAGGTGCCTCAATTGGAGTGAAAAAAATGCTTCGAAAATTGGTTCAAGTGCATGCAAAAGTGTGTCGATCTTCATGGAGAATATATAATAAAGCCATGTACGATGATTAATTGTTGTTTATTTTCTCTATTCCCGAAATATAAAAGGCAACCCTCGTATCTATGAGCTGAGATAATAATAATAATAGTAATAATAAAAAAATAATAAGGGCCCCTCTCAAGCTTACACCAATGGTGTCCAAGGTACCAATAACCCTTGGATTGGTAAAAATATTTTTTAATGTAGATACAATGTTGTATTTATAGATATAAAAATATATAAAAAAAAAAAATAATAATAATAAATTGTTAATTTAGTAATAATTAAAAATAAATGAAATAAAACTTACACAATTAATCATTCCACCACAACCTTCGTTCGCACCTGGGATATTTTTCACGGACCCATACACTTCCTTGCTTCCCAAATTCGGTCCATCTATAGAAAAACTGTAGCTTAATCCTTCGAACGGCGAAGTGACCCCAACAGGCATATTAACATTGTTTTTGTTACTATCTAAGACTCCACCACCGTACGCAGAAGGCGGCGTTGCTTCCACTTGTACTCTGGGCATCATGTAACCCGGGGACTTATTAGCACCATCTAGTTGCGCTTCCGCTCCTTTAATTGGTTGATCGGTGACTTGAGAAGGCATCAATAAAATATTGGCGATGTATATCGGAGATATGGAAGCATTATTAACGTTATCATTATTGGCGCATATTAATTTTATAGCGTCAGATGGTTTGAGTACTGTAGCATTGTTCATGTTCGCTGTAGGTATTGGTGTAAATAATTCTGATCGTGTAATTAGACCTAAGTTAAGTGTGGTCATTAAACCTATGTTAGATGTAGTGTTTTCTATACCTGGTAGGGTCATAGGGGCGATATCTGATACGCAAAATGTGGTAGTCTCTAAGGGTTGAGCAATAAACGTGGAGTTAATATCTGTAGAGTATTTTGTAGTGTTTTCCGTCAAATTAAAACTTGCAATGTCTGTAATGTTTCCTATAATACTAGCATCTGTGATACATTCTGTAGTACTAGATTCTAAAGTACCAATAGAATCTGTAGCACTACTGGATTCTGTAGCACTACTCAATTCTGTAATATTATTGGATTCCGTAGTACTACTTAATTCCGTAGTACTACTTGGTTCCGTAGTATTACTGGATTCCGTAATACTACTGGATTCCATAGTGGAACTAAATTGTGTGGTAGAAGTAGATTGTGTTAAGGAACTTTCTGTAGTAGAATTAAGTTGTGTAGTGGACTCTGTAGTATTGGTGCTAGATTCTGTAGATTTGATAGATAAATCTGTACTATTGGTACTACTAGTAGTTTCAGTTGTGCTATGTTCAGTACTAGATATGGTACTGGTACTGGTACTGGTATTTTCTATACTAGTTGAACTGATGGATGAAGCTTGATAACTAGTGGAAACACTAGCGAAAAGTATGGGCATGTAGGTAAAGTTTACTTTACTGGCCGATTCGGAAAGAGCGTCCATGATTTTTTTTAGCGGTTCGAGATTACTGTCGTACTTGTTCGTGGGTGCACAAGTACTCGTGCTGTTGACTTGTCTTTTTTGACGGTTTCTGTACATTTTTCCCAGTACTTTGACTAGAGCCATTACAGGGTCTACTTCGGGCTGATAGTGGCTCATCAAATCTCTTTTGCCTTTATCGGGATCTGTTGAATCTGGTTGTTTTATCAAATTCCTTTTTCCTTTGTCAGAATCTGTCATATCTTGTTGGTTTGTTAATTCTCGTTTTCCTTTATCAGGATCTGATATTTCTGGTTGATAATTGCTCACCAAATCACGTTTGCCTAAATCAGGATCTGCGTCATCCAAATGCAAAGTGCTTATCACTTCATTTCTGACTTTTTCTGCATTCGATACTTCCGCTTGACTCATTAAATCGCGTTTTTCTTTAACTTTTTTAATTTTGGATTTAGATTTGGCAGATTTTTTAGAATCGTGGGCTCTTCTTCGATCCAGCTTCATACGGCACAATTCAGACTTTATGTGGTCTATTTCTGAGGAACAGTCTTCTTCCGTTGCTAGAATAAAAGTAAAAGCAAAGTTAGGTTAGAACATGAAACAAGCCTTATTCCAATGAAAATCAGAAATAGGTCGGTATCAATCAGATCCTTAAGAAATAAGTGTCTTAGTCGAGTATGTTTACCTGCCCGGCGCTTCCCTAAATGGTATAGATAGTTTACGATAAGGCCACTTGGGGTAATATTATAGACACTTCATTATAAACCACTGGATTCATTAGGAAATTCGGTTTTAAAAAATCACCAATATTAGTTATTTGATGCATTTTTCGTCTTCGTACGGAAAAAATACGCTTCTTAAATAAAAAATTGTACGTTATCCATTACTTCTTTCCATTTTCTTAATAACTACTAGTTGAAATTTTTTCAATTGACGAGACGATTTTGTTTTGAGTTTTTGGACTCGCTATATCGATACCGAACATAATCAGCAAAACTATTTCGTCCATCGAAAAAACAACTCATGAGTATGAGTATAAGAACGTATGGCAGGCCCCATCGGCTACGCCTTACACTGATCTTTTAGGGTTATTTAACCCCCTTTCGGTTCTATACGTATCCCGCCACTGCACAGCGTTACCTGTGTACCCTAGGAGGTCGTGGATGACAGTGTCGATGGTGAGAACCATTCCCGGAATTTTGTCGCCGGGCCGACCATACGCCCGATTTTGGTTAGTGGAGTGTAGGACAAGGAGGGGCAACAGTTGGTTTTTGTGGGCCTTGAACTGACCCAAAACTAAGTACAATCCGGACTCCCCCTCAACCAGGGTATTAGTAATGACCCCATTCAATTGGGGTTCATGAATGAGGCATGGGTTATTAGTACGTTACTTGGACATCCTTGCTGGTCTTGTATTTCATCCGGGTCTCTGTCCGGACAGCTGAAATTCGGAATCTGCTGCACGCAGTTTGCCCCACAAGGGTGTTGTTTTTACTTTCCCCACACTCTTAGAAATACTTAAAATGACTCGTTATGAGTTATTGACTCTTTGTCCCAGCGGAAAGGCAGTCGCTAATGGTTAAACAAATTTTACCGAATGCAACAGTCAATATTGGGTTTGGTTTAAAGTTTTTTTACAATAGTTTTTGTTTACTCACCTAAGCAATCCCTACAATTATTAATTTAACTAAGTAGGAAGTATTTATTGAAAACGTATATTCGTTGTTTTCTTGTTGTGGTGGAATTGTGTTTGTAAACGTTTTCTTTTTATATTTAACAATTGCATTTGTATTTATTTTACTGAATGTCTCCCAGTTTGTTTATTAAGGCAAAGATTAGAAAATGGTTTGATTACTTACAGAAGATTTATGTGTTTATTAAGTCACGTCCTATATAGTATATACATACTGCCTTTGCATTCGGTATTTTTGGTCTATTTAATGTAGTGGTTCGTTAACCCTGTTTAACTCTTTTATTCTTTCTTGTTGATTTCTACGGATTTGTCACTTGGGAAGGTATAAACACACCCGTAGGCTCCTTATCCTCTTGTAATTGGTTTCTTTCTGGTTTATGCCGCGATGAACTAGCTGTTCAGGGTGGTTCAGTGACTTCGACAGGTGGGGTGGCAGTTCACTTCGCGCTTTTAAACGTAGCAGTGTTGATTTGGTCCATCGAAAAAACAACTCATTGCCAATTGCTTTAATTTTATTCAGTATACTGAATAGATATATAAGTAAGAATACTAAGAAAACGGAAAGAATGTGATGTAAAACGCGAATTTTATATTAAAAAGAATTATTTTGTCTTACCCATACGACCACAAAAATGCATCAATTAACATTTTTTGGAAACTGCAATTCCTAACGAATCCAGTAGTATGTATATAATTAAGTGTTTTAATAATTATAAGCTCAGGACTGGGCAGATAAACCCCTTAAGCAGTCTGAACCTATTGTTTACCAAAATATATAAATTAAATATGAATAAACAAAGGAATTGTGATGGTTATAAAACATAAAACAAGGTATTTATCAGTGGGGGCTCGTCAGGTTGAATGACGGAACGAACGACCTTTTGTATTTATTTTTTTACCTATTACAAGTATACTTTTACTACAGTTCTACACAATAAAAAGTAAAAAATCAATCATAAATGGTAAATTAAAATCCATGCTCAAACCGCGTCAACCCACAAGTCGAGAGTCGAGCGAACAGAGGCAAAATATTTATAGCCTGTAAAGCTCCTACTTACCAGCAAAGAGCGTAAACTATTTACCTACCTACTAATATATCAGGCGAGCTCTAATTGGTGGTTTTATTTCACATGACTGAAGATGTGGTGATTGGCAGTGTATGTAGAGCGGGTGTTTTTGTTTTGATTCAGATTAAATTATTTAAAACTGTTGTCTAATCTTTTATAGTTTGTGTCTCGATTAGTAAAATTTATTATTTTAATATTGTGGTGCACACAGGTAGAATTAGCAGTTTTCATTAAGCAACGACTTAAGTCGTATTGAGTTTCAATTAAGGTTAGATTTTCAAAATACCGGTAAGTTTTCTTTAGTTAAATATTTCATATATTTTAATGAATCTTGTTCATGGCATTATTCTCTCAATAGAATATAGATAGATATAGTTTCAATTAAGGTTAGATTTTCAAAATACAGTTTTCTTTAGTTAAATATTTCATATATTTTAATGAATCTTGTTCATGGCATTATTCTCTCAATAATTGAAACGCCTTTTTTGAGAAGAAACGAAACTGAAAAAAAACAGATATAGAGTAATCGTACTCTATATCTGTCTGAACGACTACGTAGTCGTCCAACGCCAAAAATTTTATCAATATTTATAAATAACGACAAGAGGCAGGGTAAGCATTGCTTACTAAGAAATATTTGCGATCTTTTAAAATATTAAGTGGCTATGCGGAAGTATTTATAACAGTGGCGGCTCGTGACCATTCATGAAGGTGAGGCCCATGAACCACTATATGGCGCCGCGGGCAATTTTTTTGAAATTTTCAAGGTCCTCATTTTTGGAGCACTTCAGAATCTAAATAAAAAAAATATATTATTTAAAAATATGTTCTTTCACGAGAAGAATTTTCAAAATTTAGCTGGAATAATACAAAAAGTGCCCGATGAGGTGGGATTTTTATTTATTCCTTCAGCAGGTTTCCACATTACCCAGGAGGTACTGCTCATTTTTACCTATCTTGCAATAATTATTTTTAGATTAATAAAGGCACAACCGCACAACAACAAAATAATAATGTACAAGCACAGTAGGTATATGAAACTCAACGATTTAATACTAAACTATAAAAAAACATGAATATTTTTATTTATATTTTTTATGATTTTTACTGTGGTATTTGTGTGTTAATATAATAATATATTAAAATAAAAATGATCTTTTATAATTATTTGAATTATTTTTACATAAATTCACAACACAATAATGTATTTTACGCTTGCATTTTTATCACAACTTTCCATTTTAACGCTAAGGCAAAGACTAAACAGAAATAAGAAACTATAAACACGCATAGATCTAATTAATAAGCTTTGTTCACTAAAACATTCCACGCCCCGCCCAGTCTTTTACAACGGCTGATAAGCGAGACTGACTCTGCTGTCTTCCATATACTGTGGTACAAGACCAACTATGTGGGCCTCAATGTCTACAAAAATTCGCGTATTATCTCCGCCTTGCGGGGGTGCCGTCGGCACCGTGCAGCGGTGGGGAGTATGATGTATCGGCAATGTGTGACGTATATGAAGCGCAAATTTCTGGGATTACTATTTCCCTATTAAGCGGTCGGGCAATGATTTAAGCGTTTAGAATTAAAGTTGGAAGGGGTGCGCGCTAAATTTAAAGGAAATATTTTAAACTTTGATGGTTATTCGATGTTTCGATACTTTTAATGACTGGAAATTAGTTTAAAAACGTTTTATATTTAAATAAGTCATGTATCTAACATTTCAAATTATATTATAATTTTAACATGCGAGGCCCGGCCTCAGTTTCTTTATACGACGAGCCGCCACTGATTTATAAACACAGCCTATTCTGTTGAGTATGAGTATGAGTGAGTATATGAGTATGAGGACGTATGGCAGGCCCCATCGACATTGCCTTACACTGATCTCCAAGGTTTATTTTACCCCCTTTCCGTTCTCATGCGTATCCCGCTACTTCACAGCATTACCAGTGTTTGTTGAATCCGAATTTTTGCGCCGGCTGGTAGCACTCCCCTAGGAGGTCGTGGATGATAAGTCGATGGTTAAGGCCATTCCCGGAATTTTGTGGCCGGGCCGACCATACGCCCAGTTTAGGCTAGAGGAGAGCGGGACAAGGAGGGAAAAGTAATGGTTTTCAGAGGACATTAAAGTGACCCAAAACTAAGTACAATCCGGAATCCTCCTCAAACAGGGCTTTAGTCCCCATTCAATTGGGATTAATGAATGAGGGTAGGTGGGATAGTACGCTGCTAGAGCCTATCCTTATGGTGTACTTCCTGTTCGTATGTATCTGTTCCCCCCTGTTCGTCTTGTATTTCGATTTTGACGTTAAATACGTCCGATACTGTTGTTTTGATTCCCGTCCTCCCATACCCATTTTGTGTGTGATAATTTAAGTATGCCTCTGTTTAACGTCCCATGTCTATAATGTGTGCTTTACGGTGGAGTTGGTCTTGGACGTATGGTCTAAATGTCTCTGAATTTGTCCTTGTCTGTGTCCCCAGGCAGTTTACGTCGTGTTTTTCAAACAATTTGTTGTCTATAATGTTAATTGTAAGTTCCCCCTTTTTTTGTATAAAATTATTGTGGTGAATTTCTCATTACTTCTTTGCGTGTACTTATTAAAATGTAGTTTTATCAATGCGTTTTATTATTCTGTCTCGTTGGTTGGTGCTTTAATTGTACCTGCTGAGTGGTATGTTTATCTTTTTATGTTTGGTTTGGTTTTATTGAGATTTATGAGTTCAGGTTGGCGTTTCTTTATGGTTTAGTCGAGTTTGTTTGGGAAATTTCTTAATGTCTATGTTATGGATTGATTTATGGGTTAATGTCAAGCTAATGTTTCATTATAAGACCGTTGGCGCTTGGTTGCCAGATGTAAATCATGGTAATTAGCAATTGCAATTTTGCGTTTGGATTAGAATTTAAATTTAAGTTTGGCACTGTCGCGCGGCCTGTCGCGGCACGCCGTTCTTTGATCTTGACCGCTTCCACTCGCTATTGGCACGTGTTGTATGTATTGATAAACCAGGTAAATTTTCGTTGTGACCTATCTCGCACATTTTTACGCCCGTAGCTCTCTATGTAACTTAAAGCGGGAAAAACACATTATTTATTTTTTATTGATTTTCTTTTGCACTTGTATTCGATTTTTTTATTGTTGGAATTATATTTTAGTAGGCCGGTTGCTCTGATATTTTATTTGTTTTTATATAAATATACCTATATGTTTATCCATCCATATAAATATATTTTTTTCGAGTGTTTAATAATGCGCCGATTGTTTTCGCAATGGTTAATAATTAATGACATTAATTTCTCCCGTTGTGAACAATCTTATTCCTTCCCCTCTATATATTTTTATTTCTTCCTGCTAATCAGGTTACCTGATTACCTTATTCAGGTATAGTTGTCGCGGCGAATGTTTCAAATTAGCACAGACATTACAATCCCAGTAAGCACCAAACACTCGGCAAACAGTCGGCCTTCGCTCGGCACAGGTGGTTGACCGGCGGTTCGGCTTTCCCCCAGTCGTCCCGCTTATGGCCCGCGATATGTTAGCACGGTAGGTACCGTTTGGCCATGTTCTAACCAAAGTCGGCCAGAATACGGCATGCCGCTGCAAAATCGTTCGGCTTGCCCTAGCCGGCCCGCTTACGGCCTGCCGCGGCATAAGCAGACATCTCACGGCTGCGTAATTACTAGGAATGGGATTTTAGTTATTTTACCTTTTTTTAACCGATGTAACTATTTGAAAACCAATAATGCCAAAATGTGTTTTAAAAGATTTTCTTTTATACGAACCTAACTTGTTTTCACCTTTTTTACCTTTTTTGGAGGTTTTTGCTTTAAACTACCTTTTTTATACTTTTCTTACCTATTTTTTTAACTAGTTTTCACCTGTTTTACCTTTTTTGGAGGTTTTTGCTTTAAACTACCTTTTTATACTTTTGTTACATATTTTTTAATTTGTCAGTTTATTTTCACATATTTGTTATCTATTTTTTCGTATTTTTACTTATTTAATTTTTTTGTGTTCTTTTTAAATTTTCCGCCAATATTTTATCCAGGGCGTGCAACTCAACGGTATAGAATTTTTTCTTATGGTCACAGCATAGAAATTATTCTATTATTCTAAATTATTTCTATGGGTCACAGACTGTAACAGTAACTTTCTTTACAGTATTTCTTTGTATTGAGCTTATGTTCTGTCATAGAATTTCTGTGTAGTGAGTGTCACTCAGTGAAACACAGTTTATTGCATAGAAATAGTTTATTGTGGGTATGTTCTGTGTTTGGGTATGCGGCTAAACAAAATTATAAAAGAAACTTGAACTTTTAATATTTTTTTACCTAAAATGCTGTTTTTTTAACCTAAAATGCTTTTTTAGTACCTTTTTAGTTACCTATTTTTCAGTTTTTAGTACCTAAATATCCCATCCCTAGTAATTACGCAAGCGAGCTAACTATAAATAGCGATGGGTTGCAATATTTAGTTGGAAGTGTGCGTCTGTAATGGCATAGCTGAACATTAATTGTTTGAAGTCCCCATCTACATCCTCATCTGCTCAGTAACGAATAATGGCTATAGCCATTATTCGTTACTGAGCTATAGCTATAGTCGATTGTGTTAAACCTATAGGATATACCTATCCAGGACGTCTGAAGGCTTTTTTTAAATTGTCAGGCTGTTGTGGCCGGCACTCGGGAAACTATACACAGCCGACACTCGGCCGAGTAAACATAGCCGACATTCGGCCAGACATGTGTCGGTCCGCACGCGGCCGATTCGGCAAAACGTATTCGGGCCGGCTAGCTTGTGCTTACTGGGATTATTGTTGTTTTCTTTTACGTATATAATCCAAGGAACCGCTAGGTTAACCGTATGTCGAGAAATCGGTTTTTGACATTCGACATTGATGACGCAATTTGAAACATTCGCCGCGACGACTATAAGAAAAGTTTCATTCCCTCCCGCTACCATGACGACGCTACAGTGTGATTGACTTTGAATGTAAACGTCAGATTTATATAATTTTTTAAAGTTTTTTTGCGAAAGTGAGCATTTATAGTTTAGCTTAAATAACTTGAATTAGGTAAGCGTACTAATTAGTCAGTTAACTTAGTTGGAACGACTTTAGGAATGTAAACGTCAGTTTTTAATTAAACGTTATTTTTTTAATTTTCTAAAAATTTATTAATAATTAGCACCACTAGACAAAAAAGTTAGTATTTGCCTCGCGTGGAATCGCAATTACGCAATTACTCAATGAATGAAGTTTAGCTTAAATAACTTGAATTAGGTAAGCGTACTAATTAGTCAGTTAACTTAGTTGGAACGACTTTAGGAATGTAAACGTCAGTTTTTAATTAAACGTTATTTTTTTAATTTTCTAAAAATTTATTAATAATTAGCACCACTAGACAAAAAAGTTAGTATTTGCCTCGCGTGGAATCGCAATTACGCAATTACTCAATGAATTCCTCACTCGCCTATCGGCTCTCTCGGAAACTTTCATCATCGGGAGTAATTGCTATGGTTCCACGCTCGGTAAACACTATACTATTTAAGTTCCAGATATTTATTTTAAAGTTCTAAAAAACAAATTTGTTTTTCTGTTTCGCAATTTGGGTTAAGATTGCTTTGATATTTTTTTTGTTTTTTTATAATGGTTTTGTAGGGCTATCGGCCATTTTAAAAAAGGTCAACGCGTCGCAGAATAATACTTCCCGGGTGACGTGGAAATTTATTCGTATTTAGACAAAATTAACTTCATGTAGCCTCACCCTCCCATACACCCAGGAGCCGCCACTGGTATTTAGTGGTCTAAACTTAGATGATGAATGGTGGATAACAAAACAATTTCTTACTTTGTATCGGTGCACATTGTGTAATGGATTCTTGTCTCTCTGCTTTACAATTTTCTGTCGCACAATCTTCTTTAAAATCTGGGGGCTCTTTTTCATCCGCATTATCAAAGTAAACTCCTTGTTGGTTGTCGCAAAGATCGTCATTGCTGCCTTCTCCTGATTCCGTGCTGATTTCTTCCGTATTATTCGATTGACTATTATTACAAATAATGTTTACTTTAACTGGTTTTTCTGGACCTTTACTATTGTTGGCACATCTCGATATAACGTTGAGGTTAACGTTGATGTTAGTATCTTTGTCCTCGTATTGATAATCCTGAGGTTCTTCTGTATCGCATTCTTCTTCCGGAGTGGTGGTTTCTTCGATGGGTTCTTCTTCTTTTATCACCACCATTTCTATTGTTTTGGGCTTCTTCTCCTTGGTTTTGTTGCATTTGGTTTTGACTTGGTCGTTGCTACTTAAACTATCTTGACTACTGTCACTTAAATTACTATTTGTACGCTTAACATAACTTATTGTAGATGGGACTTTAACGATTTCGGAAGGTTTTAAATTTGGCGCTCTTCGCTTTGTAATGTCCGCTTCCTGTTGGTAGTCCCTCTCCACGATGTCGTCGAAGTCCTCGACCTCCTCGAGGTCGTTGTTGTTGTTGTAGAAATAATGTTCGCTGTTTGCATTTTGTGTCACAAGTATAAAAACAATCAACGCAAAAAGAATCCTATGAATTTTATGTCAAAAGAGTAAACACAAGATAATATTTGAAAAACTTACAGTCTTATAGCATTGAAAAGCATCGGATGTTACACGAATTTGGGAATATTACGTTCATTATACGTCTTCAATATTAGCCACTTTTAAAAATAAGATGTATATAAATTGACAAATGTACTTTAAAATATTAAACTTGTCATTAATTGTCAAAATTTGCATTGTTACCCAAACAATATACTGCAAAACTACCACCAAATTTATGCTAGGCTATAGGCGCCATCCAAAAAGTAGTTAGTGTAGATTTTTTAAGCATTGCAGGAGAGTATTTATTTATAATTTTACCGAAAAAATAACATTTAGCCTAATTTTTGTACTGGCGTTATTATAAGTATACTTTTGAACTAGTAGTAATACTAATAGTAAAATTCCTTCTATATACTTAGTAGTGTTATAATATAAAAATTATTATAAAAAAAAGATTTAAAATTAGCGCCGTGTTTTCAGTTGGTACTTTTCTCTCTCTCTCTCTCTCTCTCTCTTGTTGTCCACCTAAACAGTTGGTACAATTGATTAAATTTATAGGTTACAAAAATGACAACTCCACGTAAACAAATTAAATTAATGTAAACTTTGATTGATTTTACGACTTAAAATGGTGCTGAAACGTACAAAAAGTTACCAAAACATTGACGGATCATCCAGTAGATATGGACAAGGTTCAGAGAATGTACAGCAGGAAATTGAGATGTCCTCTGTCTCTGTGGTCCCTGATGGTAGCAAATCTACAGTTATTTTTTGGTTGAATATTAACAATTATTGTGGTTTATTTTAGATACTTTTACTGTGACACAGGCTGTGAACGCCTTGGGGTTTGGTTGGTTTCAAATTAAGTTGTCTATATGGACAGGGCTGTGCTGGATGGCTGATAGTATGGAAATGACTATTTTATCCATATTATCTCCTGCATTACACTGTGATTGGCATCTATCAAGGTAAAATTATAAATCAGTATAAAAAATACCAATTTCGATAGGTCAAAAGTATGCTGATAATAAACAATTTAAAAAGATACCTTTTGTCCCAAAGGTACCAGGAGTTTGTAATGGACTAAAAGTTTACTTCTGATAAAAATATCAGATTTAATCATATTTTATTGAAAACCTGCAGCATATTTCCGCTTTTTTGCAAAAACATTATTGGTTATTTTGGGCACCTAGTGTTGAAGGCTGAAAAAATTTCCCATTAAAATAACCATGGGACTTTTCCTGTTTCCCAAGCTGAAATTTAAATTAATTGCCACTCTGTTGAAACCGTTTTGAACTTTAATAAAAAAAAATGGCAAAGTAGCTCAAAGCCATACCAACTTGTTCATATGAAAAAGGTAATGAGGATTTGGATAAACGCTGCTGATATATTTCCATTGCCTCCAACACTAATTCTTTGGAGATGAATAAACTAACCATTTCTTTATTACTTATTTTCCAGTACTTTAGGGTATATTAAAAGTTTAAATTTTTAGGTACCAACAAGCCTTAACAACAACTATAGTTTTTTTGGGTATGATGCTTTCTTCAACCTTTTGGGGAAACCTAAGTGATAGATATGGACGAAAACACGTAAAGGATTTAAAATATACTTACTATTCAAATATTTACTTAACTTTTTAGGCATTATCATTATGTTCAGTGTTATTATTTTACTATGGTGTATTGAGTGCTATGGCTCCAAGTTTTATGTGGATTTTACTACTAAGAGGTTTAGTGGGGTTTGCTATAGGTTGCACTCCACAATCGTGAGTAAATTTTCTTTTATTGCTTTTTTGTAGCTTTTCACTGCATTTTTTTATTGGTGCATTTTGTTCATTTGTATTTTAGTGTGACATTGTATGCAGAGTTTTTGCCCACAAATCAAAGAGCTAAGTGTGTTGTTTTGCTTGATGTAAGTTGTTTAGACCATCCCAATTTTTTGTTTTGTGGTTTTATTTTATCACTGTATCAATTTTTTAGTGTTTTTGGGCACTAGGTGCATGTTTTGAGGTAGCTATAGCATTAGTGATCATGCCCACTTTGGGCTGGCATTGGCTACTTGCATTGTCAACTGGGCCTTTACTTGCATTTGCTTTAGTTTGTCCAGTAAGTTGAGTTATTTTTTAAGTGGACTTTTTTGACTAGGTACCTTGACTCCAATATAATCCGTACTAGTTTGAAATTATTTATCTTATTTTATTATTAAAGGATTTTCATTTAATAATTAAATATTAAAAAATTGATTAATTGGGAGTTAAAGTTTATTATGTAAAATAACAAAAACACTTGGAAATTAACTTTTTATCTATTTATTAAATAGTATTTAAGAATGAGCATCCTTAATTAAATCAAAAGACACATTGGTAAAAATCTAAAAACGCATTAAAAATGAAAAAGTTATACGATTATTTCTGCAAATCGGTTATAAATCCCAAGGGAAAAATCTAAAAACGCATTAAAAAATAAAATCATAATTTTTTTCAATTAAAATATATTTTATTATGCGTAATAACTTAAATTAAGTTAAAAAGAAGAAGAAAATATATTTATGTCATAACCCTAAGAATTAAGTATTTTTGTGCCTTAGTCAGACGCGTTAGGGGAGGCCTACAATTAGAGATGCGACTTGAAAAAAAAACGGTCCATTTTTTTTGTTTTTTTTTCATTGTTTTTTTACAAATGTTTTTTTTTCATATTTTAGGTTTTTTTTTCAAGATCCCATTTTCCTAATTTTTTATGTTTCCAGTCCAGTTCGTGGAATAAAATTAGCCACTAAATGACATTTAATAAATGTCACCATCACCTAATTTACCAATAAGGGCCGCGCTTGTTTTGATTGTGTCCTAAAAAAAGTAACTAACTATAATATTTTTTATTCAAAAAGCTACCAAAAGCACTTTTTTCATGATTTTTCAAATTCATGTAGAGATGTGAGTATGGAAATTTTTTTTTCAAAAAAACAATAGCAAATTCTTGTAGAACCTAAAAGTCTCAAAACTAGAAACTTCAAGCTTCAAATTGCTTTTTTTACGGCTCCAATACGACCATTTTTAACGAAGAAACAGCTATCCGAAAAATCGCAAATATTTGGAATTTTTTTATCCTTTAATTTTTTCTATTAGTGTAGAAGTTTTACATTGCTATTGGTTTCTTATGAGGAAACTACCAAATAATAAGAAATCAGATTTTTTAGTCTCGGTCAAAATTTTCAATAATAAAAAATGTAATATATTCTACATTTCACTTTATTATTAATATACATTTTACTCAAAATTTCATTTTGAATTTTTTTTTTTAAGATTTATATTATTTATTGGCAGAATATGCTTTATTGCAGCGGATTTGAAAAAAAAAACAAAAACACATCTGAAAAAAAAAACCGTTTTTTACATCTCTACCTACAATTAAGCGAAGCACAAAAAGACACTTCTTAGCTTCATGGCATACATCATTCTATCTTCAAGGCACAGTTTTATTTTTTAAACAATACATAAAACGAACTTAAAATTATAATAACTCGGCCTTATGACATAAATAACTATTTGCAATAAAACCTTAAATTAAAATTAAAAAATTAAGATTTTTACGATTGTAATTAACTTTTTTGGTTCAGTTGATAGCTATATTTCTTTCTATAAAATATTTGGCCTAATAAAATCTAGGATTAGCAATTTATAAATTATTTTTTTATTAAGGGGAAATTTGTCGATTTGCCGTTTCATTTTACCTTATGCGCATAGTGGGGAATTTAAAATATATGATACCATAGACATATTAATACCTCCACATATGATACGAATTGTCAACTAAATAAAATTTAAGTTAAATCAAAATTTTTCTAAATCATTTGCTTACATCGCCTACGTTAATTTCTGTGGTTTGGCTTTATAAAAAGCAAAAAAGTGGCATAATTGCATATTATGTAAAAGCCACTAAAAATCTTGTAAATACAATGGAAAAAAACAATTGGTATACAACAGAAAACAAACAAAATGGTTAATTTTAAAAACCACCTACATATTAATGTCTATGACAAAAACCTTTTGGCTATCGTGGTAGAAAAACGACGTTGCCAAATTCTTGCTGTTATGAACATGCCATTATAAAATCTAAAATATCATCATTTTGTGTGTTTATTATTGTTAAATCCTTTTTTTCATACAATTTATTAAGAAGTATTTATTATACTTCCCAAATAGGGACGAAATATGGTATTTTTGGCAATGCGCCCACGCATGCGCCTTAATGCAATCCCCCGTTTGATTTTTACTTCCCCTACTTTAACCCCACGAAAAGGAAACAGTCTCAATAAGAAATGATGTGTATGTGGTCTGTTTTGTTGATGACATGCATGTTAAAATTAAATAATTTTAAATGTCATAATTTTCTCTTCACATTTTTTGCAGTGATGTTATGTAGAAAGAAAAATAACGTGTAAACCTCGGCGGTAAAGTGATTTTCCAGGCTTCAAGAAGTGTGCAGGCTTCATAAAGCACCCCTGTACATTTCTTCTTTCAGCCTGAAAGTAATTATTTTTAATCAAAAAACCCCCTAGGTTATAAAAATAATTTAGACAAATTGGGTACCTACATTTTTTACCTCCTAATATTTTTGAAACTTTATCAGGAAATTGTTTTCTATACTAAGTATACTTTTAATAAACTTAATTAAAAAATATTGTAAATATATTTTATAAAATAAATAAAATTTTGCTTTTCACTAGTACACAGTCAAGGTATCTAGATGTAAAGGTTGTCCCATCACTATTTTTACGTTTTATTAAAATTCCCAGTGGCTCCCAGAATCAGCCAGGTATCATGTGGCCAGCGGCCAAACTGACAAAGCGTTGGAAACTCTGGAAAAAATTGCCAAAGACAACGGAAAACCTATGCTACTTGGTCGCCTAGTTGTAGATGACGCTACTTTAACTTCACCGCATAGAGGGCGCTTCAGAGACTTACTGATACCCTCTTTGAGGCTAACGTCACTGTTACTATGGTTTATATGGATGGCATGCGCGTTTTGCTATTACGGTTTGGTGCTCATGACTACCGAGTTATTCGAAACGTCAGCCATTTCGTGCTCCGATAAGCCTACTCCGGGTCAGACTTTGGACACTTGTTCGGCTGATTGTCATCAGTTGCAAAGTTCGGATTACATGGATTTACTGTGGACCACTTTGGCTGAATTTCCAGGTAGACAATCTAAATAAAAATGGGTTTGTTCCTGCCGAACATTTGGACTGTCCAATGGACGTCAGGCACATACCAAAATCGCATGCGCAATACGAACACCCTGACGTTCATTTAACAGTCCAAATGCTTGGTAGAAACAAGCTTATTATTTTTTAAAAGGTGGAGATAGTAAAAATAATTATAATTAATAATAACACTGTGATACAAAATTAAGGTTTGCGAAAGGGAATGGAATAAAACCAAAAGCAAATGAAAGTTAATAGTTTCCACAAGAAAACCCCGATCAGTGTTTTTTTATATCACGTCTCAGTTATTTTTTGTACGCATTTAAAGATGGTAAATTTTTTACACCCCATAGTAGGAAAAAATAAAGTAAAACTATGTTAATTTTTCAAAATAATTTTGGCAATTTGATTAAGGAATTTATTTTATTTTTAATATTTTTGATATATTAGTATAAAAAACTTGTTTTTAAGGACTTCTTAAACTAAACATTATTAAATTCGTTATTTTATTTATATTTAAAAACTATCACTGCTGTAACCGGCAGTAACACTAGTTGAAGTACCAGAAGTTCCAGCTACTGGATCTACATAAATTGCTTCATCTTGTTCTGGTAATTCATCATCACTTGTTTCTTCATCGGTGGTTCGTTTTAACCACCAACATAAATCGGCTAGCATAGCGTCGAGATGTTTGCCTTTATATCTGGATTCTGCTTTAAAATTATTTAAACACACATAACACTGTAATTGATCATGTTCATCTAAAAATTTACAAAAATGCAAAATATAATCAATATCATCAAAAATACGAATAGAGAATCCATGTTTTAATAAAAAAAATTTAAAAATTACCACAACATTGGAATACCAAATTTCATTGACTTCTTTTGTGACCATTTAATTAAATTGTTATTATAAGTTCTGCAAACTTTTTCTAGGCACCTAATCAACATTTTCAATTATATATATTCCGTAATATTGTAGGTACAATTGTTTTACATTCTCATATTTTGGAACTAAGTTTTGTTTTCCATTATATTGTCCACAAATATAACAAAAATATTTTAAATGCTTCAAACATTCATTCAGTTGTAACTTTAATAAGTTTAATTAATTATATTAATTAAGAAAAACGCTTTATGTTGCTGTCACTGATTTACTGTGTTTTTAAGTAAACAAATCAATTTTACCTTTAAAAAACGTAGTTTTTGCTACAAAAACTACAATTTTTTGTAGTTATAGTTGTATTGTTTTTAGTAGTGATGTAAAATTCTCGAGCACGTATTTTAGAAGAACGTTCCCCGAGCACAAACGAGCATGAACGAGAATAAACGAGCATAAACGAAAAAATACACGCGGTCACGCGGATGAAACGCGCCGATTGGCCAGAATCGTGCTGAAAATTTTCTAGAGAACGTTCGCGCACGATAAATCGTTTGGACACGAAAGAACGATCTATCATGCGCGCACGAACGATTTAATTGTGCGCGAATATTCGCCACAGCACGAAGGGAACGTTCCCCACTCTACATCACTAGTTTTTAGGCATAAATAAGTTTACGTATTTAAAAATAATAACATGTTTTTTGGTTAAAACATTAAATAGAATATTTTTTTTTATAAAAATGCTAAATTTTCTTATTAAAATGCTCTTTACGTCAAAAAATATGTTTCTATACTAATATATCAATAATAATAAATATTTGTTTGGAATATCATCTAGCGTATATATTTACAGCAAAAATGGATTTCTCAGTCTTAAAAATAATAAAAATATCATTTTACCAACAAAAATACTTAAAAATAGCAATAATTGTATGACTGTAGATCTTAAGACTATATAATAATTATAATTATAGAATAATTTTGAAAAAAAAAATTGTTTTACTTCATTTTACTCACTTACTATAGGGCCAAAAATCTCCCAACTTTAAATGCATATAATAAACAACTGAGATGTGATCTAAAAAAATCCTAGTAGGGTTTTGTTGTAGAAGCTATTACCTTTCATTTGCATTTGGTTTCATCCCATTCCCTTTTGCACTGTGTAATTGTAAATGATTATAAATAAAGAAGTATTACACATAACTTGGTATAATTTTTACATTTTTAGGTATTTTTATAACAATTTTCATAATTGAACGCTTTGGTCGCAAAAAAACAATGGCAGTGCAGTTCGTCGCTTACGCCATCTGTTGTAGTTTTTTAGTAGTCTGCACGGAAAAGTAAGAAACAAAAAAGACAGCAACCAAGTTTTAACAAATAATAAAAATTTTAGGCGCGCATTTTTGACCGTAATGCTATTTTTTGCACGAGGCATCATTGCAGGCGTTTTCCAAGCCGCCTACGTATACACCCCTGAGGTATACCCAACATCACTGAGAGCTGTAGGAGTGGGGTCTTGCAGTGCAATGGCTAGGTTAGGAGCTATGGTAACCCCATATGTGGCTCAAGTAAGAAATTTAGTGTCTTTTTAATTTTTGTATTTGGGAACCTTAGATTTGAAAGTTTGCAAGATGGAGCACACTCCTCCTGCTCTTTAATCTAAGGTATGGTATGTTTTTGAGATTATTAACACTTTGACTACTTTTTAGGTTTTGTTAAAGTCCTCAATTTCTTTTGCAACAACAATATATTCTGTTGCTGCCCTCTTGGCAGCTATAGCTTGTCTAATTTTACCAATAGAGACAAGAGGAAAAGAACTAACTGACAATATAAATCAACACAATGAAGAACATGCAGCTAAGACATAAAATTATTTTGTTGATTTTAATTTTGCAGTATTAACTTTGCTATATAACTTCAAATAGAAAAAAATACCGTCAAAAATGCTTTAATTAATTCATAGGAGTATTATTTTTTTATATATAATGTATTATGTCTATTTACAGTTATATTGCTTATTAAACCAAAGTAATTATTTATTAACTTACCATTAAGATTATTTATTAATTTAAGCTATATTTAATATTTAAATGTTATTTATTGTTGCGACTTATGGGTCCATATTTATTATGTCAACACGTTTTTGCCCATTTTGGAACCTCCATATAATCAATTGTCATCACCCCTGTTGACGTCATTATATTTTTTGTTTTTTTCTCATTTTGATATAATTAGAAATAATTACATACTAAATGTAAGTTTGACAACTGCTGGATTTTTAACATGAGAGAAAAATAATGACGTGATCATAAGAATTTGACATAATAAATGGACGACCCTTTACCTGATATTTTATTTATTATAATTATTATAGTGAGATGGTGCTGGATTTTATATTGATATGTACACATGTTATATACTTTAATAAATAATTAAAACACCATTCGCAGTTTTTTAGATAATATATTTGACTAAATTTTACTATGTACTCATATCTGTACATAGAAACACATAATATTGCTAGAAATAGTCTTATATATACATAACATTATGTAAAATTAATTACATTTATAATATTAATTAATAATTTTTTTTGCAATATACATATTCCAACGAAATATCCAATCTCAATAAATGTAAGAAATTTTAACATTTTTGCGGACCTTTTTAAAAAGGCCTTTACTTAATTTTAACAATAGACATAATTTTTACAATTGCTGAAATAAATAGAAAATAACAATTTATTAATCATAAATACTTAATTACATAGTTATACTTTTTGTTTTTTATAATTTTAATTTTATTTCTTATTAATCTATAAAAGGAGTAAATACAATCACATTAAGAATACACACATTTATAGAGTTAAAAGTTGACTTTAATAGAATAAACCAAAAACATTTTTCAATTTTATTTTGTAGTTCTTTTATTATCCGTTTTTAGTTTATTCCATTACATTAAGAACTTGATAGAATATTAGTAAATTTAACTGACGTTAAAATGCTTATAATGCCAAAACATAAAACAAAATGACTTATGTAGAAAGGATAGTTAAGATTTGCATGACCAACAATTTTTTTTATACTTAAATTTGTTGTTTCAACGACTTGAAAAAATGATATTAATAAAAATAAAATTTGTAAATAAATAAAAATATGATTATTTATATGTAAATTAATTTAGGCTTTAGGTACTAAACTCTAATACTTTTTAAAAATAAATAACATTTATATACACTTTTATAAACATGATACACTTAAAAAATAAGGATTGGGTTATGTAATACAGTATGTTATGTGGTGCAGGTAAACTTATTTTTTAATATAATTTAAAAATTTGCATTATTAATACAACAGATCAATCCTCGATTAACAGCCTCACTAAAATTTGCAGCCCGTTAAAAATCAATATTTTTTCTACTACATACTCTTGAATATAATAATTGTCCATTGATTTCTTTTTAAAACACTAGTACTTTAATCACAATTGTGTATATGAAATATAGAGTGTAAAAAAAGATTGAAAAAAATTACCGTTTATTTTTTTTCCTTAAAAAATGATTAGGCCTTAAATAATAACTGTTTTTTATACACCCTGTACCTACATGTTATTGAACAAATGGGGTAGCTATTTTTACATACTGTTTATAGTATAAATTTATTTATTAAGTAATTTTTCATTTCTGTCGAGTCATATTTTTTTTATACAACAAAAAGGTTTCAAACTACAATTACAATAAAAAGTATATTTTACCTAACTCATTATAGCGTGTTTCAATAAACGGGAATATTGTTAATAAACCCTGTATGCAATGTCTTTATTTTATTTATTATTAAGTTTTTCATTTATAAACAAACTATTTTTTGTGTACAAGTCTTGAGTTTAATTCAAACTAATTTAATAGTTAAGGCTTATATATTATAACTTCCCGGCTTAATATGGCTGAGTTTAAACTGGGAAAAAATTTAAAAACCCCGCTGACGCAAATGAAAAAGTAAAAAAAAAGTAGAGACCACAAAAAAGGGAGATCAATTCTTGATGCAGTAGGTAAGGTGTCCTAAGAGTGCGCAACCCTAATGTGCGCACTTTTGGGAAATACGACCCAAGGTTTGAAAAAAGTATTTCATCAAACACCAAATTATTGTTCTCCTATAGTTAACCAGACAATATTATTTGTATTTAGCACTTAACAAACAGTTCTATATAGTATATAGTAAGTAGATAAATAGTGTTATGTAAGACATTAACAACAACAAACGCACTATGTGTAATTGTGTACAGGGTGTTTCAAAAATTACGTATTTATAAACTTTTCAAGATGCTTTTATAATGTATTTAAGGGATTTTGCGATATTTTTGAAACACCCTGTATAAGGAAAAATTGGGAGCCAATTAATTACATTATATTTCATTTATAATTTTCGCGAAAGGCCACAGGGTAGTAAGAACTGTTGTTCGTTTAAATTGTTTTATTAAATTATCTACCTAAGGGTCATTCCATAGAAAACTAAATACATAAAAAAATTGTTCATTGTCTTTTTGTTAATTTACGGTTTATAAAAAAATATGAATTTATTGGCGATTTTCAAATAAACTTGATATGTAAAATGTCACATTTTGACTCAAGGTTACAACATCAGACATCTCAATTAATTTATCAACTATATATTTGGTTTTTAGTAACTATATATTTGGTTTTTAGTAAAAACTTTTTACTAGGGGTGTGTGAATCGTGTTTAGAATTATTCGAATGGTTTAAATAGTTAAATATTTTGAATTATTTGAATAGTTTGAATATTCTGATAAATTTAAAATGTAAATCAAATAGGTTATATTCTAATGGTTCGAATTATTTGTATGATAAAAAATTTAATTTTTCCAATAATTATAAAGAATTTTTTTCCAAATTTTTTATCATAGAAAAAATATTATTATAATAATTATTATTAAAAAAAATAAACTTTGTAATATTCAAATAATTCTAACCATTGGAGTAATGGTTTGACAATTCGATTCAAATCGTCTAGAATATTTCGTAAAGCCAAATATTCCCACACCCCTAGTTTTTACTATTGTTTAACGCTTTCTCAAGACAATTACATCTATGTTAAATTTTGTATCGATGACTTTTAAATGAGGACAGTTTTTGGGACAAAAATTCACTACATCTATAAATCTTATAAATATAGCAAATGACCCCTAGAGAAGACTTATTTACACACATCGGTTAGACTACTAAGAACACATCGTTCTTATTTTCGTTATCCTCTCGTTATTTGTTACCTGTTACACATTGAACCTGGTCTCGGAGCCGTCGGCCAGCATCAGCGTGACCGTGCGATTGTTGATCCAGATGAGACGCGCTAGTCGCATCGGGTTCAGTCGAGCTACGTCGGCGATCGGCGCCGTGCTGTACGATTTCACGTTTTTCGTTTGCGACTGGCCCAAACCGAACATGCCTGAAAAAAAAGGAATGCCATGTAAAACCCAGAAGAACGATGGGATTAAGCATTTTTAACGGCCTAATAATTACATTGTGGCAAACTTATGGGCGTGCCGCTTTCTTTCCGCAGGTTCAGAACGGTTTGCGAAACTGTAAATGGTGCCACAAGTAAAAATATCTCCATTTTTAATAAGTTCCATTCATTTCTAGACTCAAATGTGTGCGCATCAATTAGTAAACAATTTATAAGTGTCAGCACGGCAAATATAAAATCGTGGGCGGCAGGAGGCGTAAAGCAACTTTTGTGTTTTTAAGATCCACAATAAAGTGAATTTCCTTTTACTTATAGCATGGTAAATTAAACTTACTCGCTTATAGGTATAAGTATTAAAAAACAAGACAATTAATACTATTAATCAAATAATCGATTAATCGAAAAAATCGATTATTTTATATAATCAATAATCGATTATGAATTTTGATAATCGCCCAGCTCTAGTTGATACGAGTCATAGATTAAAAGCAATATATTATTAAATGAACACACAAGATTTAAGTTAAAAATTATTACATACATTTTTTAAAACGACTCATTTTTTTAATAAGGTTAAAAACTCATTTTGATCATAAAAACTTTACCTAAAATATAATAAAATCCGTAATTTGCCATATTTTGTTAGATAGATAATAAGTGAAAAACTAAGAACTCAAGTTTATTCATAAGCCTATGTTGGACCCAATACTTTTATATCAAAGAGCATTTATTCAATAGTATTATATGTATATTGATCCTACCAACCCCCAAAAACAAACAAAACTTTTTGGTTTATTAACTTACGCACCGTTTATCGCACGAGGCCAACAGACTTTAAAAATACTGGCAATTTTAAGACGAGACGCTAAATGCCACTGGCGGCTCCTCTTACTGCGCATGATCGCTTAATTGACAAACGTGCCGCGATTCGAAATGTTAAAGGCACGTTAGTTACGTCATAAAACCAAACCAACCCAAACTCAACAACACAACCAACTAAAATGGGCAAATTTATGTTACGATAAAAATAAAACACTTTTTAACAAAGGAACAACAAATTTATGAAATAAAAAAAGTTCGACAACTTCTAGTAGATTTTATGTTACGATAAAACTAAAACAAACCAACCAAACCAACCCAACCGAACACTGTTTAACAAAGAAACAACAAATTTATGTAATAAAAAAATAAAAAAAGTTCGACAGCTTCTCAGTATCGAACCCAGGACCTCTCGCTACCATCTGAGCTATCTACGGATTATAATTATAACGTAACTAACGTGCCTTTAACATTTTCAATCGCGGCACATTTGTCAATTAAGCGATCATGCGCAGTAAGAGGAGCCGCCAGTGGCATTTAGCGTCTCGTATTTTAAGAGCTAGATATTTAATAAAACGTATTTTGGTCACCGATGCATGATATGCATATTATGTATAAAACACAACTTTTTTTGGAAATTGGTTTTCTCACTGCTTACCCATTTTGAAAATTTTTTTTGAAAATTCTCTTTTGAAATGTTCTAGCTCTAAAAATGTTCTATAAATTGACTTATTTAAATGAGACTGGACAATCTACGCTCGAAGTCGCGAGCTCTGTTTCGCGGGAGCGTCGAGGGCAATATCACGCAGCAAACATTCGCGTGTTTTTTTAATTACGCAACAATGCCTCAACAGAAAAGTACGTAAATTACAAAGTTTCAATACCTATTAAATTACGGTTTTAATAGCCATACATATTTTTAAATAACTAATAGTTATTAACTATAATTTGTTACCAAGGCCGAAAAGGGTTAAAATGGCATTTTTAAAGAAACTTCGAAATGTTGTAGATTATTCAGCCTACACTGGACCATTTTATATTAAATTTTAATTTCAATCTACAAAATTTAAAGACAATTTTTGTTAAAAAAATTGCGCAAAAAGGGGTAAAAAGGAGAAAACCATTTTCCAAAAAAATTGGTTGAGTTTTTTTTAAATATATTTAAGCAAATAGGTTTTATAAAAAATGTAGCTCCAAATTACCAGTATTTTAGGAGTCCGTTTGCCTGCGAAAAACAGTTCGTAAGTTATTAAAAAAACGTTATGTATAGCGTCGCGGGGGTTATTCAGATCAATCAAAAAACCAGAATTAGGGCACTTTTAAATCAATCGACAACGAGTGTAGTCGTGTTTTTAAGAGCTCTGCGAATTTAGTCTTTATTTATTTTAATTTAAAATTATGAGTGACTTTGGTGATGATCATACTGGCAGTGATATGGAATGGGTCATAGAAGAAGGTGTGAAGAAACGGAAACGCAAAAGATCTAAGGAAGAATTGTTAAATAAAAGAATATCATTAAGTGAATTGGAGAAAGATAAAATACGCGAAATTGTCGGGGCGCAAAAAACACAGGGCAACAAAAAAACATCGGTAACAAAAAAACTACACAACACAATAATGAAAACAACATAAATCAATATACAGGGTGTCCCCCTAATAATACAACTAATACAGAAACTTCTAAAAATCCACAAAACTCTAATGCATCAAATTCTCAATACTCTTTACCTAATACTTCAAATTTACAACATTCCTCACCTAACAAAATAAACAACTATTCTCAAAAAATGAACCAAATTATCAACAGAAACTACATTAACACTATTTTTGTCACAACAAGTGAAGATCTCACAAGAATCCAATTCTCAGATATCTGGACAGTACTAGGAGAGGCGAAAAACGATGTTGTTATTAAAACTAAAAAAGGTTTTATTTTAAAATCTGAGAGAACAATGGTGATTCTAAAGGCAGCACAACAAAAATTAATGAATCAAAATATCATAAAAAGTTTTGAAAACAGCAAAGCCCCATCCAAGGAAAATCACGAACCCCGTAGTAACTTTACCTATGCCGCAGTAATTTCTTCAGTGGAATATGAAATAAAGGATGAAGAAATTAGTGAATGTCTAAAAGACTCCTCAATAAACTTTAGATACTGCAAAAGAATAACTTCAAGAGCTACAGGTAAAGTTACTACTTTAATTAGAATAATCACAGGATGTATTAAATCTTATGAAAAACTTCTTAATGAGGGCATTTTCTTTAAAAATAGACATTATGCTGTATATACAAGCCTACCTCCCCCACCTCTACCAATTCCATGCAACAATTGCTCCCAGTTCACGCACACAACCGATAGCTGTAAAGAAAAAACTATCTGTACTAAATGTCAAGGAAATCACAATGCAAACTCCTGTCAAACAACTCTCCCCCCAAAATGCTTAGCGTGCAACTCAACCGATCACACTGCCTGGTCTATGGCATGCCCAAAAAGGCCTACTAATCCCATTGACGGCATACCCAATATTACAATTAAGTCTAATAATAAAAGATCACCTGAATTAGAAGTTAAAACTAGGAAAGAAAGTAGAATCCATAACACATATACAACACATGATCTAATAATTGACACATACATAACTAAAATGAACAACCCAAAATATTCAAACAGACAAGATCTTAAACAAAAACTAAAAAAAGATCTATAAACTTATATAACATTGATACGGACTGTGTTTTTTCTGGTAACAGGCTGTATGTTTTAATGTTTGATCTAGATCAACCAAACTCTGGCACACCTACTGAACCTAAAGAAGGCACTCAATATACAACTAACCAAGATCCATCAATACCTGGAAATAGCATTCAATCTTAAATTCTTATATTCAAACATCAATAGTTTTAACAGGAAAAAACAATTAATCTATAACACTAGGCAACAAATTTTAACTTAAAAAAAAGTTCCTGGTTAAAAATAGAATTTTTCGATTGTTTATAACTGAAATAGATCCAAAATGTTTTTAAAAAAATTTTCTGAAGTCGTACATAAAAAATAGGAGCACAGTATTTTGGTACCATTTATTGCATAGATACACCATTTGAAAATTTTAAGATGACGATACTTTTAACTTATATTTCAGCATTCCATGAACAACATATCTGTACATATTGTAATAATTTAAGGCATGTTTTTTTGATGTTTTTTATCGTTCAAATTATTTTGTTTACTAATTTTTATCGCTATTATTTAACAATTTTTCTTTGTATCATGGTGCTGCCCGTATCGTCTAAACGAGACTTTGGAAAATTTTTTGGTCGCCGGATTTGCGTCGAGCAGGTCAAAATCTATAGGAGTGTGCTATTTTTATTACCGACCTTTTTTATTTACTAATTTTTATCGTTATTATTTAACAATTTTTCTTTGTATCATGGTGCTGCCCGTATCGTCTAAACGAGACTTTGGAAAATTTTTTGGTCGCCGGATTTGCGTCGAGCAGGTCAAAATCTATAGGAGTGTGCTATTTTTATTACCGACCTTTTTTATTTACTAATTTTTATCGTTATTATTTAACAATTTTTCTTTGTATCATGGTGCTGCCCGCGGGCGCGTATCGTCTAAACGAGACTTTAGAAAATTTTTTGGTCGCCGGATTTGCATCGAGCAGGTCAAAATCTATAGGAGTGTGCTATTTTTATTACCGACCTTTTTTATTTACTAATTTTTATCGTTATTATTTAACAATTTTTCTTTGTATCATGGTCCTGCCCTTATCGTCTAAACGAGACTTCAGAAAATTTTTTGGGCGCCGGATTTGCGTCGAGCAGATCAAAATCTATAGGACTGAGCTATTTTTATTACCGACCTTTTTTTATTGTTTACTAGTAATTACTTACAAAATAATAATATACTATGCTCTTTGTTTGTGGAAACTAAATTAAAGGAAGACATCAGTCCATTTAGAGATTGGTCCATTATTCAAAAAAAAAGGTAATATACTTAATACTAACGTGAGAGGTGGCAGTCTTATTATGGCATCAAGAAACTCTAAACTTGGCAAACAAAACCCACCAAGAATCAACAACCCTATGAATGAAACTCTTCATGTCTCCCTTCCCTTTTTCGCATATTTTCCTGGTATATATACACCCACATTGCGTAATTGAAGACACCATCTTTGTTAAAGCCTCTCAGTGCAAATATGCCATTATAATTGGAGATTTTAATGTTAATCAGCAAAAGAAAAAACAAATATCTAACTTTTTAAATAATTCCAATTTCGAACAACTAAAAACTCCTCCCACTTTCATTATGGCCAATAACCCCGACTCCACGCCAGATATTCTTCTCTGTACCAAAAACATAGTAAACAGCATAAAAAACATATCTGTTCTCCCAGATTTATGTACTGATCATTTAGCCATTCAATTTGAAATTATCAGCCATCAACTTCCAACAGCTTCCATTCCAGAGTACATCCTGAACTTTGATAGATGCAACTTTGAAAAAGTAAACATGGAACTATTAAATTGTTGCTCTTTGTATAGATCATTTGACAAAACATCTATTAAAAATTTTCTAGTACAACTGAAAGAGAGCGTTATAAATAACACTCCCAAAATAAAAAGATCATATTTTAACTACAATCTTCCACCATACATTCTTGCAATGCTGAAAACGAAAAGAAAACTGTACAGAGAAATTATACAAAATAATGATCCTCAATTAAAAACTCTCTTTAACAAATATAATAAGTTAGTCCACAATATGGTTGCCCAATACAAAACACACAAATGGCTTGAGGCTTGTAAAAACATTAATGACCTAGGAGGAAAAAACTATTGGAAGGAGATTAAAAAACTTTCAAAATATGAAAACTGTCCCCAATCCCACAAAATTATTGAAAACAACCAAACACTAACAGCAGATAAAGATATAGCCACAGCCTTCTTAAATTATTTTGAAAATAGCTATAAATTTTTGGAGGATCCCAAATTTGATAATACATCAACATACAACAACATCAATGTCTGGTACAACAATTTCTTTAAGGTACAAAACGTCAACTTAACCACTCCTACCATTAGCGAAATAGAATACTATAAAGTTCTACAAGAAGGAAAAAATTCCGCCCCAGGACATGACTATGTTAACAGAAAAATCTTGAGAAATCTTGCACCAGATATTCATGAATACATCTTAAAAATTTATAACTACTGTTTAAAACACCATTACTTCCCGTCAATATGGAAAGAGGGCATTATAATAACTATTCCGAAATCTACATCTGCTTCAACACCAAGTGATTACAGACCAATCACTCTTTTACCTGTGATTGGTAAAAACTTTGAAAAAATTATTAAAAATCATCTATCATCTATCTCCAGGAGATCGGCGATAAGATTCCGCAGTATCAATTTGGTTTTAGAGAAAAACACTCGACAATACATCCGCTAATTACACTGGTCTCAAATCTGCAGCAACACAGCATAATAGGACACCACTCGACAGCTCTTTTCCTTGACATTAGCAAAGCTTTTGATAGTGTGTGGCATATGATTAAAAACTTCTTGGAAAACCGATCCCTTAAAGTAAAAATAAACAAATTCACTTCAACATCTTTTTCAATGGCCCAAGGCCCATTATCTCCAACACTCTTTAATTTATTCGTTTACGATATAATAGATGTCAACTATCTGCCCCAAAAAACTTACATACTGCAATACGCCGATGACACAGCTTTAATAGCCCACAACAAATCCCTCTTAACAGCTCTCAATAACCTGCAATCGGCAATTAACATGATCTCTAATTGGTTTGCAAGTTGGCGTATAAAGATTAACGCCAGGAAATCTCAATTTATTATTTTTAACCACCAAATTAAAGATGACTCGCCACAAATATCAATAGAAAACCAACATATATTCCCCAAAAACAGTATTAAGTATCTTGAAATGACTATTGACTCCAAAATAATTTTAATTGTCACACTCGAACCATTAAACAAAAGGTCATTACTAGAGCAAAACATTTCAAATCTCTAACCTTTAAGAAGCAAGGTATAACTATCAAAACAGCTGCTTTTGTATGAAATAACCAACATGAAACCCATTATGGAAAGAATATGTAACCTCTCTGAAAAATTCTGCAATAGAAGTAGAAACCTAGAAATAATGGAACCCCAAAAAAAAGGAAATTTCCAGTGAAATCCCTGTGGAAAATTATTTTGGAACAGATAGATTAATATTAATTGTTTTTTTTTAAGATGATTAAGTTTATATAACTATATCAAATATTTTGTAAAATAAAATTGTATTTATATAGGCAGAAAGACTTCGGTCGATAGCCTTTTGGTTTTTCCAATAAATATATTTACTACTACTACCAGAATTAGGGTTTTAATATTTCCGGAAAAATTGAGCCGGCGGAAAAGAACGGAAGAGTTGAAAAATATTGACTTTTGCATTTTTTAAATTTTATTCAAAGGGTAATACAAAAAAATGTCAATTTTTCTGAAAATTCACAAATTTTTAAGGATTATATCCGTACACTGATATCGAGAAAAAAGTGAATTTCCGACTCTGATTATAATCATTTATTATGATTATAATAATTATTTCTATTATTTTAATTCAGTAAGAATATTCTAGCGGGCCGCAAAAGAAACATGTTTGTGCTCTATTAACATAACTATAGTTTTATTTGACACACTGATTTATGCAAATTATAATTTTGTAATTTATCTTTATAAATCATTCAATATTTTGTAAATGGATTTGCAAAAAGGACCCACATGACAGTATATTTAAAGTTTACGTTTATTTTCTTAAATCAATAAAATTTAATTTAATGTTTAGTTTTATTTGTTTTTTTCTGTTATAAAGGACATATTTTTTTATTAAAATAATGTTAAGTTGTATTGCTACGTTTATTAAAATGTTTATATTTTTTACAATATTTACAGTTTTTTTCGACACTCTAAAGCCCTGACCAGTATGTCTATTCAATTTATGCTCTATAAAAATATAAAATTTTAACTGGTATAAAAGTATTGGGTTTCCTATAAAATATCTTAATTTGACTGGCCTATAATTGGATATCAAAAATTTTGGGTAAAACTTTGCATTACTTGATTATTATAATTTCATCATTTTACTATAAATTAATGAATTAAAATGCATTAACTCACCGGTGCTGGTCTGCCAAAAACTAAGCTTGTTCTCAGCGCATGCGTAGCTGACTAGAAACTTGCCGTCGGGACTGAATGCGGCCGCGGTCACCGCCGTCGAGTGCGCATGTATTGTCGTGCATTTACTTTGCCGCAACTCGTACAAAGTCAAAGTACCTGCGTTTGAACCAACTGAAAAAGAAAATTCCATGTAAATTATATTTTCATTAAACAGTTTCATTGCTATTTACCTGCTATCCTTCTTGTGGCAGAACAATGGGAAACTTGGTTAAACCTGCACACTGCAGGGAATACTTCGTTTAGTGGTTTGTTTTTTAATTGACTAGGATCCAAGCAATGCAATATTATATCCATCAACTAAAAATATCACAAAACATATTATTTAATTTTAATCTACACTACCTATTCATTACACTGGTCGACAGCCATTTTGCCGCAGGGTAATTTGTTTTGCTCTTGTTTTCGCGACATTTAGAAAAACCGTTATTTTATCAATAAGAAAATATTTTTAATCAAATTGTAATTTTCCCACATAACACAATAATATATTATATTTAAAAATGTTGTTAGGCCGTTTGGAGAACTTTATTTATAAATGATAGGTTGAGCATTCAGGGAAAATATTTTTTTAACTGTTACACAAAAATATTTCTGAAACATTCATAAATATCACGTAAATAATTTTCAACATTTATATCGCAATTTTATTTAAATATTTTCTAGTTATTTAACAATATGTTTACTTTGTTGAGGGTGTTTTATTATATTGCTGTGGGGACATCCATTAATTAGGTGAGACAAAAATGGGGGGACTGGTCCAGCAAAATCTCACCAAATCTCATGTTAAGGGAGGGGGGTCGTTTAAAATCTCACATCAACTTTTGAGTTTAAAAAATATGTATTATAATTCAAATTTGTTAAAAAAATTAATCATTTTTTTTTACATGTTGTCGCAAAGAAAGTTTAATGGCTAAAATCTCACGTGAGGGGTAGCTACCACATCTCACCAAATCTCACCAAGGGGGAGGGGGAGTCCAAATTATCAGAAAATTGACTCACGTAATTAATGGAACCGCGGCGGTACCTTAAAATTGTATTGCCACCCTATTGAAGACGATTATTCTATCGGTAAATTTCTTATTAGCGAGAAACAAAAATAAACCTAATAAAATCGCTTGGAAAACCAAAAATATTATTGTTTTTTAATTAAAAAAAAAATTAATCAAATTCTTTTTAGCCTCCATCCGAAAACATCCAAAAACCGAAACTGCGGGGGAAGATGACATTTTACCGGAGTTACAATGGCTGGTTTAAGCTAAATTAAGAAAAATAAAGAAAAAAAGAAACATTAAAAAATTTAGTACTCGTCTTCATAAAAAATATTAATAAAAAAGTTTATTTTAGAAATAATCGATAAAAATAAAAGTAAAATATGTTAAAACAAAAGTTCTTTGGAAAATCACCAAAATAAATTGGGACTGATTTTTTTTGTATTTTTAGCTTGCAAAAAATAGATCTCCACTGTTTTAGTATATGGGTGAATATATTGAGATGTCCCCCAAGTGAAAATGATTATTTTTTATTTTTGGTTGTTTCACTGTTTGTCTACAATGGGGTTTTTGGGAAGCCACCAGGTCTAGTAATAACATAACATAAGTGGTTCAGCACTAATGCAAGAATTTTAAGAAATCATACATTTTGAATATTAGAGCTTCACGGAAGATAGCTTCACGGAAGTTAGGATTTCGTATGTTTTTTTTAAACATCCCTTTGTATATTTGAAATAAGTTATTGTATCTTTTGACACCTTAATATTTTTTTAAAATACAATTGTACATACATAATGTATTTATAAAAAAATCTACTTACTGAGATATTACACTTCACGGTGGATAGGTTTTTAAATAGCAAATTAATGAACTTAAACTTTTGAATTATAAAACAGCAACACTCTCATCTGCATATAAATTCTAACTGACCTTCAGGAATCACATGCATCTATAATGTCGTAAACAGAGGCTTTTGCTTATTTAAAATGATTAAAGCGCCATCCGTTGCATAAAATTTAAAGCAAAAACAGATTCACGGATAGAATCAATTTTTGTAACACCTACATAAATGGTTATAAAAATTATTTCTTTTAATTTTTAATAATATTTTATATTTGATTCGATTGCTTTGGATGTGTTCAATTTACTTAGTGAACTGATATTTTTAGTATGATTTTACTACCTCAGATATTTGAAAACATATAGGTTAACCTAGAAAGAGTAACCGTCAAGGAGGATAGGTTTTAGACTTTAAAACATTGTAAAAAATAATTAATTGCGGTTAAAAATCTGAAACCTGAGCTGTAATATCTACTTAATTATGAAAGATCAAAACACAATAAAAGTGTAGGTCAAACTCATTTAGTTTTATTAAATATCACGGGTAACACCATCGGGGACATTTCGTGAGATTCACCCATATCTGATATGGGAATACCACACCACATCTACTTTTTGCACTCCAAAGCAAGAAAATTCAGTATACAAAAACTATACATATTATTATGTCAGATGGGTTTTCTAAATATATAGAAGCAACATTTTATAAAAATTCACCACAACATTGTTAAAATAAATATGCAATGAACTGTAAATATTTTGAAAATATTTTCAAATAATTTTGTGATGTTGAGGAAACATTAATAAAATATGAGGTAATGTATCTAAAACATTTACAAAAATGTTTTAAAAATGTTGTGAAAAAATATTGTATAAATATAAAAAGTGGGACATCTAAATGCTGTAAAAACATTTTAGAGGCATTTAAATGATAATTACTATTCTTGCTACCCTGCAGCAAAGAGAAATTTTTATTTTGTCGGCATGTGTTATTGATAACACTGTACAAAATTGAGTAACAAGAGAGTGCTTAAAAAGTGTAATGTTCTTTTACGTACCTCGACTAGAAGATCACTCATTTCGTTCTGCATTTTCTCAATCAACAACTCAACCCCCCTTAAAATTTCCGGTTTGGCCTTGTGCAGCACATTGTTATGCATATTGATGTTCAACGTTTGTGCGTTTTGTTGCATGGCGTTGTAGCGCGCCACCTCTTTGGCCATGGTGGTAATAAATGCCGCGGGCCTAATGAAGAAGAGTTAAAATATTTTTTTATGCAGGACCTTTAGTTTCATACCTTGCCGTAGCGATTAGGGTGAGGGCGTGACGGGCAGTTCTGCAAGAGTCCGCTTGTGGCGTTAGGGGCAGACCATAAGTCATGCTGGGAACTAGCCTGTCTGCTTCCGCACATAATTCTAATAAACCTGAAACAAAAAAGTATTAATTATTGTTTTTTTTCAGCTCAAGTTAACTTGATTCTTAAGAAAGTTATATCCATCTCAAGATGTCATTCTTAATTTGGTAGCTTTAGTGGACATTTTTAAGACAGTTATATCTAAATCAATATACAATATACAATCAATACAGTTATGTAACGTGAAAAAAAACGTGTTTTTTTCAAGCGGCCATGATATACAACCTTATATGCATGTATAGAGATAGTTGAAGTTCGTCTTTTTCATTAGCGGCAGACAAAAAACTCAAAAAAGCCTAGGGATAGAAGTAAATCCATAGGTGACTCAATAGACGTCAAATAATAAAATTAATTTAGCATTTCATACTAAGCAATCACGATGTATTAATTATATTAATTATAATCGCACGGAATATTTAGTGATTATTTATTAAATTTTAATTGAACGAAATAAAGTTTATTAGTATAATATTATGATGATAGACGAGTCGCCAATGTCGGAATTTCAAACAAATGTCAGTACGTCAAAATTAATTCAAGCGCAGCATTTTGACAGAGCTGTGTTTATTTTTAGTTTAGGATATTTATCGGCATTGTAAGTAAGGGTTATAAGTTTTTTTAGTTTTTATCAATAATTTCTAATGCTTTTAGCCAAAATTTTATCCCACATGATTTAATTGAAGAGCTGCAGTGCGTGTAATTGTACATTTAATGTAAATTTTGCTTATTATATTTATATTACGCCCTTGAAAAAAAATAGTATATGTTATTTGGAGTAGAAGCTCTTTTTGTGCTTCGTACAGTTGCCTGCCTCAGCTACGCTTCGGCCGTCAATCTCTGTACTCACCACAAAAAGAGTCACTTCTACTCCTTATGACATAATCTACTATTTTTGCTTTTTTTACTGTATTTATTTTCACATTTTATGTTTTTTTTTCAAACATTTTTTATTAATTCAATCAAGCAGTTTTGGCCTTTTGGCCCCTTTTTAACAAAAAAAAATCAAATTTAATTTAGCAGTAAAATATAATTTAAAATGTTGGCAAAAACTGTTAACTTTAGAAAAAAAAATATTTTTTTTTATGAAATTTAGTTTTTCACAAACAAGTCACATCTGTAAAATTAAGATTTTAAGATACATATGCAAAATTAAAGCCATCAAAATTTAATATTTTAGCAAAATTTCAAGATTTAATAATATTTATATTAATAATGCTTTTCCACTCATTTTATGTTTTTAGGTGCCAAAAACAACTAAAATTTGTAAAATATTTGCCAAAATTTGTAAAATATTTGCCAAAATTTTAAATTTTGTTGACTTAAAATACATGCAGAAGACTAATAAAGACCCATAAAAAATGTATTTATTTTTTTTCTAAGGTCAACCATTTACAAGCAACAGCAAGAAATACCGTAATGTGGAGTTCTACTTACAATAGGGTGCTTCAAAAAATATAATTTAATTTTTTTTTCGCTCTTACCCTCTCAAATGTTTCTATTTAATTAAAAAAAAATCCTCACCAAATATGGGCGTTCCAGCTCAACTCTAAGAGGTCGCTGTTTTTATTTTAGTTTCCCATTTAATTAACATGGGACAAAATAATTTTATGTTTGGAATTTTATACCTCCGTATCAAAGTAACTTATGGCAATGTTCATTGCAGTTTCTTATATAAAAATAATAAGAGAGCTTTTTTGTAGAGCGTTACATTTTATATAAGAAACTGCAATGATCATTGCCATAGGTTACTTTGATACAGAGGTATAAAATTACAAACATAAAATTATTTTTTCCCATGTTAATTAAATGGGAAACTAAAATAAAAACAGCGACCTCTTAGAGTTGAGCTGGAACGCCCATATTTGGTGAGGATTTTTTTTTTTATTAAATAGAAACATTTGGGAGGGTAAGAGCGAAAAAAAAATTAAATTTTATTTTTGAAGCACCCTAACTTACATGCTTTTTTAATAGAAAAATTTAACGATGTTGTTTTAGTACTTGAATAAAATTTGACTTATTTAATTATGAATTATTGAGGCGGTTATATGACTTAACACTTTCGCTGCTGACTGGTATGGGCAATCGACCCTTAGAAACTGAAATAGTTTGGGAAATAATAAACAGTTTGAAAACAAGAAAAGTTTAAAACACATTTATTTTATAAAATAAACTCAGGGCTAGGACGTCTTAAGACGTCGTCAGCCACCTGCTAAAAAACTTTATCCAGAGGCGGAAGACGTCTAAAGGATTACTAAAGAATAATAAGCGATATTGTAGTGGACGTCAAAAGGCGCCGTTCGCCTCCCACTTAAGAAGCGAACGTGTTAAGTCATATCATATTAAAAATATATTAGCTGCTCCCTTAGAAACATGGGGGCAGCTAATATATTTTAACGGGGGTTTCCATCTTAAATAGACCACACTGTATATAGATATATCTCTTTTTCTCCAGTTCATTAACTATAATATAGTTACTATATATGCAAAAATCACTTGGCAACACCGCTAAATAGTGCAAGATGAATGATTCATCATGAATCACTGAAAGTATACTGAAGATTTTTAAAAATTAACAAGTAGTTGGAGTTTTCGGAAATTTGTAAACACAAAACAATTAAAATCAAATTCTAAAGGGTCGATTTAGTTGTAGGAGTAGGTATAGAAATTTAATTAGAATTTTTTTACTACTTTTTTTGTTTGTCGGTTAATGTTTTCAGAGTTTTTAGAAGATTATTATTTTAAACATACCCCTACAACTAAATTGAGTCGTTAGAACTTTATTTTTATTAACCCCCGGGGGGTAAAATTTTAAAAAATCCTTTCTAAGCAGTTATCCATGTCAAAATTTCATCTCTTTAGGTCGAATAGTTTGGCCAGTCACCAAACTCCTTTATATGTACAGATTATTAAAATCAACAATTTAACTCATAGTTTTATACAAAAATTCATGGTTTTAATAAGAAGCCTGTGTTTATAAATCATAATTTTGGACATTTACAATTGAGAATAATAAAGTATAAAGTAAGTCACTTACCTAAAAGTACTTTGCTAATGTCCAAAAACGGGGCCCATACGGTGAATCCCCTGCCGATGAGGTCGATGGCGGCCCTTCTCAGTGGAATGTGTGCGGGTAATTTGACGGAAGGGGGCGCCAGCAGCAAATGCGACAGCGCCATCGAAGTCAGTCTTGCTAGATTATTGTTACCTGGACCTAAGTTTTCAATTCGACAATTTTATTATTTATTAATTACGTTTTTGTTTTTTTCTTACCGAAACCTTCAACCACTGAACTCTTACGCCTATCGTCCGCAGTTCGTTTTTTGTTGTTCGTGTCCGTGTTCGTTATATCTTGTCCGAATTCGGCTCCTATGACACCCAAAAGTATAACAGCTGTGGATTGTTTTCGTTTTAATTCGGACAAACTCGACGGTTTTCGGACTTGCTCCTCTTCTTCCTCCTCAAATTCTTCATCCTAAAGCAACAAAATAGTAGATGCAGGCCCGTGTGCACAGCAGGGCTCCCACGGCTAAATTACAAGTTTTATTTAGGAATTTTAGGAGAAATAAAGTATGCAAATAAATTTCTGTAAATAAATAGAAACAACTCTACACTATATTTAAAAAATAAGAAAAAATAAATAATTATTTTTAACAAAATATGTGGGTGGTTCTCATGAAAGATGAAAATCTTATGTACATGTTTAAAAAATGATGTAAAAAATGACAAATCAATCTGTTGATATTAGGTTTACTCTTTAAAAGCCAATGATTATTTATAACTATTAAAAACGATGCGTTCAAAATTTTTGAATTTTTTTTATTATCAAAAAACATCTGAAAACCTCACCTCCGTGACTGTTCTTTTTTACCATCGCCGGTTTTAGACTACATTAAATCTACCACAAAAGTTAAAAATTATAAAAATTTTTTCCGACATGTCCACAAAAATTATTTGTAATGAAAATATCAATAGAATTTTCTTTTAAAAATTCATAAAATTTACTAGTTTATGCCTTAAATACTGTTCCGAAATCTAAATGTCACCTCCGTGAAGTATGCTTTGGTGTAGCTTTTTCTACTCATAGATGGCGAAATATTTTAGTTTGTGGCGTGGTTTTTAAAACTAAGTTTATAGCGTGTCGCGACCCCTTCCGTTCAGTTGGTTTTAATGGTTTAAGGTGAACAGACGTATTATTTTTTTAATTATAGTTTGGTGCACCCACGTGGACACTTTGTTGTTCTCACATCCGTGAATTGAAATTTTTTGGTAAGTAAACAAAAAAACTAGGTAAATTTTGTGTTAATAAGTGACATTTAACTGACAGTTAACTTGTTTAAAAAATAATTCATTTAAGGCATTTTGACAAAAAGTTATTAAATAAAAATACCGTAATTCCTCACTTCAGTGAATCTCAAATCCGTGAAGCGGAGGTGAACCTTATTTCACGAAGGTGAGAAATTTTAAAAGTTCTTTAAATTAAAATATTAATTATCATTATTTTTTAGGATATGGCTCGCTCCAAAGAAAAAAGCAATGAAAATAAAAAGGCTAATCACGAAGAACAGAAAAAAAGGCAGCGCGAAGCAATGAGAAGGCTACGTGAATCCAGGCGACTAGATCCAGTTACATATGAGGAAGACAAGTGGAAAGAACGAGAGCGATATTACCAGAGGAAAGAAGCAGGAAAAATTAAAACAATTGAACAAATGACAGACAGAGAAAAACGAACTCAAAGAAAAGATTGGCGGAATAGAAGTAAACTTCAATATGACAGAAAGAAAAATACAAGACAGGTCGAAATTAGATTACAAGATGACTCATCACCCCCCTCGCCAATCCAAGAAGAATTTATAGCTGACCCATATGACGAAAGACTTCAAGCAAGAAATGATGGAAGAAAAAGACAAGGCAGGCTACGAAGAAGAAAACATAGAAAGGCTCTAAATAGAGAAATAAGTGTGTTAAAAGCCAAACTGAAGAAAGAGAAAAGAAAGAAGGAAAAATACAGAATGCGACTGAAAAGAGTAAAAAATAAGCTGTGTAAAAACATACATTCGCCTACAAAAAAAGTGGAAGCACTAATTGAAGGACAAATCGTTTCTCCGGCTGTTAAGAAAAAACTATTATTTTCCGAAGTTATAGAGAAACAGTTAACAGAAAATTATCGTGTTCTAACAAAACCTGCACAAAAAAGAATATTTTGGAAATGCATTTCCGGCAATGTTATCAAAAAGTACAAACAAAAAAGTTATTTAAAGAAAACCACATCTGTTTTCACTTCCGAAAAAAATAAATCTAGAACCAGATTAATAAAACAGGAATTCATCTGGCAACAAATAATAAATTTTCTTGAAAAAGATGAGTGCAGTAGACTCTGCCCTGGCAAAAACGATTATGTTACAAAAAAACATGTTAAGAAACAGAAACGGATACTAAATGACACACTCAAGAATTTACACAGAAAATTTATGAAAGAAAATAAATTTCTGATTAGCTACACAACCTTCTGCCGATTACGGCCTTTCTGGATTGTACAGCCTAAAATAGATGAACGAAATACCTGCCTTTGTTTAATTCATACGAATATGTGGTTGCTTGTTAGAAGGTTAAAGATAGCAAATATAATAAAAGAAAATTCACCAGAAGAAGTATGTAAAACTATTTGTTGTGAAGGAGAAGTATTAAAAGAAACATGTTTAGAAAGAAAATGCGAAAATTGTAAAGACAAAACCATAGTTACAGTTGATTTTGATGGAGCGGACACCATGGTGTATGAGAAATGGGTTACAAAACGAGTTACAATAGTAGTGAAAGGAAAAGAGAAGCTGTGTACAAAAACTGTTAAGGAAAAGCTTATGTCTACTAAGGCGGAGGTTTATGAAACGTTCATTGGCTTAATGAAGCCATTTCTTTTACATATAAAAAATTTAGAACACCAGATGAGAGAAATTCGGAAAATTAAGGAAAATATGAATAATAATGAAGCTTTGATTCATATGGATTTTTCCGAAAATTACGGATGCAAGTATGCGGAAGAAGTTCAGTCGGCCCACTTTGGGAATTCAAAAATGCAGTTAAGCTTGCACACAGTTGTTGTGTACTATAAAAGCTCTAACAATGATATGCAAAAGAAATGTTTTTGTACAGTGTCACCAAGTTTGCGGCATGATCCTGTGGCAATTTGTGCTCATCTCCTTCCCGTGTTTAGAAAACTTAAAACCTTTGTAGAAAATTTAAAACACATCCATTTTTTAAGTGACGGGCCCTCAACCCAATACCGGAACAGAAAGATGTTTTACTTAATGGCAAACTTTATTTCGCAGGAGTTAAATGTAGAAGAGTTGCGGTGGCATTATAGCGAGAAAGGTCACGGCAAGGGAGCTCCTGATGGAGTAGGTGGAGTCTTGAAACGCACAGCTGATGGTATTGTTGCTCGAGGAACAGACATACATAACCTACAATCTTTCCTGTTTCATTTGAAAGCAAACTGTAAAGGTATTTTTCTTTTTAAAGTTCAGTTAGATGATTCAGAGCTTGAGAAAATTGAAGAAAAAATACCTAAAATACTGCCAACATATAAGGGAGTTTTACAGTGCCATGAGGTAGTTTGGTCTAAACAACATACATTTTTGGATATTCGAAAACTAACCTGCCTTAGCTGCTCGCCATCCAAAGTGTGTTCTCATTACTCTTTGGGTACTTACCAATTGCAACAATGTATCCTTTTTTAAATTATTTTATTTTTGTTCTTTATGTTTGTTTTTCTATTTTCTTAACCGATTATTAGCACACACATTGACAAAGGGAAGACTGATTTACAGTAATATTTATTCGTCATCGTCCGATGACGAAGAGGACAATCTGCTTCTAGCTAGACTTTTAAACCGAAAACCTGATTCCTGTTTATCACCAAAAGAAAATCATTCTAGGACCACTGATTTTGACTGTGACATTCATCTAGACAATGTCATGTCAACCAGAATTGATGTTCAATCATCTCATTCCATTTTAACAAATCTGGAACCAAAAATCAACGACTATGTAGTGGTTAAATTTTGTACAAAAAAGCTGGTTAAACATTACATTGGTGTTATCCAGTCGACCGAGTTAGAAGATTATCCAAATGACTACTTAATTAAATTTGTTAAGAAAAAGACTGGTACTGATAAATTCTTTTTTCCAGTTCGTGAAGACATTTCACTAATAAGCAAGACTGATGTAGTATCTGTTCTTCCTCCAGTAATAGTTCTTGATCGGGAACAGTTATTTTTTAATACAGATTTGTCTTTATTCAGTAACATAAATTAAGTATTTTAGGTGTTATAAGAATCTTGATTTTTTTATTATTAATGATTACACGTTCCTTTCTTACCATTTTAAGTTAAGTTAAGTTAAGAGTGTTAAATAATAGAATATAAACTAGTTATTTTATGTTATTTCGAGTTATTTTGTTGTAAATGGTAAAATGTTCCTTTTTTACTCCCTTTAAGGGTGTTTATTAATAAAAGTTATTTTTAATTACATGTTTATCATTTGTGAAAATATTAAAAACCAAAATTAAAGACCAATTTAGCATGAAATCGCAAAAATATGGTGTAATTCTCACATCCGTGAAAAGTTATCACCTCCGTGATTAGGATTTTTAAAAATCCTTAAAATTTTGAAAAAACATTGGGGAAAGTGTTTGACCATATTTGTCATTTAACACGTCTTTAATTGCTTTTTTACGATATTGCTTCAAATATTATATAATATAATTTTTTTTTCTTATTTAAATTTATATCGATTTTAACACCTTTCATGAGATTGACCCATGTATAAGATTAAAGTGAGGTAAAATTACCACTTTTATATATATCTATATACATACTAGGGTGGGCCGATTTTAATATTTTTCAAATATCAAATTGTGCAATGGTGGAAAAGTTGTGCATTTATAAGGCCAGACAAATATTATAAGAGTTTTTTTTTATTTTAATTTCTTAAACTGCCGCAAGGCCTTGAAAGATCTTAATGAAATTTAGTATCGTTATAAATACGAAAAAAAATTATCTGAGAGAAAATAGGGTTAAAAAAGTTTTGAATGATAAATATTTATTAAAAAAAAAACAAAAATAAAAATGAATTTTTCATCAACACAAATTTAATTCAATTTATAATCCTGTTTTATCTGCCATTTTTCACAAACACCCAAAAACCACAAACAGATACTATAGTATATAAGTATATATAAGTATACTTGTAAAAGTTTCTATTATTCAACTAATTGACGATGTCAAAATATTATAATTTATATAAACAGTGAAGCCAACTGTCAACTGTCCTACGTCAAACACGAAAATCTTAAATAATATTTATTCTCGATTTTACGCCGTCTCTCCAATAATTGCAACATTTAAAATTTACAGTTTGACTTCATATAGTTCAAAACAAACAAAAAAAATATTAAAGGAAAATAGTTACTTTTCTATTTCACAACTTTCCCGCTTATGAATAATTTTAAATTTTTAAAAATTACTTTTAAATTTTTAGAGGCGTTGCGGCAGTTCAAAACATATTGATATCAAAAAAAATATTTTGCAAAAAATGTTTACTTTCCTATTTCACAACTTTTTCTTAAATGCAGAATTTAATATTTTTAAATTTTAGAAGTTCAATATAAAATCGGCCCACCCAAAAATATAAGTAGTAGTTTTACCTCACTTTAATTGTATACAAAAAAACTCGTCGAGCGATTTGGCTAAAAAAACTAGTCAATTTAACTTATTTGTACAAAATAAGTGATATTTATTTATATTTTGTATATATACACAAGTAAAAATTTCACCACTCTTAATTTTATTAAAAAAATGCGTCGATAGATTTGACCAAAAAAACTAGGCCAACGTCAAATGATGTTATATTTATATTTAGAGAAGAAAAATGTTAACTGTTTAGTTATTAACTAACAATAAGTGTAATGTGGATCTTAATACTTAAAAATCGCATAATAGAAAAAATATGAAGTTTGCATAATACAGCAAAACATTATTTAGATTGTTTACAATTTTAGCTATAATTTAAAAAAAAAATCCTTTTGTTTGATATATAACAAGGTATTTTTTTGTCGAAAACAAACGAAATATGGCTAAAAATGACAATTTTGTAAAAGTCTAAGAGCTACTACGTGGATTTTTTAGGTATATTTTGGTGTTTTTTAAGAAAAATGTAGGTTGTGATTTATTACCTAAAAATATATATTTTCAAAAAAGAATTTTTTTATCACAATTACCTTAATTAAACGCAGTCATGGCCTATTTACATTTATTTTTAGTAGTTTTAGGAGACTGATGGCAATTTTAGGAAAATTTTAGTAGTTTTTATGATATTTTAAAATTTTAGGAATATTATGAGTTTTTGGAGGTGTGGGGGCACTGGCACAGGGATAAATTTTATAAAATAACATACCGTTGGATCTGGCGAGTGCGAGTTTTGCCCGGAATTCACGTTATTAGGAGATGAAACAGCATGCTGATTTATCGTTTCCGTTTGCGTATACAACGGCAAATACTGCGCCCAACTGTCAACCAACTGTTTTCTGCCCTTGGGACCCATTCTAAAAACGAAAAACAACTTGAACCATCGATTTCGTACATAAAAAAACTTTAATCCAGTCTACCTTGACAATTCGGCCAATAGAAGCGTTTGCGCGGCCTCCCTGACCTCGACGCAGTGGTGCTGCCATCTCTTGGCCATCATCTCGACTTGCGGACGTTTAAAGTTTTTCGCGCCGTGTTCTACCACTTTGTCGGGCAAAAGGACGCAATGCAGCGTTGCCAGCAGCGACCAGCCCTGTTTTATTTGCGCCTGTTGCTGAGTGTACATTTCCTCGTGTTCCTCGTCCGTTTTGCTCCAGTTTACCCTTGTCGATTGTCTGGAATTATAAAATAAGAATGTTAATATCAAAGTTTGTTTTAATGATGTAAAAAACTACTACAGGGTGTCCCAAAACAATATCCTATGAATATCAGAATAATAAAAATCGTTAATATATGAGATATTGGTACTTCATAGTATTTTTTTTTGCCAAATTTTTTTATATAATTAATAGAAGGGTTGCGCAACAAAAAATAGAATCTTAAAATACTGAATTTTGTAGCTGTGGCACTCGAAAAACAGAACTAAGGTGTCAAGTTTCACAAAATTCATAAAACTGACAATATTTCAATAACTAGCTTTGTAATAATAATAATATCTCAATAACTAACTTTGTAATAATAATAATAATTTTCATATTATAACACTCATAAGTCTATATACCCTATTTTCATTTTTCCTGTAGACAGTTTTCGGTTTTTAAGAGTGGGAGAATAATTTTTAAGAGTGGGGGACGCCGAACTCTCGACCCGAGAGACGGGTTTTGTAATTCAGTAGTAGACCTTTCACCGGCGATGGGTGATAGTCGAAGTTTGCTCTGAATTATTAATACGAATTACGCATTATTAAGTTAATTTACTTTTAAAAATGATTCAGATACTTAAAATTTAACGTTCACTTTTATCAGTAAATTATTAATTAAAGGTGTAAAATTAATATTTGTTTTGCATTTAACTAAAAGTGTTTCATTATAAAAAAAACGTTTAAGCATAAAAAATTCTTTAAAAACTAAAATAAAATAATAAAATAATGGTCTTAGAAACAAATTAAAATAAATAAATCAATTCTCTTAAAACCAAACTAAAAATCAAACTTCTTAAAATAAATGTAAATAAATTAATTAAAAACGTTTATTACACTGTAGGGGGTGAAAATATCACAGCTAAACGCTCGGACACGTAAACTTAATTTTTGGTCGTAGATTACAAATCCGTGCTTGGTTGAGCTGTATCAGGTCAAAATTCAAAGATATTGGAAACACCCTGTATAATTTTTTTTTTAATTAAATTAGGCGGGTCCCACACATCAGTTCCAAATTAAAAAAATAACAAATTCTTGCAAAATTTGAAGTTAATTGATCAAAAGATACAGGGGGTTTTCTTAGATAATTTAGGAAATTTGAAATGTTTTTTTGCTGTTTTTTTATTGAGTATATTATATTAAATGAAATAAAAAGCATAAAACTGTTGGCACAAGAGGTGAATTATGTTATTTTACAAATTAAAATATACCAGTATACAGTGTGTCCCCAGATCGGATTTCCAATAGGAAAAACTTTTTTAAACCGAGCACGGATTTGGAATCTACGACCAAAAATTATGTTTACGTGTCCGAGCGTTTAGCTGTGATATTTTAAAAGTTAAAAATATACTTACAGTGTTATTGTTCTAATTGAAGGAATAGAACCATCCGGATATTTAACTGAGAATAGGTCTCTTGTTTGACGTAGAAAATTGACCATAATTTTCTCTTGTGTATGACATTATAACTTTTTAAATAATTTTTAATAAAAGAAATTAATTTATTTTAAAAATGACTGAATCGTCGCCTACGGCAATCCGGGGAGGGGCGATCGAGTTCACTCATGTCAGTTAAATAATGTTTTAAAACACGGTGGAGAAAGCTTATTAATTGTCTCCCACACAATCTACTGCCTCGGCTATAATATGTGCTTTCTCCGCCTGGTCTAATAATGTACTATTTACTAAGGTCATGTTTTGATATTTTGATGTCATGACTTTTGGACACCCTATACAGGGTGCAGTGGAAGTATCCTTCTTTGTATGGGTATATTTTTTATTTGGAGAGCTGTTAAAGTAGAGAAAGGTTGCGTAATTACAAGTCAATTAAAATGGCCTTTAAAAATTATGAAAAAAGTTAGCGGTTCACAAATAATTAAAAAAAAAATTGAAAACCTGTCAAAACCAAAACTCTTTATTCCTAGGAATTTAAAAAAGTTAGTTTCACATGTAAAAATACACATTTGACTACATTTTTATACAATTTGCGGCTACTAGATTCTTTCCTATGAGAGTCAAAAAAATCAAGGAATCCAACGATGTATCAAACTACATAAGTGATGGCAGCCATTATAAAAACAAAAGATGGTGATGGTAACTCAAAAAATAGTAGCGAAGAAATTGGACGAAAATGTAGAATAATGTGTACGTTTACATGTAAAACTTAATTTTTGTCAAAATTCCCAGGAATAACGATTTTTAAAAGGATTTCTATTTTTTAAATAATTTGAGAACAGCTGTGTTTTTTTCAGTTTATAAATTTAATTTTAATAGGCTTGTAATTACGCAACTTTTCTATAATTTAACCGAGATCGTAGCTCTACAAATAAAAAAATACCAAATGAAGTTTACTGCTAAGCGGTAACTGCAATATTAAGTAGTATAGAGGAAAAACTACAATTTGTAGTATTAAAACAAAATACAATTACTTTTGTCCTTTATTACTTAATATTTCAGTTACCGCCTGTGCTTAAAAATGTCAAAGTATATTTATATACAGTACCAAAATAATCAATTGTGTCAAATAGACTAATTGCATCAAAAATGAAAATCCCTAAAAACCTTTTTAATGTAATCTAGAGGTAAAAACACATTGCGAAAATATTTTTTTATATTCCAAAAGTTCAACCCGGCCCCAAAATATCAAATTGAAAAAAAGGTACTTTTCAAACGTTCCCGAACTCCCGCCATACTGCATGACGTCATAAACCTACAGAAGTGTCAGAAATCAAGATGTCAACAAATAATAAACACCGGTAAAGTTTATGTTTAACATGGAAAACGCGAAAACAAAAATTAGTTGTAAATATTGTTTTGTGCCTTGTTGTACAAATACAACCTGGAAAACTCCTGGGAAAAGGTTTATCACCGTGCCAAAAGGGAAAATAAGGATAAAGTGGATTAAAATAGCTCGGCGCGATATCAAAACATCGTCACCATTTTAATGTAAGTAAAATATAATGTCGTTTACTAGGTATATGGTTGGAATAGGTATGTTAAATAATAATAAACTCAAGAAAATAGGGCTGAGCCGTAACGGCTCTCAGTGTAGGGTCATAAACTTTGCATTTGATAATTAAAGGGACAACTTTCCCAGGAGTTTTCCAGGTTGTATTTGTACAACAAGGCACAAAACAATATTTACAACCAATTTTTGTTTTCGCGTTTTCCATGTTAAACATAAACTTTATCGGTGTTTATTATTTGTTGACATCTTGATTTCTGACACTGGTGTAGCTTTATGACGTCATGCAATATGGCGGGAGTTCGCGAACGTTTGAAAAGTACCTTTTTTTCAATTTGATATTTTGGGGCCGGGTTGAACTTTTGGAATATAAAAAAAAATTTTCGCAATGTGTTTTTACCTCTAGATTACATTAAAAAGGTTTTTAGGGATTTTCATTTTTGATGCAATTACTCTATTCTGTGGTTGTAATTATATGGTTGTAACCACAATCCACACAACAAAGTCTGTTCTATCTCGTTTCGCGCATACTAAAAATTACTGCAACACTTCACATAGTTGTTTACAATTTTTGTGCTTTGGGTTTGTGCTCTTTTTATACAGATTATTAATCGTCTAAAGCTTAATTTTCATGTATCCGTTTGTCCGTTATACGTTTGTACGTTTTTCAATAAAATCGTCCGATAAGAAATGTTCTAATTTTCATGCATCCGTTTTTAATGACGTTTAACTTTACTAAATTTACCTTATGCTTAATTGCCATAGTTACAATTATGTCAACAATTGTAACTTTAACAGCTGTCTAATAAATTTAAAGGTAGGTAAATATACCATATAAAAAGAATATACTAGCCTTAATTTACATTAAAATGTATAGTTTTAAAAAAGCAGGTCCTTTTAGTTCTGGTTTTAATATTTTATTGTTTGTCTTTTTTTCTGTTATTATTATTAAATAAAGACATAAAATTAGAACATTATTCACATAACGAACGTTATATTTTCGTTTTACAATCTTATTAAAAGAATATTAAAAGATTTGAAAATAAAGTATCTTAAAATAACGTTAGGCGTCAAAAACAGATGTGTAGTGACAGATTAGTTAAAATTATTTTAAATTTCTCCGTCAGACGTACGAAGTTAAAACTTGACGGACGGAAAAAATGTCATAATTTTTTAATTATAATTGGACCAATAAGAGCGCTCCGGGATGAACGGACTGACGGACAAACGGATACATGAAAATTAAGCTTTAGGCTATGTTCTACTGTTATCTATTTATTTAATAAGAAGAACGGACAAAAAGAAAGGACAAACAAAAAATATTAAAACCAGAACTAAAAGAATATTTTAATTTATATTAAGGCTAGTATATTCTTTTTATATATTATATTTACCTAAAGTTACAATTGAGGAGGTGCATTCCAAAACGGCTTATCCATATTAGGTGATTTTGAGCAATATGTCAAAAACCTTACACGTGAGTACTAACGCATATACGTTAATAAAAGTCGAGCGCTCGACGATAGCCAACAGAATACTTTAAACAAAATTTATAGGCATAAGTATAAAATTTATATACCTTGATTAAAAAGGTATAGCTCCAATTTGAAATAATTTAAAATTACATATGTATGAGCCAGTTCTGATATGATATAACCTAGATACGGCAAGTTTTGGAACGATAGTTAATTTGTAAATGAATTTTAAATGGAATAAGGTGAGTTTCAGGGTATAGGGGGCTACATGTTAAATGTACAGATACCACCTAATTTATTTTTATTAAAAAGTGAATAAGCCGAATTTTGGAATGGACCTTCTCAATTTTTTACAAAGTTGTAGCTATGCCAATTAAGCATTAGGTAAATTTAGTGAAGTGAATATACTAGCCCTTAATTTCTATTTTTTGCCAAATCATTCCTTTTAACGTCAGATAAAGCTTAATTTTCATGTATCCGTTTGTCCGTTAGTCCGTTCATCCGGGAGCGCTCTTATTGGTCCGCCGATGGTGGACTAGTGGTTATTGCTGCTGTCTACAACCCGAGAGGGCGTGGGTTCGAATCCCACCAGGGGTTTATTTGTGTTTGTCATATTGTGTAATAGTAGTAATAGTCCTTCGGAGGGGACTTTAAGCCCGCGGTCCGTTCCTACCCCTAAGGGATACATGAAAATTAAGCTCTAAACGTTATGTTTCTTACAGAGGCACTTGTAAGCCTTAAAAGAGGACTTAAAGTGCTAACCCAACCACTTACCTATATTTTTTATTTTATTTTTTATCCTTTGTATCCTTATAATATGTAATAAAAGTTGAATTGAGGTTAGGTATTTACCCTTTCAAATTTATAGTTACAACCACAATCCCCACAACAAGGTCTGTTTGGTCTAGGGTCTGTTCTATCTCGTTTCGCGCATGCTAAAAATCACTGCAACACTAAACAAAATCTAAAGGCGGCCATTTTTATGTTGTTTACAATTATTGTGCTTTGGGTTTGTGCTGTTTATACAGATTAATAATCGTTTTAAACGTTGTGTTTCTTACAGCGGCACTTGTAAGAACCATTTTACTCCTCTTTTGTAAAAAATAAACCTTATTCTATCAGGGCTGCCATCTGTCAAATGTCAATTTTAAGGTTAATTTGTAGGGTATGGTAAATAAACCTTAACATTTAAATTTGAAAGTATGATAGCCCTGATAGAATAGGGTTTATTTTTTACAAAAGAGGAGTAAAATGGTTCTTACAAGTGCCGCTGTAAGAAACACAATGTTTAAAACGATTATTAATCTGTATAAACAGCACAAACCCAAAGCACAAGAATTGCAAACAACATAAAAATGGCCGCCGTTAGATTTTGTTCAGTGTTGCAGTGATTTTTAGCATGCGCGAAACGAGATAGAACAGACCTTGTTGTGGGGATTGTGGTTGTAACTATAAATTTGAAAGGGTAAATACCTAACCTCAATTCAACTTTCATTACATATTATGTAAGGATAAAAAATTAAATATAAAATAAAGGTAAGTGGTTGAAATGAGAGAGAGAGAGCGCTACTCTCTCATGCGTAAGGTTTTATATTCAAAATTGTGGTTTTTGAGATTCTTAAGTACATTAAGTAATTAAGTATATTTTACCTGTGTAACTTTCTGTTTCTCTCTTGCTCTGGCACAAACGTCGCATTGCTCATGGACATCAAAGTGTGACTTAGCGCTATTATGGCCAGAAGATGATTGCTGGTTAGCGTGGTGCTCAATTCCCAATGCGTATGGGAGGTGAAAATTCTCGTGATCATTTCCTGGCGCACCAGTTCGAGCGGCAGACTTTGGGTGAACGACAAGTCCATGTGAGGTTGTTCGTGGTCTATGGGGATAGCTTTGTGCCATGTTGGCAGGAATAGTGACATGTGGTTGGCCTTGGAGAGTACTCCAAATGACACTGGTACCTGGAATTAATAATATTAGTAGAACAGACTAAATGAATGTATGTTATTGTGGCATTCATCGTGCATCTATCAGCAAAATTATAGTGTCATTAGTAAAACAAGCGTTATCAAGCCATCATTTCTTTTCGTTACGTCAGAAAACATATCAAAGAATATCAGGTAAGTGATCGAATCTGGCGTTGTTTTTGACGATAATTTTGATTTTTATGACGAAATCAACGTGTTAAAAGTGCTGCGAAGCACAGCACCAGAGGAAATCAAGAACTAAATTTTGTCACACATAAAACCAAAATAGGCGAAAAACGAATACTTACAGAAGGCATCAAAATATACAACAAATTACCAAATGAGATCAAACAGCAAAATGAAATAGAGTTTGTTAAGAGCGTCAAGCAATATTTAGTGGACCAAAGACAAGAAAACTAGTGTACATAGGTAGATACTTGTTAATTATTTATAAAGATTTAATTTATTCGATCAAGGACAAAGATTAGTGTACAAAGCCAACTTCAAATAATTTATAAATGACCCATGTATAATTTAATTATTTATTGCTAAATGTTAATTTTAAATTTATTTGTAAATTACATATCTGTCAAAGCTCATTTCGGCTAATTGGATATTATTTTTCAATAAAAAAAAAAATTTGTAGATTCAAAAAAAAGCGACAAGGCGTCAAGAAGGGGCGAAAAGTCAGCCACCAAGACTTAAGGTAAAGGTAAGGCCGTCCTAATGTCGCAAGCCACTTAACAACAAGTTGCTATTTTTTTAAATTTGTCTATGTTTTTCTATTAAAATAAATTAAAATAAAGCCGAACCTGTTTAACCACTGGTTGATAATGGTAGAACATACGAAACTAACGAAAAACTGGAACTGTTTGCAAAATATTTGGAAAAAAAACCTTTAAAGAAAGTAATGATGCAAACTTCTGCTTAACTCATAATAATCATGTATCTCAATGCAATACCAACTTTATACACTGCCTGTCAAAATTAAAGCATAATAAGTAAAAAAAATTTAACTCTAAAACGCCTTTACCAATCTTTCTGAAATTTTGTATAAAAATACTTCAACTTATATCTCAGTTTACGTGTTCGAGGGTTTTTCAAAAAAATATTTTTAAAGCCCTTTAATTAAATAATAAAAAAAACGTTCTAAAAATAACTTTTTGAGAATTTTTAAGTAAATTAAAAATATGGTGTTAAAGACATGGTTTTTGTTAGTATACCCTACAAATTTTGTACAAATCAAACGAACAGTAACAAAGATACAGCGCTTCAAAGTCGGTAAAAATTACCCCTTTTTGATTATTTTGCTGTATTTTCGTACTGTTCTTTTGATTTGTACAATATTTTCAGGGTTTACTAAAAAAATACGGTCTTTCACACACGGTGTGCCTGAACGAAGTTTAAGTCACATAAAAATGCCGCCAAAAACTGATTGCAGTTTCTTGTTCGAGACCCTTTGGTGACTTAAAAATGATATTTACCAAAATCCTAGCTGCTCCTCTTTTCGAAATTTTTTGAAAATTCATGTTTTTTTTTTAAATTTCATTTATTTCAAAGTCTACCTTTGACAGAGTACACATTTGTACACCGATTTTGATAAAATTAGAGTATATTATTGGGAAGATTTAGAAAATACTTTTACTGTTCACATAATTTGATATATACAGGGTCAGCCAAAAAACGCTTATTTTTAATAAAGCAAAAGCGTAAATTCATGATTTTGGCATAACACGCAAAAAAGATTTATCCCCATTTTTTGGTAAAAAAATGGTATTTCTTATTAACCTTTTATAAAAAAAATAGATTTTTAATAAAAATAAATAAAATAACGCTAAGAGAATATTTAAAATGTTGTTTAATTTAGGCTTTTTAGTAGTTTTCAATTTTGAACGAAAAACTGGTTAAAGTTTTTTGATTCGCACTCTTTGGAGATTTAAAAACGATATTTACCAAAATTCCAACTGCTTTTTTGAAATTTGTTACAAAATCATTTTTTTTTAATTTTCGTTTATCGCAAAGTCTACCTTTGCCAGAGTACACATTTGTACACCGATTTTTATTGATTGCAGTTTCTTGTTCGGGCGGTACCGACGGGACCCTTTGGTAACTTTAAAATGATATTTACCAAAATCCTAGCTGCTCCTCTTTTCGAAATTTTTTGAAAATTCTTATTTTTTTTTTTAATTTTTGTTTATCTTACATTTGACAGAGTACACATTTGTACACCGATTTTTATAATATTGGAGTATATTGTTAACGAGACTTGGAAAATACTGTTTTCATACTGAGCAATTAGATTTATACAGGGTTAGCCAAAAATCATTTTTATACAGGGTGTTTCTTTTAACTTGAGACAGCTCAATATCTCAAGAAATACGCATTTCACGGAAAAATGTCTTAAATAAAAGGTTAATGTGACTAAAGGGGACATTATTTGGTGCTACCGCTAGCCACCCCCTACCCCTCCTTAAGGGTGAAACGGGGGATAACTTTGGAAAGTCAAATGGAATGACCCGATTTTTTTCACAGAGTTTGGTAGTACATAAAAAAATAAATAACTTTTATTTAAAACTTTTTTCAATTTATCAACAGATGGCGCTGTAATTCAAAATTTAAGAAAAATGAGTTTCCTTGTAAAATGTATTATTTGAAACGTTTGAAAAACAAAAATTAACATTAACAACAATAGTCGGCTATTAAAACAATTTATAACAAATGTTCGAAATGTCGTCATTCCATTTCAACACATTTTTGAATGCGGGTAATGAATTCTGGCACACAACGCGCCAACATGTCGGGCGGTATCGCCGCACAGGCGTTTCTGATCCGCTCCACCATGTCCTCCCAAGTTGTAGGAATTGCAGCGTAAACTTTTTCTTTCAAGTAACCCCACTGGAAGAAGTCTGGTGGCGTAAGATCAGGTGATCGAGCAGGCCAAATTACTGGACCACGTCTACCGATCCACCGCGGTGCACCGGCCATTGAACTCCCGATCCAACACCTCTCGAGCAATTGTCGAATAATGTGCAGGACAACCATCTTGCTGGTACCACATGTTTTGGAGCCGTGCTAGTGGTACATCCTCCAAAAGGTCCGTCAGATCGTTTTCTAGAAAATTCCGGTACTTTTCGCCATTTAATGCACCGTCAATAAAGAACGGTCCGATTAATCGTTCGCTTAAGGTACCGCACCAAACGTTTACCGACCAGGGAGGCTGGTGCTCCACTTGGTGTCGAAATGGAAGGACGACATTTCGAACATTTGTTATAAATTGTTTTCAGAGCCGACTATTGTTGATTTAATGTTAATTTTTGTTTTTCAAACGTTTCAAATAATACATTTTACAAGGAAACCCCTTTTTCTTAAATTTTAAATTACAGCGCCATCTGTTGATAAATTGAAAAAAACTTTCAAATAAAAGTTATTCATTTTTTTATGTACTACCAAACTCTGTTTAAAAAATCGAGTAATTGCATTTGACTTTCCAAAGTTACCCCCCGTTTCACCCTTAAGGAGGGGTAGGGGGTGGCTAGCGGTAGCACCAAATAATGTCCCCTTTGGTCACATTAACCTTTTATTTAAGACATTTTTCCGTGAAATGCGTATTTCTCGAGATATTGAGCTGTCTCAAGTTAAAAGAAACACCCTGTATAGTAAAAAGCATAATTCACAAAAAAGATTTATCTCCAAAAAATTTTATTTTATTTAATTTTATTCAAAATTAATTTTTCTTATAAAGTCTTAGTAAGAATCCCATTTTGTAGCCTTATTAAAATAAAAATATCTAAAAACACATCTTTTTTTGCGTGTTATGCCAAAATCATGAAGTTACGCTTTTGCCTTATTAAAAGAAGCGATTTTTGGATAACCCTGTATATTTTAAATGATGTGCACAGTATAAAAAAGTATTCTCAAAATCTCCTTAACAATATAATCCAATATTATAAAAATCGGTGTACAAATGTGTACTCTGTCAAAGGTAGACTTTAAGATAAACAAAAATTAAAAAAAAAATCATAAATTTTCAAAAAATTTTGAAAAAGGAGAAGCTAGGATTTTGGTAAATATCATTTTTAAGTCACCGAAGGGTCCCGAACAAGAAACTGCAATCAGTTTTTGGCGGCATTTTTATGTGGCTTAACCTTCGTTCAGGCACACCGTGCACAGGATATTTTTTATTTATTTAAAAAAAAAATCCGTATAAAAGTTTTTTGGAACGTTTTTATTTTTAAATAAAAGGGCTTTAAGGATATTTTCTCGAAAAACCCTTGAACACGTAAATTGAGATATAAGTATTTTTATCCAAAATTTTATAAAGATTGGTAAAGGCGTTTTAGAGTTGAATTTGTTGACAGATGAAAATATTATTGAGGAAGAATATTTTAATATTCGCTATAACGGAAAAAACACAGCTGCAGGCCAAAGAACTACTGAGAAAAATAGACTACAAAATAAACTAGGAAATTATAAAAATATTTTTTTTACTGACTGTTTAAAAACAACATAAAAGTAAATTTTGCAAATGAACATTACATTTACAATTAACATACGCTCTTTAAAAACGTGCTTCTTTACTTTAAAAAAGCACCTTTTAAACAATAGACAACTAACTACAGATTTGACAGTTGCATTCATCACTGGCGCCATCTGCCACTCTTTCATAGGACTAGGGACATAAAATGTTGGGGACAGCTTTAATTTTAATAGAAAGTTTTAAAGATTTTACTTTTGTATTGACAACATGGTAAATTTAGAAAGAATTAGCTTTGAAAAAAAATAAAAAAATATTATTGTTATTGTTAAATTAAAAAAAAAATTAGACATAGATTTTGAGTTTTGCCAATATGAAGTTTAGTAGATTATAATCAAACTTAGAATGTTACCTGCTATACCATAAATAAACTTTTGGAAATTTTATTATTACCTTTTAAAAATAAAATGTTGTTGGGCGCCGTTTTTTTTTAATTAAAAAATGCCCATTTAGCCTTTTAACATAGCAGGTTTCTTTAAATGAATTTAAATAAAAAAATATCGCAACTTACCATAGGCCTTAAAAGTCCCAACTTCACTTGACAAACTCTGTCCAAATCGTTATCCAATCCCCATGAGTGCAAAAGTGACAGAAGCAACTGCGCAATCTCCATGCCATGGCTGGTGTCCATTAAACCTAACGTCATTGGTTTGCTGTTGTTTCTTGAGCCACCCTCACAGCCATCTACACAAAATGTGTTAAACATATCAACAAGGTTTCTAAATGCCTTTTTTCAACGGTTAGTGTGTTTTTTTAATAAAAAAAGTAGTTAATTATGTCAGTGTTACTAACTTTTCGAAAATAAAAAAAGGACCCGTATTAGGTTCAGTATGAACATAAAAATAATTTACATTTTTTAGCTTAAGTTAGTTACCTTTAGCGTGATCACCATGTTTTAAGATATTTTCCGCTCTAGCCTGGATTTTAGTTTGTACATTTTCTGCCCCTTCTTTCATTTTAGCCAAAATACCTAAAGATAATGTGATTTTATTTTTATGAAAATCAAAGCACGTTTAAAACCCAAAACAACACTGCATAAAAGCTATAAGCTAAATAGTAGTACAGTCAATTAGTCAACCCGCTAAATTTTGGAAATGGTCTGGCGGTTTAAAATGTGGAATGCCATATTCCCGTGTTCCCCCCTATTGGTCAGAAAAAAGTTTTAAGACAAGAATGTAGAGCTTGACATTTTTAACCAATGTTACTTAATAATAATTATAATTAATAATAAATATTAATTTATAGGCGAAACTTACTTTATTTTGCTCCTCAAAAGAAAGAGGGCGCCAAAATGAACAAAAATTAGTTTTTTATATTTTATCCCTCTAATCTTGATTAAAACTAAAAATGCTAAATAAAAAAGTTCAATTTTAAATATACCTATACAAAATATAAAAAATTGTATTTTCATTTGGTTTCCGAATTACAGCGACTCAAAATTAGGTACGCTTTTTAAATCGTTCTCCGCTAGAAACTACCAAAAGCGAACGGAAGGAAACCGCTGGAGGTGGAAACGGGAATTTAACATTTTACTTTGTAGACTACCAAAATAACAGAATTTTTTTCGATATACCCTGATTTTTCGACAGATTGATTGTACCCACTATAAAGCAAAAGTGGAAAAAAATACATCAAGCAGGCTTATAATCAGGGTTTATACCTGAGCCAAGATAAAAAAAAATAAAAAACATAAATTTGAAAGCTAGGTTACCGTGTTTATCTTTTTCTTTGATTATTCTTTCCATATTCTCAGCTTTATCTTTTACCTTCCCGAAAAAGTCTGCCGCCACAAAGAAGAAAGAACCATGTTAGTAAAGATGTACATTACAATAAGTGTTAAGAAACAGATAACAAATAGGTTGCTTAGTGTGGATGACCAATTTTAACTCAATTTTGAATATTTAGTTTAACTGTCATTAGGATAATTTAAAAAAACCGAATGTATTTTAATTCCGACTGAAAAATTGGTTCTCAGGCACCTTAAGAAAGTGCTCACCAAATTTGAGCTTTTAATATTAATAAGAAGATCCTCCTTATCACAGTTTTCTATTTTTTCTTTAGTCCCTTATAAAAAAGACCATATTTCATTATTTATCAATCGTTTAATTAAATCTTTATACATATTTTTGTACGAAATTGAATACTCTTCAAAAAAGGACTGATGTGTTTAAGCGATTACAAGATTAAATTTTTTTTATAATTTTGTAACTCACTGAAAAATATTTATTGTCAAATGAGTATGATATATTTTTGTAGGAAATTTATCGCGCTACAAAAAAGGTCTTATGTGTTTAATTGATTACTCTAACCGTTGAGAAGATATTCGTATCCGAATCCCAATGCGCACTGATACAATATCTTCCCAACGGTTAGAGTTATCAATTAAACACATCGGAACTTTTTTGTAGAGCGTTAAATTTCCTACAAAAATATGTCATACTTACTCATTTGACAATAATTATTTTTCAATGAGTTTTTTATATAAATTCTTGATCTTGCATATCTTTTAAATGGTTAGAGTAATCGCTTAAACACATCAGTCCTTTTTTGTAGAGCATTCTATTTTCCACCAAAATATTTATAAAGATTTGTTTAATAATGAATTATGGTCTTTTTTATAAGTGAGAGAGAAAAAATTAAGAACTGTGATGAGGAGGATCTTCCCATTAATATTAAGAGCTTAAATTTGGTGAGCACTTTCTAGAGGTGCCCAAGAACTAATTTTTCAATGTTAGAACTTCTAACTTAGAAGTCATACTTATTTAAAAAATTCATGGTGTTTTAGGGTCCCTGGATAAACTTTTAACTACGAATTAAGAAATTTCTTTACCAAGTTTCAAAATTTTAAAAATCAACAAAGATATAGCACTTTTTAGTAAGCCAATCAGAGCACATCGCACCCTGGACAAAAAGCACTGTTATGCGAAAATAATTTTACCTATAACTTTTTTATAACAAATAAATATTTCTTTTTTTATTTTTAATTTCAAATCGATTATTCAAATAGTTAAAATTATTGAATGGTTCGAAAAGTTCGAATTTTTCGAATGGTTCGATTAGAAAATTTAAATTTTCCAATAATAATCATTCAAGTATAACTAATCAAATAAGTTAAACTATATCTATGATTAAATATTGGTTTTGTCAAATATTTGATTATGATGATTATTATTGAAAAAATTGAATTTTCTAATAGTCAAACCATTTGAATAATTTGAACTATTTGGATAATTCGAACTATTCGAATAATTCAAACTATTTTAATTTTATTTGTTTAATGCGTTTTTAGATTTTTTTTTATTTATTTATTCATTGACCCAAAAAGATATTACTGCTAAGAGCGCAACAATATATTGTTAAAAGCGTATACGCTTGCAGATTAGGGTTTTAAAATTTCCGGAAAAATTGAGCTGGTGGAAAAAAAATGGGAAATTTTCAGAAAAAGTGACTTTTTCATTTTTTAAATTTTATTCAAAGGGTAAAACGAAAAAATGCAAAAGTCAATTTTTCTGAAAATTTAAACAGAGAGTATATTTCACGTTTACGTTTATTTTCTGAAATTTAATTTAATGTTTAGTTTTTTTGTAATAAAGAATTTTTTTTATTTAAAATAATGTTAAGTTATTGATTGCTACTTTTTTCAAAAAAAAAAATAATTTTTCTCAAAAAAGAAAATTGTTCCAAGGCCTGCAAAAAAAACGGAAAAAAGTTTTTTTCTCAATTTTTCGGTTTTTTTCCGACACTTTAAAACCCCATTGCAGATGAAAATGAATTTTGAAAATTGGTCAAGGAAAAAACCTTGTTGGAATTTCTCAAAGAATTTGATTTTAACAGATTAACCCGGACATCCTGTATAGTGAAAAAACATTGGATAAAGCTTCTAGAAAACAAGGCTTTAATAATAAGTTACAGAAAATCGTAATATAAAAATGTACAATACAAAAAAACATCAGTAAATTACTAAATAGGGTTAAAATTGGCTTCTCTTCATAAAACTAAAAACAAAAAAATGATAGTTTACCTGCGATTTTTTTGTGCGCATCGGGGCTAGCGCTTTGAGTTAAGGCTGCCACCTTAAAGTATTCCGCTTGAGATATAAGGCCAGCTGCTTCCAAACTTCCTGGAGACATCATGGCATATTCTTCGCTTAAAAGTTCTATAATTAACGCCTCAATATCGAAGAAAAGTATGTGACTTTCAGCATCTAAAAATGAAAAATATATTTATCTAAAAAAAAGTATTTTGTTTTATGATTTGGTACCTTTAGGGTTTGTTCTTAACCCTTGAACGACTAGGGGAGAGTTATGATCCCTTCTCATGTGAGGATCGTCGTTATTTGTATGAGCCCCAAGTTGTTGGAGTTGATGGAGGCCTCTTTGGGTGGCGTGGCGAATTGCAGATAAGTTTCTGTGCCTTAAACCCCTAGAACAACAAAATTATTATAAATCGTTTCTGAACGTATTGGCGAATAATAGAAATTACCTAAAGAAATGTACTGCCGGATTGGCCAAACCGACCTCAGAAGAAACATTATTGGACTCTGTAGTCTCCTCGCAAGCATACAGCACTTCTTCGGCCGCTATGCCTTGTAGCACTCTATCCAAGTGTCCGGTCTCCATTTGCCATACGTACACGGTGCCGTCGGAACACCCGATTATCATGAAATCGTCCATGGGCCGCCATTTTATATTAGTCACGGGGAACAAATGTCTCGAAGCGAGGCACACGCATTTTCTTTCCGCTAGACTTAGTAGAGTGACGGAGTGGTCTGATGCGACCGAGCAAATGCATTTTTGGATTCTTGTCTGAAATAAATTGATTATTTCATCATTCTTTAAACCACTTTGAATTTCCAGTTAATGAATGGTTTACCAACATTGAGAACACGGCAATCATGTTAAAGAAGTCTTTGAGATTTTACCATGGATCATTTTTTTCTACCACAAAAATTGTTTACACTTACTATTGAAATTGGTGATACGGATTTTTTTGCCTATATCGATGTAACTACCAGCGCCGGATTATAAAAATTTGCGCCCCGGGTCTAATAAAAATTTTCCGCCCCTACCTATATAATAAATTCAAAGAAATGTCACTTCTTAACAAAAGGATTTTATTTAACCATAAACATTAGGGTTGTAGTATTTTTTCGAAATTTTTTTGATTTTGGATATCAAATTAAAAAAATAAGTCTAAAGTATTTGAGTTTCAACAGATAAAAAAATTTTAGACGTCGCTCAAAACTTTTTTAAACCAAACTTTTTTCTCAAAATCTTTGGCTTCTCACTATTTTTTTTGTAGGTCGTATAGGAACAGAATACATTTTTAAGTAAAAATATTATTGGTCGCTCAATATTTTTGAAATACATTTCTTGATTTTTTTAATAATTTTGATCTTGTAACCACTACTATTTTTCCAATTTAGTTGATTTTTTTGAGCGACGTTTATTTTTTTTTGAGTTGAAACTTGAATACTTTAAACTTAAATTGTTTCATGTGAGCTCCGAAATAAAAAAAATGTCGAAAAAATATTGCCACCCTAAAAACATAAACAAAAACTATATAAAAAACAAATACCTAAATAAGAAAATTAACATTTTGCCAACACAACTTTGCGTGCTTTTAGAGAAGCAAATTTGTTTATCGCAATATTGACGTCATCTTTCAATAGGCTAATACCTATACTGTATATATACATACATATATATATATATGACTGGTACTGTATATAACTATAGTTTTAAACTAATTTAAATTAATAGTTGTTCGTAGTGTAATAAAATATTCTTATATTAAAAAACCTTTACGCCCATACGCATCGCATCGGTGGAAATAATCAATTTCTGCAAACTAAAGTTCTTGTCGCCCAACAACTTGTCGGGCGCCCTACGTAATACGTGACATGACATATTTCGTATACTATGCATAGATAATAATACTATGGCAACAATCACGGTTATAATTTAAATAATTTTTTTATTAAAACTGATTAATACACGAAAAATAAAAAAGGGGAAAACCCTTTAGGTTGTAGTAAAAAACAAAAATTACCAGTCAAAAATTTTGCGCCCCCTGTAAGCTTGCGCCCCGGGTCTATAGACCCCCAAAGACCCCCCCTAAATCCGGCGCTGGTAACTACATATTTAGGCATATGGCGGAGTTTAAAATGAGAGAAATAATAATTTATTTCCCCTTAATGGCTTTTTAATAAATATTTGGTTTTATTAACATAAGAATTACTTTTATTTATATTTTAAGGTTAATGATTGTTTACTTGTGTGTCTCTCCCATACCTAACTCTTGTAGTTATTTTATTTTTAATTTTTATTTTAAATAATGGTTTTAATTTTACTATAGTTAACTACTAGAGTACTTGTTTAGTTTGGTTAAAAACTTGTTGATTTTATTGACCAACATATTCTTTAAGTATATAATTTAATCACGCTTGTAAATAAAAACAACTTAAAAAGTAGTAGTTAAGTAGTTAACTTAAAATTAACATGAAAACCATTTTTTTAAGTAAAAATTAAAAATAAAATAACTATAGTTACTTGTATATGTAAAATTAATAAAAATAATGTCTAAAATAATTTAGTTCTTTTATTAAAAAAAAATTATAAATGCGTTTTTACTTACTTTCGGCACGATTTTGTATTTCTAGGGAAATTTGGGTGCAAAATGACCTTCATTTTGGTCAATTTTTTTTACTGATCTTGTGTTTGGGCGCGCTGATTCCAAAAATACCCTTAATTTTTTCAATTAGCCTTTGTTTTCGAGATATTGTAAAAAATTGTTTTTTTTTCGATATGCAAACATTCATATTCATATAAATATTTTTTAAATCAAATACTTTAACCAAAAATCATTGGTCATGTAGCTACAAGTACTAATTTAACTAAAAAAAATAAATACAGATTTATAAAGTAATTCCTTTAACAAAATAAAATCTTTTTAGCAAAAATTCGATAATTTTCAAAGTTTAAAGTGCTGTTAAGCAAAAAATTTCCTATTTGGATCCTTATTTTGTATCAAGAAAAACCGTTAACGTGAATAGAAAGAGAACGTCGACGTTGACCAATAATTTTTTCAAATAATTTAATGATATAGTCGAGGCCAAATCTGTATGGGTCATCAATGCGATAATAACGTCAGCATTACCAGGTAAAAAATATCAATCATTTGCGTATTATTTACCAAGAACTGTAACCATTTCCCTGTTTTAAAACGTTTTTTACGTAATTATGAAAATAAAACCATTCACTTTAATTTAATAAAAAAATTCGTGTGTGCCAGTTGTTAACAGCTTAAGCGTAAGCATCGGTTGTTGCATATTATTATAAATAATTTTATACATTGTGTTCATCATATTCTCCCACTGGATTGTGCAAAGAATGTTACAAGGCTTGTTGGCAACGCCAATAATAGTAATAAAGGGTGTATCAATAAGAGCGCAAGATTTCAAAGTTTAGTAAAACATGGTTTTAAGTATTAAAGCATTGAAATATTTATTGATTTATAAAGTACACATTTGGAAATTATGTATAAAATAACACATCTGGTAAATGGCCACCACGGCTTAACTGGCACAAGCGTACTCTTTTGGCAAAATTTGCAATAACATTATTGAATACATGTGGCGGTATTTCGTTGATAGAGCGTCTAATTTCTGCTTTTAAGGCTTCGATGGTGGCGGGCTTGTTGGCATAAACTTGTGACTTCAAATAACCCCACAGCCAAAAGTCCAAGGGTGTTAAATAGTGGTGAAAATGGGCCTCATCACTGAAAATGATTTTGTCCGCAAAATCGGCATTCACTTCTTGCTGCTCAAGGATCCAATTGGTGAACTCTCTTCGTTGTTCATGGTCTTTTGGCTGGAGTTGTTGAGTCAATTGGACTTTGTAGGCATGCAGATGCAAATCTTAAGTAAGAATTCGCTGAAGAGTGGCATTTGTAATGTCCAATTCTTGTGCACGATGTCAAATCAACGTCTCTGGACTCTCGGCCACACTCTCGCGAACTGCTGCGATATTTTGTTCTGAACGACCTCTACGAGCTCGTGTCGTGTGTTTCACATCACTAACAGAAGCAGTGCTTTTGAATTTTTCGATTATTCTTTTCACAGTAGATGAATTAGAAACATTATTTCAAAAAAATATTGGACGCCCTTTACAAATCGTGGCAATCAAACTTTCATCATTTTGATAATAGTGTTTAAAAATCAGGAAGGGTTGTTCTATCATGTAATGCTCCATATTTACTAACTCCCATCTGTCTCCTATCAATCTGTCATGTCATTAATCATGTGACATCATGGTTGCCAAACTGAGGCGAAATTCAAATCTTGCGCTCTTATTGATACACCCTTTATTATCAAAGAAAATAGAGAAATATCTGGACATGCGTTTTTATTAAACTTGATATTGAAGAATATGGATGATAGATGCTTTCAGTCCTTGATAACATTTAGGGCTGTGTTTTAAATTAAACTTATAGTCACTGTCCAGAAAATGCTTAGACCAAACAGAAGCAGTCTTAACGTTAATATTGTCTATTATTTTTGTGGTATATAACCACTGTTTGCATAAATCAAAGTTTTTCGGGAATCGATTAAATTTAATGTTTTTATTTAGGGGTTTAAGGGTTTTTCTTGGACTGGTTGTCCGAATTGCATCCTAATATGCCACACAGCACTTTAATAAATGCAAATGGCACGACACAAACTAAAACACAAACAAAACAAGTTAACGCAACACAAAAACAATAATAAACAAACAGAACAGGTTAACACAACGCAATAACAATGATATGAACAATAATTTGAACCTTACCGAACGCAAAAACAACAAGTTAAACAAAAAAACAGAGCAAGTTAACATCCAACAGCATCGCAAAAACAAGAATTTTAGCAGCAGATAATTAAAACGCACGTTACAGATTTAAAGATACTCAACAAGTGACGTATTTAAGCCCCGCCCAACATGTGCACCATCATACCTTAAGATTTTTTAACGAATTTTCGTTATTTTGTAGTTTTTTATCCTATATTTTTAGTTTAATTACTTATAGCAATTAAAAATAGGTTTCGAAGTGATGTAATTTTAGTTTTTTTTATATTTTGTTAAAAGTATGTACGCATTATAATCAATAAAGGATACCCAAAATTAAATAACATACGCGTTTTTTTATTTTGATTTCGCAGAATCGCCGTTTTCATTTGGGGTTTGGTAAACCCCACCTCACCATTTATGTAACAAAAAAGTGACCCCACCAGTTACGGGTTAAACAAACAAGCCTTATAGGACGAAAAACAAAAAATTCTACGTTAAAAACTTACGCTACAGTTGTTGGGTGGCACAAGTAGCTGCGTGATTTCGCCTGCGTGGACGCAAAATCTGTGCAGCAAAGTTCCAGCATACAAATCCCACAGACAGACTGCAAAATCAACTCCACCGGATACCAAGTGGTTTTTGTCGTAGCGCGAATGCTCTCTGTGAGGGTACAGAAGACAATTGACTCTGCCTCCATGGCCGGAGAGGACCTGATGTGCCGGCCAACCTGGAGAAATACAGTTTGGAATTGGGTGGTTTATTTTTTTAAAATAATGGTTTACAATGTAAGATGTAAATGTGCATTTTTCATTATTTGATGTTTTAAAGTCATATTTTTGATGGATTTTGAAGAGATTTTTTTATTTTTTTGTAAGAAAACACTTTTAGTTAAATGAAAAACAAATAATGATTTTACACCTTTAATTAATAATTTACCGTTAAAAGTGATTACGTTACATTTTAAGTATCTAAATAATCCAGAGCAAACTACTATCACCCAACGCCGGTGAAGGGTCTACCGCTGAATTACGAAAACCATCTCTTAAATATTATTATCCCGGTCTTAAAAACCGAATGCACGTGAAATGGTAAAGTACGGTATGTAGTTTAAATTGTTTAAACTTGACGGCTTTTAGTGTTAAATCTTGGCTATTTAATGTGAAACAAGCAAAATTGTTAGTTTTAATTGTTTACATTTTTAAAGTGGTATTTGGTTGATGGTTTACAGTGAAAATTATTAAAATTTGACAGCTTTCAGGATTAAATTGTTAACGTTAAAGTATTTTATATGATTTGGTGAAAAAGTCTTTGGTGTTAAATTGCCGAATAAAAAAGTAATAATACAATTCGACTTTTACTGTATTAACTGTATTATTAACTTTAAACTTTATGTTATATGAAAATTTTTGATTAAATAATTGTTTTTACCATTAAATTGTTGATGATTGCCATGTAAGAGGTGGAGCATTACAGTTTGTGTGGCTGGAACCAAGATGATGGTACCATCTTCTCTGCCTACAACCAGACGGCTTTGGTTTGGTAGATATATGCTTGCTGTTAACTTTATAGCTGAAAAATAACAACCATAATCAACTATTTTATTCAAAACACAATGTTTTACATACACTGTCCCAATTGCTTCTCCATCTGATCCAGAATTCCCACAGGACTCGGGTTCATTTCCGCCCAAGCCTGCGTCAAACTGGTCGCCAAAGTGGCGGGCATCGTAACCGGCTGCGGAGGATTTTTATGTTGAATGTCTTGCAGCTGCGCAGCCGAAATATCCGGTATGCTCCATACCAAAACGTAACCTTCGGAATCTCCCCTCAAAAGATAACGGTTTCCTTTGGAGGTCGTGAGAAAACGCATTGCGGGGGGACATGACAACGGCTAAAAAAGTTTTGGAACTTTTGGTTGTTTTTATAATTTCGCAGGCCGGCAAAATCCAATTTTCTGTTTGCTGCAGCCAATTTAGGGTAATTTTGGTACCCTGAACCGAAAAATGACCACCATTTTGGTCAATCAGCTCTTTTATTTTGCGAAAAACCCGTTTTATTGATAAGATAAATTCAAATACAAAAAAAAGTATATACAAAAGTGCACTTTTTTAAGAAGTCCCAGAAACTGAATGGGTTGTGCGGGTTAGGGGTAGGAACGGAATTCGGGTTTAAAGTCCCCTCCGAAGTACTAATACACAATAGGGTATTTCCATTGTAACTGCGTTTTTTCATGATAATTAAGACAATTCACTAACATGAGTCGTTAACGTTAACCACTAGAATCAGTGGTTATCGGGCAATCCGGTCAATCGGGCTGTTTAAATATAACGATAACCACTGATTCTAGTGGCTAACTTTAACAACTTATGTTAGTGAATTAGCCTGAATAAAGTGTTTGTTCATAATATTATATATCAAGATACGTTAATATAAAAAAATTGTATAAAAAATTAGGTATTTAACTTAAACAAAATGTCAATAAAAACTTGTATAGAAAACCTTTTATAACGTCATGAATAGCGTAACGGGCGCAACCTTAGAAAATCGACAAATGCGACCAAGTTGGCTTCTAAAGTTGATACTGTAAAATTTTGGATGAAAGCATATAGTAACGGGTGCGACATTTGAACATTTTATCGAGTATTGAAACTCTTCCGTGTTTATTCTTGTTAGCTTCTTAGCATCACAATGTACGAATATTTGAAGGTTATAAATTACGTCGCAATTAAACTATTTGACTTCAGATATAGTTATCTCTCTAATAAATCAGTTAGGTAAATCACCCTGTATACATGAATATGAATTTTTCATATTTTTATGCGCTTGTACGTACAATTCTGGAGCTATTGAATTTTGAAAACTTTTCCTATCTATAATAATTATTGTTTTAGAGATTTAATTTTTTTAAACAAAATTTACAGATGAAGTGACTAACTAAAATGTCTGTATTACCAACAATTATAATATTAAATAGTTTATTATTTGTATACACGTTAACAAAAAAGATGTAATCAGGAGCCATTAATAGTAATAGAATTCCAAAATTTTAAACAGGATACTTTTTTGCCACTTTAAATGCCAATAACTTTCTTATTTTAAAGACCATACAATTTTCCCACCATTTGACACGGAATTGATTTGTTCTAGCTACAACAAATCAATGCCAGCATACTTTTAAGCTGAAATGAATATGTACAGAGATATTACGAAAAATGTGAAAAACGCTCATTCGAATCGAACACGGGAGACATGATGTACAATTACATAAGTTTTGTTTTATTTTTCAATATCATTTTTTTATTGTTTATTTTTGTAATGTAGAAAAATATCCAAAAATAGAATAAAGATATATTTTGTTATATTATATTTCCACACTGAAAAAAATACTTTTTGTAATATTGCGAAAACAAGAGCTGATTGAGCAAAATAATATTCATTTTTGGATTCAGCGTGCTAAAATTACCCTGCTTATTATACGGTATTTTTTACCTTGTTGTCTGGTTGACTAAGAAGACAATAAAGAAACGGTAAATCGCTGGCAACACTGGGAGTATGGAATTCTCTATTATCAGGAACACTACTGTAAATTTCAAATATATTATAAAAATTGTTGTAAATTTATTATAAATAACCACTGAAATATAAACACAATAACTGAATATTTATATGTTTATAAATACCATTACATTAACCCAATGTTTCACAATAAATACTAAATAAAAAATATATAATTATATAATTCAGTGGTTAAACACATATGGAAAGGCAAAATTTACATTACATTTACTATACACACAAGAAGAGATTTTTTTACAGAGTAAGGTAGGTATTGTTGAAGAAATGGGTGATGTCAATGTATAAAACAAAAAAACATGCCAAATCAAAAGCCCTGGATTTAAAAAAGCAGTGCAGTGCTTTGCAAATATCCCAACATATTTAATAGTTTTATTGGAAAAAGTTGTTAATTTTGGTCTACAGTGCCTGTATATTATTATTGTATTTTGTGAAAGACATGACTGTCTATTTTTTCTAGGGAAATACAGAATAGTTGAAAAATTGTTAACAAACGTGAAAACAGCACGAAAAAATGGCTGTCCTTATTTGTTGTCGAAATGTGTATTTGACCAAAAAAATTACTCTACTAAATCAATTTTTTAAATTTTAGCCAAGTTACATGAAATTTTGAATAACTTTTTAAACAAAACCTTGTTATACTTGAATTGAAAAATCAATTTTGATGGAACTTTGGCATATGAAAGATAATGAAATTAACTTTGGAAAATTGATGTAAATGTTATGTAATATTTAAGGTCAAATAGAACAGTTTTTTCATTCATTTTAACAAAAAAATTGATTTATATTGGAGCTAGTAAAGTCAACTTACAAGTTCCTTCCACAAAAAAATTAATTAAAAATATACAGAGACTAAAATAAAAATATGTTGAGTTTAATAAAAAAGCGTCAAATCATGAATTTTAATAATTAAATTCACAATTCTGTTAAGCCAAAGCATAATAAAAAATGAAATGATTTTCTAACCTATTATTAATACTCTTGCCACGAAGTTTGCTGTAGTCCATTGAAAAAACAAAAAAATTAAAATTAAAAACATTAATATGTAGTTGTTTTGGCTAATGATGGTGCAGTATAAAAACACAACAAAAAATAATAAAAAATTGTCCTGGTAAAAATTAAAAAATATTCTTTTTGTAAAACGTCCTTCACCAAGTTTAGTGAAATTAAGACTAACGCACCAAATGGTTAGTAATTTAATTGTAAAATTAGTTAAAACAACATTTTTATACATATACAGGATGTTCAACTTAAACTAAATTTTTTGTTTGACATATTATGGTCCACGTCAAATTTTCTGTCAAAAATTTGCGTGGACTATTTCTTTTAAATAAGTATTTTTTTATTTCAAAATTATATTAACAATTTCGAGTTGAAAAATTGAATAGCTAAAAAAATCCAACATAATACAAATTATATATAATAATAATGTTTTTTGGCAAAACTTCAAAATTATATCTTGTTCATAATAAATTATATTAATACAAATAATTAGGGACCCAGTGCATAAACCAGGTATCTCTAAACAAAAATGTCTCAAGAGGTAAGAAAAATTAATGAATTAATATAATGGTTTGATTAATGGATAATTTATATTATGCACCTATTTGAAATGAGATTTTACCAACAAACTGAATTGTATTTTATTTACAAAAAGTTGTAAGAAAAAATTGATTTTTCTGGTTCTAAAATTACAAAAAATCTTAACCCAGAAATATTAAATATACTGAAAATTTTAATTTAAAATAAAAAAATACTCTTTCATGCCACAAACAAAAAATATGCAAATTTAAAGTTGGGAATTTTAAACATTTATCTTATGTCAGTATTCTCTATATTAAAGTTAGAACATATATGTAAGTAAATTAAAGATATATATTTTTTTAGTCTCTTACTTTGCTGGTAACTTATAAAGGTAACCCTTTCCTGCGTCGGACCACATTAAAATCCTGTCAACTGACAAAAAGTCACCTGACATCCATCTTTCGCCTCTTGGGGCTAAATAGGAACACAATACACTAAAATCACCTAAAAACAAAAAAAAAGGTCGTCTTGTAGCATATTTTCATTTTTATTGTTTATTTTCTTACCTGCATCATATATTTGCCAATATTTAGTGGTAACTACAAGTACAGTTCTTTGGTTATAGGCGCAACACTGCATGCAAACGGAGTTTAGCGTGCGAATTTGCTTGCTTTCGTTCTCGTAAATGGGCTCGGAATGTTTGTTCTCGTGACCGAGCAGAGTCCACACTTTAACCATGCCCGTGGTGGTCAGGGCCAGAACCACATCGTCCTTGCGTTTGGCAGGCCTGAGAACCTAAAAAAAAAAAACAAAAAACATATTGTTGGTTGTTTCTTATAGGTTTGGTTGGTATTACGTGTAAGGCGCTAATCCAGTCGGGATTTTGTTTTGACGATAGGGTGAAGAGGATTTCCAGGCTAAATGGGTCCATTACTATTATTTCCGGGTAGTAGCCATTGCAGAATAGGCGGACGTCCTCGCAATTGCACATGTGATATGCCTTAAAAACAAAAAATGAGCATACAAATATTATTTTTATTATTGTTATTATTTTTATTAATTATTATTTGGTTACATAAGAAATATTAAAAAAATCATCTAAAATTTTTTTTAAAATAATAGAAAATAGTACCCAATGAAAAATTAAATAAATTCCTAAAACCAATAGAAGAGTAACAACTATTAATTTTACCAATTCCCCCAGAAAAAACACACATAGCTAAATCCGGCCGATCCGGCCCATCGCGCCTGCCATCCGGCCGGAATTTTCAAACCTTAAAATAAGTTTAAAAAAAAATAAAAATATTTTAAACCTCATTAACTTAAAATTCGTTAAATCATAACATAAAGAATAATAACATAAACAATTTCGTAAACAATATTAAAAAAGAACCGACGCATTTCATAAAGTAAACATAGAAATCTTATAATCATTATATCAGCCTAACTACATACGTTTTATTTATCGCTGTGGCTCCCGTCCCGAGGCGGGACTTAAGTTCAGTCCCGAGTGACATCATAATTTTAAGGAACAACACATTTATAAAATAAAAAAATAAAAAAAGTTCGACAACTTCTAGTGGTATCGAACCCGATACCTCTCGCATGCCAAGCGACCGCCCTACCATCTGAGCCATCCAGCTTAACATTAATTTTAAACGCTCGGGGAATAAAAACGGATTTACAGTGTGTGACGTCAGTCCCGCCTCGGGACGGGAGCCACATCGTTTATTTATTATAAAATACATGCATATGTGCATAATCTGTCACATTTGTAAAAAAAATCAATAAAAATGATGTGCATGATGTATGCTAGTATACATAGTGTTTCTTAAGTAAATAGAGAAAATTCAAGGGCCTGTTTCACTATAAAAAATATGAAAAATTTCATTGGTCGAAAAATCCTTTCTAAAAAAGTTATAGCACCTAAAAAGTATCACTAAAATGCGGTTTTTATTTAATATTTTGGGAACCCTTTACCTTATTAGTTAAAATTTACCAAGCTTTTTAACAGTATTAGGGTCTAGTTTCAGATACCCTTGATTGAAAAAAAAATTAATCATAGGCGTACAATTACGGTGGTTACTTCACTATTTTCTTTCCAAGCATTTTTGTGTTTAAATTTTTATTTGACTTTTTCCAATCAATTCTAATTTATTTTTATTTAGTTATAAACTGCTCGTCATAAAAAACGACGCACCTAGTTTTTTGGAAAATATTTGAAAGCTCGTTATTGGAAAATTACTGAATCGATTTTGAAAATCTTTGAAAATTCTGAATAGCTGATTCTTTGACTCTTATATCTAATTTTGGTAATAAGATATTTTGCACATAGCATTATACTACAGGGTGTTAAACGAAGAGATGCATTTTTTTCGAAATTTCAAGTTATTCCCATTCATAAGGCAGTTGACTTTGATAGTCGTTATACCCCTCCCTGATATAAGTTGGGTAATCCCTCGGAACGTTTTCGAGATTTTGTGGATATCTTGGCTAACTACGATTATATGCCAATTTTTTGAAAATTGACCTTATTCCCCAGTTTAGTCCAAAAAATGAGCAATAGTGGATTCTTTGACTTACGTCTAATTTTGGGAATACGATATTGTGTACATGACATTATACTACAGGGTGTTAAAAAAAGAGATGTTTTTTTCAAAAATTTCAAATACACATTCACAGGGCAGTTGAGCTTGATAGTCGTAATACCCCTCCTTAATAACAGTTAGGTAATCCCTCGGGACGTTTTCGAGATTTTGTGGATATCTTGGCTAACTACGATTATATGGCAATTTTTTGAAAATTGTCGTTATTCTCCATTTTAGTCTAAATTGTGAAAGTTTGAGTCGATAATATTAATATTAAGAGGTCTATCATCGCAATTTTAATTTTTTTTTCCTCAGCAAGTTTTTGTCTCAGAACTCCCAAACCATGGAGTTTAACAAAATTGACTCGAAAATATTTTTTATGAAAATTAAATGCTCTACAAAAAAAGTTAAAGTGTAAAGTGTAAAGATTTTCCGTCAGATGAACCGTTTCCTTAAAATCATGCCTTAAAAATTGGTATAGTTTTACATTTTGATCTTTTAATTGGAATTTTGTAATTCATGTAAAAATCAGTACCCATAAAAAACCGATAAATATTCTTATGGGAAATCAAATGCTTTACAAAAAAAGCCTCTCAACATTTTTGGCTAAATTCCCACAATCAAAAGTTATTCAAGGTTAAAATTTCGTTTTGACTTCAAATTTAACCTTGAATAACTTTTGATGGAGTGAATTTAGCCAAAAATAATAAAAGACTTTTTTTGTAGAGCATTTGACTTCCCATAAGAATATTTATCGTTTTTTTTTCAGGGTACTGATTTATACATGAATTACAAAATTCCAAAGTTAAAACATCAAATTGTACAACCATACCAATTTTTAAGGCATGATTGTAAGAAAACGGTTCATCTGACGGGAAATTCCAATCAAACCTTTTTTGTAGAGCATTCAATTTTCTTCAAAAAATATTCTTAAATCAATTTTGTTAAACTCAATGATTTGGGAGTTTTGAGACAAAAACTCGCGCAGGAAAAAAAAATCTAAAATTGCGATAATAGACCTCTTAATAATAATATTATGGACTCAAACTTTCCCCATAATTTTTTTTTGCCACCCCAAACAATATTTTCGATATACTTTACAAAAAAAAAATAGTCGATTTTTTTGACCCAGTCTAGTGGTACACACGCTCATAATTTTAGTTCAAATACCATAATTAAAGTACGGTTGGTAACACTGAATGAGTTGAAAAGCCTGCAGTTTTTCCAGTTTTATATATATTTTGGTATATATCAATCTGCAAAATGTTTGTAAATTTTAAGTTTTATTCTTTAATTACATAGAACTTGTAAAATAACGTTCATCTTCTTAAATACTTTTTTTAGGTCCCAATCTGGCCGGATCTGCCAAATACCCGATCCGGTACTGATTGACTTAATAGCATGTGTGTTGTACACGTGCTCTAAGCGTGAAGTTGTTGTGTTCTAGGGAATTCGTATTAGACAGGTCATAGAATAGATGTCCAAAGTCCAAAGTGAAACAGTTTGCCATGTAACCAAGGAGAATATTCAGACTAATACATGAATCAATATGGTGTGTGTAAATTTCTATATCATAACAACATAAACAGAGACACTGATTAACCATTACCTATTATATGGAAATAAGATCTGAAAGAACTCATCACAAAACCAGTAATACAAAATAACTTAAAATTACTGAATAAGCACGACTAGCATAAATAACTATGCTTAACTTAAAATTTGGTTACAGAAGAAGACAAGTAGCAAGAGACAAAATGTCAGATACTAAGAATCCTCAAACACAGTTTAAACCCAAAAATGCAGTTTTCTTTATTAATTGTGGCAGTGAAAGCCTGAGATATAAAATAAAATAAGTTTAAAGTAGAAATAAAAAATATCTCAAAAAAATTAAAACAAAATGTTAAATCATTAAACTTTTAAAAAATAATTAAACCTAATTTAGAAAAACAATACTACTGGAAATAACAAAAGAATAATACATAAATAACTTAAATATGCATCATAAACACCATAAAATAATAAATAAAATAACTGAAAAAAGCATATTATCACTTAAACATTATTAATGTTTGCCTTATGGTAAATTTTAATCATACCTGACCTTGAAACTAAATGCCCCATAAGATTTAATATAATACAATAAAAACCAGAACTATTTCAAATTTTTTATCTTATACATAAATAAATTTATACACAAATCCACACAAACCAACAAAACAAAAGTAAACAAATCATAAAAACCCATTTAGAACCTTGAAATTAAAGATAAATTAAAAATTAATTGAAATAAAATAAATACCTGCATATTTGTGTGAACTTGCTGTAACTTAATAGCCTCCCTACACTTTCCATCCACCAAATCCCATGTACACATCTCCCCAGCCTCTGAACTAGACACAATATAATTATTATCCTGAATTTTGCTGGCCTTCGATATACACAAAATAGGTGCAGTATGACCCACTAAGAGACATCGTGGGGTCATGTGTAGAGTATTTGGATCCACTTGCCTAAAATTTTACATTTATATAGAGTTGTTGGTTTGTATTGTTAAATGGGTTACCATAGGCATATTTGTCCATCATAACACCCAGTTGCCAAAGTCCTTTGATCTTGCGAGAGATAAATGCATGATATGCAGTGTGTGGGAGCATATTTGCCCCACAACACCACTGGTACTACCAAGCTAGTACCTGGCATATTTTAGTGATCCTGAAACACGACAAAGTTGGACCTTATTGTTAAGTACCTACTACTTGATTGCTGCAACTAAATTAGTACCTGTATTATAAGTTAAACACTGGGTATGTGCACATACCCAGTTTTTGTTTCAAAAAATTTTGATAATTTTGCCAATCATATTGGACATTTTAACAACAACAAAATACTAATTTAGTTTTGACCATACATTTGGTATACTAGTTTGATTTTGCACAATCAATTAAACTTAATTAATGTCAATTAAAGTTTGCACCAAACCGCATCATATGACTCTAAACATATCACTAATTAACTACGACGCTGTAACTGGTAATTCTTCAAAACTAATTATGCCCAATTTTACAAAAACAATCTTCCATTAGCAAATAATTGCAGTCATTTGTTTACTATTTACCACAAAACACTTGCAAAATTCAATTACTAGATTGATCCCCACTTACGATTTTCCGTACCTTTTTTCCTAGGTCTCTCACGGGACGGTATTATTATTCTACAATAAATATTTTCGACTATTGGATTTTGGTATCGCCATATTCACTAGCAATCAGCTGTTTGACACAGTTTTGACATAAGATGACATTTGTGTCACCCAAATCTCAACACACCCAAATTTGGCCTATTTATGAACAAACCAAAGTCAAGGTCTATAATGGTAGTAAAATGTATTCGACTTTTCAAAGAATTAACCTAAATTAATCATAATTTAAGGATATTAATTGATTTATTGATAAAAATAACTTGTCGGTAACAAAGTTTTCTGTTCGAAGGTCAGCATCTGTCAAAATCTAAAAAAGTGTTGATCCAAAAAATATTTGAGATTTTTAATAAAATACAAACAAACCTTTAATATTTTTGTTGTCATAGCAACATTATTATTTTATAAATGGTGCCTTTTTGACATGCCTTAAAAAACAAAATTTAGTACCTTTTATAAATCTTTTTAGTTTTTTAAAATTTTAACAACTGAAGTGTTGTTCTTGGAACTTGAAACAACATAACCTCAATTGATATGTTTCAGATTACCGATGAAATGCTCTAAAAACATAATAAATATAGGATATATTAATAACTAAGTTAAAATAAAGAAGTACAATGACTTCCATAATAAAATTAACTGCCGTTTCGGGGGCCATGGACGAATCGCCCCCATGTTACATTCTACAAGTAGATGATGTTAGAATTTTGTTAGATTGTGGATGGGATGAAAAGTTCGATATGGAGTTTATTAAGGAAGTAAAAAGGTACAAAATAAAACCTATATTTGTCTTAAAATTATAAGTATAACAAAAATATTTAAGGCATATTCATACAATCGATGCAGTGCTTATTTCCTACCCTGATGTATTTCATTTGGGCGCCTTACCTTATTTGGTTGGTAAATTGGGTTTAAATTGTCCCATATATTCCACAATTCCTGTGTATAAGATGGGGCAAATGTTTATGTATGATTTGTATCAGTCTCATTACAATATGAAGGAGTTTGATATTTTTTCCCTTGACGATGTTGATGCCACATTTGAAAAGATTATACAGCTGAAATATAATCAGAGTGTACCACTTAAAGGTTTGTATTGGCTTTTTTGTATGTAAATAGTTGAATATGGAAGTCAGACTTCATAAAATCACCATAAAAAGAATGGGTTTCCTTATTTTTGTCAAATTGTTAAAAAACTGTTGTATTTGACCCCCAAAATTACTTCTGAAAATATTTTTTTTTATAAAATTGACATAACAAGGGTAATGAAATTGACCATAGAAAAATAATTGACTAAAATTTACAAAAAATAAAGAATTTTTTCACAATAGTTACTTTAATTAACTTCATCTTAGGTTCTTTTAAAAATTTCAAATAAATGCATTGTTTTTGGAAACCAAAATTATTATGACCTTTTTATAATTGATCCAGAAATGATTAAATAAAATATATTTTTTAATATTAAGAGAATTTTTGCTTTAAAAAGTAAGTTATAAATGATATTTATTTATTTACAAAAAAAACATTTTTTAGTGTTTAACCCTTGATTATTTGTTTGATTGATTTTCAGTCTTTGCAGTATTATTATTATTTCTTACAAGTAAAATCTATCAACACTTTTGAATCCATTGAATAATGAATTTGATAGTTAAAAACCTCGTTAAAAACTAAAGAATGTTTTTTGTTGTAATTTTAAATGTAAAGTTGTGATTCACATAATAACTAATTTAAAACTTATTTTTGAAACCAGAAATGTAAAAATAACATTTTTTTAATTGAAAAGTTATTTAACTGGCCCAGCAAAGAAAAAGGCCCAGTAGGATAAATTTAAAAACGGTAGAAAAAATTCGCAGTGTCATAATTTTAAAAAATAGTAGTCAAATTTACAAATTTAATTTAAAAATTGTTAGGACCAGTATGTACAGGGTGATCCCCTATAATGTCGCCCCCCTTTAACTTTTTTATTTTAAGTGTCCCAAAAAATTTAAAAGTGTGGTTATGTAGGAACTAAAAAATACTTTTTTTCTACGTTTAAAGAAAATTGGAAAATTGATCAGTATACAGGGAAAAACAAAAAGTTTATTTTTTTTCAATGGATCACCCTATATATGTATTTATTTTTCGATTCCTTGTAAAATTCTGAGCATAATTCATATAACATACCATATACCTAAATTCAACCGTTTATGAAATATTTAAATTATTTTTAAGATAATAAGTTGAAATAGTTTGTCTTTCTCTGTCTGAGTAGGCCATTTTTACTTATTTAACAAGACATATTGACATAATATCACTATAATAATTTATGTTCAATAAAAATTTTGGTATACTGATGCTTCTTGATTTCCAACAGTTTAAAAAACCATTTAATGATAACATTTCGAATGCGAATATTTCAAAAACAGTTGAATTTAGGATATGGTTTGTTATATGAATTATGCTCAGAATTTTACAAGGAATCGAAAAATAAATTCATATATAGGGTGATCCATTGAAAAAAAATATACTTTTTGTTTTACCCTGTATATTGATCAATTTTCCAATTTTCTTTAAACGTAGAAAAAAAATATTTTTTAGTTCCTACATAACCACACTTTTAAATTTTTTGGGGCACTTAAAATAAAAAAGTTAAAGGGGGGCGACATTATAGGGGATCACCCTGTACAGAGGCATAAATTAATAAAATGGTAGGAATAAAATTTCTGATACCGTAAACACGGGTGACTTTGCACCCCGCGGGTGACTTTAGCCCTTTTATAAAAAATTTTTTCGCGCTCGATAAAATTAACATTTATAATTTGTTGGTCTAAACCTGTCAATTGAGTTTATATTACAGGAAAATCAGTGTTTTAAAAAAATAAATGGGATTTATTACACTTTAAAGTTGTATATATTGCATTAGTGCAAAACTCTTAAAAATACACGCGTTTCAATTTCTATATTATGCGCAATTCTTTGGAATGATGATCCTTGGTTAACTACAGGTCGATTTTTTATTGTTTTTATCGGTAATCCCTTGCAATTGCTATATGTCGCTGCTAACATATCGTCACCTGAGAATTATAGTGTTCTATCTGCATTTTCTTTTTTTTGTTCAGGTTATTCTTGTTTTAAGTCTTAAAGATGATATTGATCTATCCATATATAATTGGGGTAGAAATTGTAAAGTTTAAGGCTTAAACTGTGAGACAAAGTATCCCGCAACCAGGGGGTAACTTTGCACACCCAGTTTTTAATTTTTATTTTTGAAACTCAGCCCTATGTAAGATTATAACATAGTTATTTCGAAAGAGCAACTCAAGACTCAAATTTTGGTATACAATATTTAATGTTTAATAAACATTGTTTATGATTGTTAAAACTACAAAAATGTTAAGATTAAGTTTGAAAGTGAGCTAAAGCCACCCGTGTTGACAGTATTTTAAGTTTTTTTTTAATTTCCAAAATTTTCGAAATATTTTAAAATTTTCAAAACTTAAATTTGTTTAAATGTTTAATGAAACCTCTATTAATTGTATTTAATATCTTTCTTTGAGCCTTTTTTTTCCTACCTCCAAACAGTTTAATATAAAAACTTCATAAATTTCGACAAAAAATAAGAATGTGCCGATTCTGACATGTAAAAAATTTAAGACAATAAAACAAAATGATTTATCCATGCTGTGTTTTAGGTAAAGGATATGGTTTAACTATAACACCATTACCGGCAGGTCATATGATTGGTGGTACTATTTGGAAAATAATGAAAGTTGGTGAAGAAGACATAATTTACGCCAACGATTTTAATCACAAGAAGGAAAGGCATTTAAATGGTTGTGAATTGGAGAAATTGCAAAGGCCTTCATTGCTTATTACTGATGCCTATAATGCTTCCTATCAACAAGCTAGAAGAAGGGCAAGGGATGAAAAACTTATGAGTACATATTTCATTTATCGCATTTTTGATTATACTAAAATTTAAAATATTTTTAGCCAATATTCTTCAAACTCTACGCAATAATGGAAATGTTCTTATAGCTGTAGATACAGCTGGTAGAGTATTAGAATTGGCTCACATGTTGGACCAATTGTGGAGAAATAAGGAATCTGGACTTCTAGCTTATTCTTTGGCTTTGTGTAATAATGTTAGCTATAATGTTGTTGAATTTGCCAAGTCGCAAATTGAATGGATGAGTGACAAACTTATGAGGAATTTTGAAGGTAATAATAAAATAATTATTTGTTGAAAATGGAAGTCTAATTATATTTTTTAGGGGCTAGAAATAATCCATTTCAATTTAAACATTTGCAATTATGCCACAGTTTGCATGAGTTGGCTAAAGTGTCAAGTCCAAAAGTGGTTTTGGCCAGTTCAGCTGACATGGAAAGTGGTTATTCCAGGGAATTATTTTTACAGTGGTGTTCCAATCCCAATAATAGTTTAATAATTACTTCAAGGTATAAAATTTATATTTAATATATATGTTATGGCTAATGTGCAAACTTGGATAGTTTATAAACTAGCCAAACTGTCAGCTATTTTAATTGAAAACATATTTTCAACTAAATTAGCGGCTAGTTTACAAAATAACCAAGGATCTTGGCTAATTTACTTGAAATTATTAGGGAAACTAAAATAGCTGGATAGTTTGTATACTATCCAATTCAGTTTGGCTAATATGAAAACCAAAATTTCTAGTAACACAACATAGCTAAGCTTTAGCTAGTTTGTAAAGTAACCAACCAATTCTCTGGCTAATTTATTAAAAAAGTGAGGTTACCGCATTGTTTTTCGTTTTGCTGGCTTAACCGGATTTGCTTTGTGCATTTTAACGTTTTTAAAATGAATCATAGGCAAAATTTTAACGCTTGGCTATTTTGTGTTACTAGAAATTTTGGTTTTCATATTAGCCAAATTGAATTGGATAGTATACTATAGTATACTATATATACAAACTATCCAGCTATTTTAGTTTCCCTAATAATTTCAAGTAAATTAGCCAAGATCCTTGGTTATTTTGTAAACTAGCCGCTAATTTAGTTAAAAATACATTTTCAATTAAAATATCTGACAGTTTGGCTAGTTTATAAACTATCCAGCTAGTTTATAAACTATCCAAGTTTGCACATTAGCCGTAACATGAAACATTTTTCTGGATACTATTATTTTGTATTTTCTTAGGACTTCTCCTGGAACTTTGGCAAGGGAACTAGTTGATAATGGAGGAAATAGGGAAATTGAAATGAATGTGGAAAAAAGAGTTAAGTTGGAAGGGGCTGAGTTGGAAGAATATGAAAAAAAGATGAAGGAGTTAAGGAATGTTAAAAAAGAAAGGTAAATAACAATACAATTAATTAATACACATAAAGGGTTTACAAAAAAATAAAATTTTGTTTTAAGGTTTACCTTGGTTCATTTTAACTAGGTTATCAAATCAAATTCTTTATGATAAAAATTTCCCCTTAGAGTTTTAGATCAACTACACTTTTTTACTTACACTAATACATAATATATTTTTTCTACTGCCACCTTTAAAACGCCCTTTATTGTACATGTTTCCATGACACTAAGTGACCTTTTAAAGACACATTGACAAGTTGTGGCTTTATGGCGCTTTAGTGACGGGCTGAAGTTAGCAACAGGTTGTTAGTCACGGGCTGAAGTTAGTTTTAAGTTAGTTGATAGTTGTCAAATGTCATACAATCGTTAAAATAAAGTGCCTTTCTTGTAAAATAATACTAAATGTGAAAATTATTTTACTATCTCAATACAAAAATACAAAAGTATTAAATAGTTTCTCAACACCAATATTTGAAAAGTTTATATGAACATTGTACTGACCTTTTAATTTCGCCGGCAGTAAACTATAACTTAAATTCGGGCACGGACTCCACTGTAAAGTGCTCATAAAACATTTTCTTTACTTTCACTGTGAAAAACTGTCAATTTTCAAGAAATACATTTCGATTTATAACCTTTATAATCTGTGTTTATAAAATAATAAAAATGTGACATTTGACGGTGACACACAGATTCCCCTATTGTTTCATAGATGGCGCTCTACACAAATTTTTGATTTAAATCATTTTAAGATAATAAGTATTTTTCGTAGAAAAAGTATAGTATGCACCTCGTTTATAAACTCATTAATTTAAGCACTCGCTTTATCAAACTTGATACATAATATACTATTATATATATATTACATTACAATGATGTAGACCGTTTTGAACTACTGTACGAATTTGTTGTACTGTTTTTTTAATTTTGAGTACTGTGCGAATTTTCCCTACCTTTTTTAAATTTATGTGCAAATTTTCTTTAAATACGGGGTAAACCAAAACTTATCATTGTCGTAAGGCCAAGTCTAGCACGTCCAAATTTTTTTTTTTTTAAGTCAAAAATTGTACCGTTTCCTTCCCATTTCTGTCACATTCCAAGACCTAACCCACCTTCATATCAAATTTCATTATAATCCGTTCAGCCATTAAATACTTTCAAAAATTACGAATGCTGAATTTTGGGGTTGTAATTTAAAAAATCCTTTTTGGGTCCAGCTGTTTGGTCTGGAAGTTGATAAATCAGGACATGTAATTATACAGGGTATACCAAAATGTTAATGATATCCTTTAAAGTTCAAAATAAAACTACAATTAATAAATAAAATTATAAAATCGGGCAAAAATGTCTGTTTTCAAAAAGTAAAAAACGACTATAAATCACCAATATATTAATATATAGTCCTTCGGGGACTTTAAGCCCGCGGACCGTTCCTACCCCTAACCCGCACAAGCCATTCAGTTGGCTTCTGGAACTTCTTAGGAAGTAAGGGTGGAACTAAAAGAGCACTTTTGTATATCTTAAAAACTAGCGATTTTTTACTGTCATGTTTTGATATTCTGATTAGTCATGAGCAGGATATTGTTGACTTTTGAGACACCCTGTATATGCACAGATAGAGTTTAAATTTGGTTTTCTTCGGTTTCATTAAAACAAATCGTCATAAAATATATCTGACAACCATGTCAGGGCAGGATTTATATATTGTTTTGGCATTTTAAGGAAAAGTTTTACTTTCAAGTTTTTTGTATTTTGTAATTTAAAATTTCAAATGTCCCTATATAAATCAATCTTTTTATGTTTTTCTAGGATTTTTTGATGTTTTGTTATTTTCTGAAATTTTCATTACTAGATAAATCTTAAATATATTAAATTTAATAAGCTTTATGCACCAAAGGTTATTAAGATGATTACGCCCAGAGAGCAGTGGTAAAATTTTAAGAGTAAAATTAAACTAAAGATTATAAACTTGCTAGGATTTCTAAAAATATCCTAAAACGAAACTGTTTTTTTCATTTTGAGGAATTTAAACCCCCTAAACCCCCTACCTACGCCTCTGGAAGGAGTTATGACAAAATAAGAGCCAAGTGAAAAATAAAATGATTAATAAACTAAATGTTTAATAATAAATAATTTTAATTTATACCCTATTATTTAAGGGTTTGCTATTTTTGTTCATTAAATATTTTCTAAAATATTTAAATTATAAATAAAGAAATATTAAAAAATGATTTTTAATAGTTTTGTAATGAAGCAGTGCGAGAAATTTTTTTATGACGCGAGTTCTTACTATTTTTTGTCGTACTGTGCTATTATAAATAAAAGCTTTTTAAAAACAATGTTATCATTTTATTTTATTACTTTTTATTCATATGGGCACTTTTTTTTAGTGACAACGAATCAGACTCTGACGACGACATCGAGATGAGCGTTATCTCCAAGGGCCGTCACGACATCGTGATCAAACAGGAGGGCAAAGTGTCGGGCGGATTTTTCAAGGTCACCAAAAAACAGTACCCCATGTACCCGTTCAGCGAAGAGAAAATCAAGTGCGACGAATATGGAGAAATAATCAAGCCTGAAGACTACAAGCTGGCGGATGTGGTGCCTGAGGAGGACAACAAGGAGAACATTGTGATCAAGAAGGAGGAGGAGGATATAAGTACGTTATAATAATAATAATTAGGGATGCACCGGATCGGGTATTTTGCCGATCCGGCCGGAACCGGAATTTCGGCCGCTGGCCGGACCGGATCGCCGGAATTCCGGCCGGATCGGGACCTAAATTTAAAATGTATGTGCATGCCTATTTTTATCTGTAAAACATTAAAAATATTGAGGCTGATTTATTTTTACTTTTTTTTTAACTAACTACAGTATGCAGAGTGTTTATTACTATTAATTTTACCTAGATAGAAATTACTGTTTATTTAAATATTAGCAGCCACCTGCCAATAATAAAAAAATTAAAAAGAAGTCGGGGAACCACAGCCGCCGGTCTATCATAGACAAGGAAACACGCACACCCTTTACTGTTGAACCAAAAATATATCTGGTCGAAAGTCGGGGCATCCCAGACGCGAAAGTCGGGGAATCACAGACGCGAAAGTCGGGAAATCCCAGACGCCTGCTAATCATAAGCAAAGGCACAGGGCTGCAGGTCATTTCATTATTCATTTAAAAAAAATTTTTTTTGCATATATTTGAATTTAAATTATATTAAAAATTTAAAACTTAAACATTTCCAAAAAGTTCCGAAAATTCCGGCCGGAAAGCGATCCGGCCGGAACGGTAGTTTCGGCCAATTGGCCGGATCGGCCTGATTTAGTGGTACCGCCGGAATTCCGGTGCATCCCTAATAATAATAATAAATACATTTATTAACCCAAAAAACACAATGCGGTTTACAGAGGGAACTCTAATTAAATATACATATAAATACAATATAAATTAAATATACATATAAATACAATAAAAATATTGTCACCTATTAATTATTAAAACACAAGTACATTCTGTACATATACACAATACATAAATTAGCTTGGCCTAAAGTGATTTTTTATTACATTTATATTCAATAAATCATACTTTTTTACAAGTTCGTTATATTTATCGGCTCCTTTATACAAGATAGACGATTTTCCAAAATTGGAGGTAAAAGGATACAAATCTAATAAATTGTTGTTACGAGTATCATGAGCGTGTATGTTATTTCGTATTGTAAGAGTTAGATTGGAATGTTTTTTTTTGTTAAGATTATTAAAAATAAAGGCGGTTGTCTGAAAGTAATAAATATTTTCGACTGGCATTATATTAAAATTTTTATACAAATCTGAGGTACTGTATCTTGTGGGCAATGAGTACAGGTTTTTTATGGCCTTGTTTTGAAGGGTTTTAAGGGGTGTTATTACATTATTAGAAGTGGGAAACCATACTGCCGTGAGGTATTGAAGATGGGAGTGAATTAGTGAGAAATATACAGATCTTAAATATTTGTTTGGGATGCAGTAGTTAAGTTTGTGCAGAATTCCAATGGGTCCAGCAATTTTTTGTCGAACTTTTTGAACATGATTAAAAAATGATAGGGTTTCATCAATTTCCAAACCCAGAAACTTTACACAAGAACTGTAATTGAGGACACCACCTTCAATACCTAGCGGTTGATTATTCAAGTGTTTTCTTTTACCTATAAACATATAAGATGATTTTTGTATATTTAAAGTAAGTTTATGAGACTTAAGCCAGCTTAAAAGGCTTATAAAAGGAATTTTCTTTATCTGTGTATGTTTTTTTGTGCGGGGAGACCGTTTTTGCATTTTATCTATTTTTAATAATAATAATAATAAACTTTATTGCAAAAGGGTCTAGGTTCAACAAAAGTTGTTCTTCCACCTAAACCATAGAATTAGCTAATAATAATAATTGTTCAAACATGGTATACAATAAAAATAAAACAAAATCAGGTACATTGTTGCTCAAGTAGTACAGTTTACAGATATTCTTTGTTGATGGAGCTTATTTTTACTATTTTTACAGTATATTATTAGTTTTTGGGCGCCTACAGTGTTGAATGTAGAAAAATGGTAAACTTTTTAGACAATATTCGCAAATAGGTTTATTTTAACTTTTTAGACCCATTTCTATGTTCCATATAATCCGGTCTCTACTTATAAAAAACTTTTTTAGCTGAAATCCCGGAAATCCCCACAAAATGCATCATTCTAAACCGTACAGTCCAAGTAAACTGCCAGGTTCAGTACATAGACTTTGAAGGCAGATCCGATGGTGAATCCCTAATGAAAATTTTGTCACAACTAAGACCTAGAAGAGTGGTAATAGTACGTGGTTCTCCAGAAAACACTAAAGTCATAGAAAACCATTGCACTGATATTTTGCACACCAGGGTTTTTGTGCCCAGCAAAGGAGATACCATTGATGCCACCAGCGAAACGCATATCTACCAAGTAAGATATTATCGGTTCAACCTTTTAGTATAGTGTCAAGGCATATGGGAAAAGGTCGTCTCAATAATGGTTTTTCGATATTTTTTACAGGTTAGGCTTACGGATGCGTTAGTTTCCCAACTGAACTTCCAAAAGGCTAAGGATGCGGAAGTTGCATGGATAAACGCTCAGATTGTTTTAAGGGAGAGCCAATTGGATGCTAAAAGGATGACAATTGATAATGAACCCATGGAAGGTGAGGTTTTTTTATAAAAATACTTTACAACGCTTTAAAATATTTTTTTTCTTTTTTGCAGAAGAGGACGACTTTAATGTTCTAACCCTGGAACCATACCCAGGCGAAATTCCCCATGACCCAGTGTTCATAAATGAACTAAAACTATCAGACTTTAAACAAGTCCTTGGCAAAAATAGTATTCCTTCAGAATTCTCAGGAGGCGTGTTATGGTGCAGTAGTGGCACCATTGCATTAAGAAAAGTAAATAATTTCAAAAAATTGTTAAAATATTTTTAAAATTTTATTATTTTTTAGGTGGAAAATGGCAGAATAATGATAGAAGGTTGTATTTCAGAAGATTATTACAAAGTCAGAGAACTTCTGTACGAGCAATATGCTGTTTTATAGCATATTTCCAGCATTTGAAAAAGATTATTTTTTTATTTAAGGTTTTAAGATAATGTCGGGTTTTTTAAATAAATGTCTGATTTTTAATTTCTTTATTTATTCCTTATAACAAACCTATTTAATGTATCCCCAAAATGGCCCATATGTGATAGAGGAGGGTGTTTGGAGCATAAACAAAATTTCAAAACAATTTTTGACACAATAAAATTTGCGCAGGGGAGTACAAAAAACAAAATTTTTTCGACATACGAAAAAACGGCTAAGAAAAAAATTACAAGTCATACTCAACGCGTCGCTAAGAGAGAGAGGTTGAATCCCTCTCGAAATGTGAGAAAAAGTTGTGTTTTGATATTTTTTTAGAAATCGTAACAAGCTTATGATCTTAATACTTTTAGTTTACTCTTATATTTAAAGTAATATAATATTTTAACACTCCCCGAATATTTTTTCAAATAAGGAAAAATCAGAGCACAACGTCCATATAACGCTAAACGTTGATTTTAGGGTGGTTTACCCCTCGATTGTTTATTTTGTTTCCATAAAAGCTGTTTTAAATGTATGATATAAATAACAGCTTTTATGGAAACTCAATTAAACAACGCATCTGCTGCGAGCTGAAGTTAACATGGTTGACAGATGTATTTTTTGACAGTTTGTGTAACATTTTTTTAACTACATATATATTTATATTAACAACTTTTTTATTATATTTTTTTTTACTTTTAATCTTTAAAACGACATTATAAAATTGTTTTCCAAAAATAAATTGTAAATAATTTTTTTTTATAAATAGGCTCAAAGCATTAACATAAAATTCAATTTTTAAACCCTTGAGTCATAATTATTATTAACATTATTATTAGTATTATTAATATTAATTAATTATATTATTATCAATAATATTAATTAATTATAAATCAAAAACTACTCGTCAAAAAAAAAAGGTTGCATACTATTTAACTATAGTGCGCCATTTTTCACTTACATATACTTATTGTTTTTATATATTTATCTTTCTTTAACCCTTTTTGCAATTCTCCAATGTAGGTACCATATAAAAAATATTCAGTAGGCCATGAAAATACTCCCGGAAATGTAATTTGTAACCTAATATTTCAGTATTCCTTTGTTTCTCACTTAATTTCTCCATTTCCGTTACCGAAACTTAAATCACAGCCGAATTCCCGCATTTTAATTCAAAATCCGAGTCGGCCGGTGGCTTGCAGCCAATGAAATCACGTGCTTGCCCCCACCACCACTTATTTCATTCATCAAGTTATCTTCGGAGCTAAGCAAATGACTTAAGCTTCCATCTCTTTTTAATCGTGTGCAGTTTGCTGGAGTGTCAGTGTGTCGTTCGCGTGTCGTACCGTTTTTACTTGTGTTTTTACACGTTTTCTGTGTATTTTGTTGTGTTTTTGTCCGTGGAAATCATACGGAAACACCTGAAGGAGCTCCCAAGAAGTGAGTACTAAATTAGATGCGAATTTGTGCAGGTTTTCTGTGATTTGTTTACTGTTTTATAACCATAACAACTCAGGCTGAAAATAAAACAAGTTGTTTTAAACAACGAAGAACTATGTTTTTTTAAATGTTTTTCTGAGCATTCTACAAGATGCAATTTTAAATTATTTATACAGAAATAACTTTTAATTTTGCATTTTGGTTACCTGTAAATGGCTTTTTACCTAGATGCAATAAATGTGCCAAAAGAACTTGTACATCAATAAGAATTATCCGAACTATTTTAATTACTTTGACTGGTGTTTTGCCAAAATTTATTAGATCAAAGCACGTTTATTATTTATTAGGGTTTTATACATCGTAAATGTCAAATTGTGCACTTGTTCAAAGCGCAATTTAAAGGGGGAGGTAGTTGAAATATCCTTGCAAACTTAACAGGGCAGTATTGAGATTTTAAAAGATAAAATATGAACAAATTCACTGTCTGCTTTCTGTGTAGGTACTTATGTAGATGTTATCGTAATTTGTTCATTGACTACCTTTCAAAATATTTCCACGAAATGTCGTTTCGTGTGGATTTTCATTTAGTTTATAACGACCCTATTATTTAACCCTCATCGTGTAGTGATAATTATTTAACAAGTATTAAATTACAACATAATTATCGTGGATTAACTTTCATTATGTTGTAGGGAGATTAGATTTACAGGGTGGGAAACAAGCAATTACGATTTTGAATAAATTAAGGGCGCTAATTTCAAAAATAGAAAAACATAATGTAAGATTTTGCATGAAAACTGTATATAAAATGTGCAATTTGATTCTCATAGTTTTTGTTTACGTTTTACATTACATAAAATCCCGTGTAAATCGTGTATTATCTAAATTAAATATGATTTTTGCAAAGAAAACATGCTGACTGAAATAAGATCTACCTTCTGCGACCTTGAGATATTTCATAGCTGTTCCTGCTAAGAAAAAAATTAGATTTTGTGTTGTAAAAGTTTCACTAAAAATCTTGTTTAATTAAAAAATCAATGATTTAGGTATTTTATCTAGATGCGATATAGTTTAATCTGTAGAGATACCTACCATGTAAGCCTATATAAAATTTACGAATGAATGATTTTTTTACATTACCTACCTACAAAAATATGGAGACAAAATAATTAATTTAATTTATGATATTTTTTCAACGGAAATTAGGAGTTTTATTCAAATTTTATTATTTTTATATTAATAAAACTTTTTAAATATAAGTAGGTAGAGTTTTTGAAATAAAACATTTAAAATATATTAAATAAACTCGAAATAGGTAGGGTACCTACCTAGTAGATACATATTTGGAGTTTATTTAATATATTTTAAATGTTTTATTTCACCTATACCTAAGTATACCTATACCTATAGGTAGGTATGATATATTTATGTAGGTATAATATATTTATGAAATAAATTTGCAAATATCCGATAACTAGGTAGGTACCTATATATGTATTATAAAAAAATTTTTAAATTAAATTATAAACTAATATGTGCACAGCCCCTAAAATCTGCAGCAAGTTCAAAAAGAGCAAAAATGGCCTAAATTTAAAATGTGCACAGTGAGAAAAATACATTTTTAACCGGTATTGAACAAATTGCTACGAAATCCAACAAATTAAACCTCCTTACTATGATTAAAGCATTATATTGTCCTTTTTAATATTCTAAATCAATGTAATTTTTCCATATCTCTTAAAATGAAGGCAACAATTGTCCGTTTGTGTGGGTTGTCGTCCGGCCAAAATTAATTTTTCCTTCATCGTGCACAAGTCAGGTTACGGTTTGGTGGCAGGTGGAGGCAGGGGGTGCAAACATGACGAGGTCTGTCAACCACCTGTTCTTGGTTTTTAGACTGTATGTGTATTTCACCCCCGCACCACCCCCTTCGATCTCCCAGCACCATAGACACTCTTTCGCTTCTTGGGTTTTTATTTTATCTTTTACCCATACGCATGTATCGAATTTCGGCTTTTACATGGTAGAAACTCTTTAAATTTCAGTGTACATGTGGCACGAAAATAAAGCAAGAATTTATACAGGGTGTCTTGCAGGGCCGGATTTACCTTTAAGCAAAATAAGCAGTTCCTTGGGGCCCCGTCTCGACGGAGGGCCCTAATTCACATAGGCCTTTAAAATGTTTAATACATTTAAACACAAATTACTGTTTAATAGGAATGAATAAACAAAACATTTTCAATACCTATAATCATTGGCAATAATATTCAATACCTAGCTAGGTAGTAGGTACCTTTGCCACAGGCTAGGTTAGTTAGGTTTTTTGGGATTTTTGTCATTTTCAATTTTTTTTACTATAATTTTCAACACATTGCTCATTTTTAACATTTATTTATACATATACAAAAAAAAATTGTCCTCATTTTTAACATTTATTTATACATATACAAAAAAAAATTTGTCCTCGCATAATTCAGATATAACAATTTTTCTTCGTGTTAGTTTTAAGAAATTCTGTTTTTTTCCAAATTTAAATGATTTTTTAAAAATTATTACTTTTTTTAAATTTATTTTTTTTACGACCACTAGGTATGTAAAAGTCACATTTCGTAATGGCATCGGTGCTTAGAAAAAGAAACTTCCCAAGCAATAATTTAAGTATTTGTTACGTATATGGGACTATTGAAGAAACTTTAAAGTGTTTTGCGACAGTCGCCGGTCTCTTTATATTACTAAGTTACGACTAAAGTGGGGAACAATTATTGAGTTCCAAAAAGGTAGCAAATATGTAACTAGCTATAAACCCTGCTACTATTTGGAACGTAGCTGCTACGTTACTAGAACGTTCCAGTATCGTTGCTAGAGCGTTATAATTACTTTTATTTATTTGTTTTTACTTCTATATTAACTGTCTTTGTCAAACTTATATTAGATTATACTATCCCTCCCTTTTAAATGGAACCAATACGGACTTGGCTTTTCAATGTCGTCGTTTATTAAATATGTACTGGTAGTTTATAACTTCCAGAATAACAATATAATGTTTAATTAGGCAGGTAAATTTATAAACCCTTTAAATTTTACTGTTGAACTTATGAATTTAGTTTTTGTAAAATAAATGCGCTTCATCAATATTTAAGTATAAACAAATTATTTATTTAATAATGTTTATAAATAAAAAAAATTTAATATTTATTATTAATTTTTTGATTTCATTATTAATACCGTCTATTGCCAACAAAATTACTATTTATTAAAAAGTAAACAACCATTTACAAACAATTAAAATAATTTATTATTTACATTACCACGTGGTACTGTACAGTAAAAAATGGCCGATAAGAAGCATTTTCCTTTGAAGTAGTTTTCGCTACTTTAAAGTTTTTTCCACTTTACGGTTGTTGTGGTTAGTACCATAAACGTTCCAAATACTAAAATAATAACTTTTAAGTTATTAACTTTGTAGTTTTTAACTCATGTTCCAGTTTCGAGATTTTAACTTGGAAAGGGACTACAAAGTAAAAATAATTATAATGTAATCTTTAGGTAGCAACCGAAAGTAACTGCTACAAATTAAATTTACTTGAAAGTTTTTTTTACTTATAACACCTTTTTTAAAGTTGCAAAGTCTTCTTGGGGGCAACCAAGTTTTACTTAAATGTTTATTACTTTATATTAACCATTTAAGGAAAAATTAAGTTACTGTTACAAAATATTGCTATTTAAAAGTTAAAATTACTTTTAAGTAAAAATTAAAGTAGCTGTTTAGTATACTTAACTAATTTAAAGTTATCACCACTTTGGCAATGGTTTTTGGAACCAAAAATGCTGCTTGGGTTTTCATTAGCAAGGCAAAACACGAATGTAAAGTGACATTTCTGTGTGAAAAGTGACAGGTCTGTGTGAAAAGAAATTGACAGCATCGTTTGACATTTGTTTCAAAATTTATATTGTATTTGTATAGATATGTCTAAATATCATTTAGGACACAATTAATTGTGTTTATATAATAAATTCTAATTTTTAGTGCCTTTATTTAAATTGTTAAGGGTCGTAGAAAAAACATTGTGTTTCACTTGTGAGAAAAGCTTTCTTCAAGCTCGTGTTAATGCACACTCGGCCTGACGGCCTCGTAAGCAACTTTAACACTTGCATTCCCTAAACAGGCATTGATAATAGGATGTTTTATCATTTATACAGCTATACAACGCGATAAGGGTAGTATAAATTATCTTAGTTTTCGACTTTTTCAGCATTTAAGTTTAAAAAACTTGGTACAGTTGTATTAATACAACTGTTTTGAAAATCAGACATCTAAGAAGGGGTCTTATGGTAACAAAATAAACAAGGCATCTAGCAGCTATCTAAAGTAAACATGGTTGACAGATTTTTCTTACAGTTTTTGTCAAAAATCCCAAACTTTAAAATTTAATCATTATTTGGTGATTATTAACACATTTTTTCTGTCAAAAACAAAAATATGGCGAAATAAGTGTTAAACTGCCAGATAGATACCCTCAATTATTTGTATTTAAATGTCAAAGTAGGACAGCGTTTCAAGATTTTGGATATTTTATAAAATAATTTACAAGATCTTTTTTCTGATTTTTTTTTTAATAAATTTAACAGGAAAAAGGAGAACTTTTTATAAAGCTTTTATAAAATTTTTAAGCTTATTGAGGAAAAACAAATTTTTTTTGATTAATTTTAAAATTTTCTTAGAGTTAATAAAAAAATATCACAGAAATTGTTGTGACAATTTAGTCTAAAATTTGTAGCAAAATACAAAATGGTAAGAGAGGTATACCGACCCTTGTTAATTTAATTTTTTAGTTGAACCCTTTTATACTTTTATTGACAAAATGCACGGTTTCGACACATTTTTATAGTCCCCGGTACTTTAACCTAATTCCTTTGATTTTTTATTTATGTTTATCAGTTGCTTAAATACGTTTATAAAATGTTCACTAGATACTTTACTTTTGATTTCTCAATGAAAATAAAATGTTGAATGACTCGAAATTTAATACCTTGTGTCGTTTAATTTGGCTGACTAAACGTTATTTGTGCATTTGAAACGTACCGAACCTTTATAGTTAAATAATAAATCTTGATTTGAATGTTGTTGAGCCATAAGTTATACTTGTAGTACAAGGAATTAAAGAAAATTGTTGCCAAAAGTTGTGTGATTCAGTTTTTGAAAATATAGTAAATCAATTGTTGGAAATAGAAAACTATGTTTAGAAAATTAGTAAAACCGCATTGATAGGTAGCTTTATTTTAATTTTTTTTTTAAGTTTGCATAAGAAAAAATTTTTTGTAATTATACACCCATTTCCTGCGTGAATGCCATTTTTTTGACAATCAAAACATTTTATCAAGAATGACTTTTCTTCTAAAAATCACAAATATAAATGCCTCTTTATTATCTTCTCGGGACAAACTCGATCCTGGTAAAAAAAACAAAGAAAAATTCATAATTTTTGCATTGATTATGTCTTCACTCAACGATTTTTGTATTTAGACTTTTATATTACAAACAACTATTTGTTATACAATTTAAAAAAAAAGTTAAACATGAAGGTACTTTTCATTTAAATTAAATTCATGTTTTCCTAATTTTAAACACTATAGATAAAATTGAAAATTTTCGTATGTCAATCTTATTTTTTCATGATCAACACTTTTTAGTTAGTTTTCTTCGAAAAATAAAAAATATGGGGACATACTGTACGGGATTTCGTTTTATAGAGTTTACAAAAAGTTTTGGTTTAATAACACTTAAAAAATCTAAATTGTACCTTTTTCACAGCCTGCACAGGTACATTAAGGTTACAGGAACATAATCGGGTATTTTATGGTCCAGTCTTAAAAAATGGGAAAAGGGATTAAAAGGAATGACCAAATAAAACAATAGCTAAAATTTCGTTGCCTTATCTTCCCATGTTTTAAAACCATTTTTTAAACATTGGAAACGAAAAGCTGTAGAGCATTACTTTTTATGAAAAAAAAGTATGTATAATAATTGTGGAGCAAACATGCAATGTTGTATATACATACTTTTTTTAAAACATTTAATAATTCTGTACTTACTTGCATTAAAATTACCGTAAACACGGGTGGCTTTAGCTCACTTTCAAACTTAATCTTAACATTTTTGTAGTTTTAACAATCATAAACATTAAATATTGTATACCAAAATTTGAGTCTTGAGTTGCTCTTTTATAATAACTATGTTATAATCCTTCATAGGGCTGAGTTTCAAAAATAAAAATTAAAAACTGGGTGTGCAAAGTTACCCCCTGGTTGCGGGCTACTTTGTCTCACAGTGTATTTTCCCTATAAAATTAACTCAATATTTTATTTTATTTTTATTAGACATAATATGTTAGCATCGACGTATAGCAATTGCAAGGGATTACCGATAAAAACAATAAAAAATCGACCTATAGTTAACTAAGGATCATCATTCCAAAGAATTGCGCATAATATAGAAATTAAAACGGGTGTATTTTAAGAGTTTTGCACTGATGCAAATTTTAAAGTGTAATAAACCCCATTTATTTTTTTAAAACACTGATTTTCCTGTAATATAAACGCAATAGAATCGCTCAATTGACAGGTTTAGACCAACAAATTATAAATGTTAATTTTATCGAGCGCGAAAAGATTTTTCATAAAAGGGCTAAAGTCACCCGCTGGGTGCAAAGTCACCCGTGTTTACGGTAACGAGTTTGCGATATTTTGTCAGGTTTAACGTTTGACACATGTTATATTATAGGTTATGTACCTACCTACATTAATTTATTCTACAGTGAGATTCACCCATATAGGCTTATGTTATAATATGAAAATTATTATGCGCTTGAAAAAAAGACAATTTTTAATATTCTTATATTGTAAATTAGAAAAAGTAAATTAATTAAAAAAGTAAGATTTTTTGGGCTTTGTTATAAAATCATAAGTTATGATTCATAACGTTAATTAAATTAAATTAAAAATAATTTTATTTTCAGATGGAGTTAGATTCTCTGGATAACTCTTTCGACTATATGGAGGAAAATTTTTATGAAACACCACCTACCAAAAATCCGCAAAAGCGGAAGGTGACATTTAACACTCAAATCTACCAGGTAAGTTTTTATTATTTTCCAAATTTAATGGCCGCATGCTAATGGGGCCATGGGATAGAAATATTTTGCGATATTCTTAGAGCTACAAGATTTTTTAGACAAGAATTAATGGTGTTTTAGTTACACTAAAATAACATCTTATTTACTAAATCTACATATATCCAATTAAGCCCCCATAAGCTTTAAATCTAATCTCTTAAAACTCCACTAAATCTTCCCAAACTTCACAAAAGCTTTGAATTAACAAGACAGATGGTACCTGTTTTAGAAAACAATTAAAAAAGCGTCGTAATTTCAGTCGACCTTAGCAAAAGTGGCGAGTAAAATTTTAAAAATAAATCGCACCCCCACGTCAAAGTAATGGATTATAGAACATTGTAACACTCAATTTAGCCCGTCTGCTCGTGATTTATGCGAGACATTATTGGCTTTTTTCACCTATGGAATTGGGTAATGAGTGACATTTATTACGCTACCAGGATTTTTTTCTGAAGTCAAAGTTCTGTGTCGTTAAGTTTTTAGAGATTTTTTTAAAATCCGTTTTGGATGCAGCGAACACATATTTTGTGTATAGCATCGATATGAAAAATGTATACGTATACAATACCTATATTGTTTAGCTTAATTAAGGTTGTATTTCCATTTAAAGAGTTTCGATAGAATGTGTTCAAAATGAATTATATGATTTTGTGAGGCATTGGTAGGGTTGCCCGAAATCAAAATGCCTTAAATAGAAGAATGAAAAATATAGGATACAAAAATATATAGAATATTTAAACAAATAATTATAATTTATTGCATTAGGTATAATTCTTAATTTATAAAAAATAAATACATATTTAGGTACCAAAGATATTTTGTTAAATTAAAATAAAAATATATTAAAATTGCATTGCATGATTATACATTATATATAATAAAATAAATATATTTTAAATCCAACTCAATTAAAATATTTATTAATAAATACAATAATATAAACTGAACATGGCAACTATACTTTTTTTAAATTTAAAACGCTGAAATTTAGAAGATTTTGCTTCTAAAGTCTATTCAAATCCAAGCTGGTCTAAACAAAAAAAACTGATAACTCGTTTCTATTGGTCGATTCTGATGGCGTGACTCGGATTGTGAGCTCTTATTGGTCGATTCGGAGGATTGTGTTTACATTTAGTCCAGCTTGGATTTTAATATACTTTAGAGCATAGAATATAACATTTTTTGTTTAATCTTCAGTGTGACCCATTTATTGTGCGATTTTAGCCGGTTTTATTTTAAAGTGGGGATCTCGATAAACTGTATTTTTGGAGCCATATTTTTTACAAAATATGTCAGTTTTTGAGAATAAATTTTTAAGAATTCGCATTAAAAACATCTAAGGTACTGTATTCCTTAAAAGGACTCTAAATATTTAAGTTGGAACGATTTTGTAGCCAAATTAAAAATAATCAAAAATGTGACAGTTTTAAATATTGATTTTTTCATTATAACAACAAATTAAAAAATTTTTATTCATACTTTAATTTAACACTTAAAAATGGTTGTAAAATTACTACATTCTTACTAAGTAGTTGCATAGTAAAATTACAAAATGTTGTATTGTATTGCAATTTAAATACGCATTTGTTGTAATATTACATTTTGTTATAGCCAAAGTACTAAACAGGTCCCAATTTTACAATATTTTTGTTTTTGTCACATACTTATAGTAATTTTAAAATTCTGTTTTGTAGAATTGAATTTGAAATTTTGTAAAATTTCTATAGGTACATATTCGGAATTTAATTTTACTAAGATAATCAATAAAATTACAAAATAAATTTGCTATTTGAATTACAATAAGTGTGAAATATACAAATCATTATTTATTTTATACAACTTCTGTTTGAATTTTACTATATATCATTTTACTCATGTATATACAATGTATATACATGATATATCATTTAAAAATTTTAAATTAAAATGTTAAAATTCAAAAATAAATTTTAAAATAATTATCGTGTATACACGATTACACGAATCGATTGCAGTTGTTAAAATTTTTGACAAAAAATTACATTATTTACTATGATTTGTTTTCGTAGATTTTATTAAAATATATTGGTAAACAGTATGAATTAAATATTCTCACCCTGGGTCTACCACCTATCTATAAAGGGTATGCGTTAAATTTACATATACATAAGTATTTTTTTTAAATTTATATTAAAATAAATTTATCAATAAGGTTTTATAAGTAGCTCGGCCGGGCAGGGTAGTGCCTAAGCACAATTCCGCGCTCGATTTTTCACACCCGAGTTACATGCATTTTATCTGGCGCCACTGCATATAACTATCGATTGCCAAACCTTGGTTTTATATACATAGCTATAGCTAGACTTTGATGTATGCAACTAATTTGACATAACCTTATATTGACAATAGTATTATAATATATAAATATTATAAATGCATTTTAGTTTCTCAGTAAACTTACATACTTGTAAGTCTTGCAAGCGTTCTCATGCATGCACACACATAATCTGTTTTTAGTCATTCTCCTTTTTCATTATCATTATTTTTTGCTCGGTTTGTGCAGTTTCTGGCTCAAGTTCAATTAACTCGAATGTGGCCGAGAGGGCATAACTATAGTTATAAGTGCGTGTAGCAAAACGGCATGCAGGCAGCAGGCCTTTCTTGTCCTGAGTGATCGCTATTTCTGGACATCGCGGACCGTTATTGTTTTAAGTCGTCGCAGTGGCTCTTGCTGTAGCTTTACAATTTACGCGGTTTTCTTGGTTATGGGTGATCATGCGTCGTGCCACTTTCAGAGCAAGTCCTGTTTAAAGTCGTTCCAGGAATTTTGGCATAAAAAGTTGTCTTATGATAAATAATTCGATTTTTGAAATTATTATTGCATTAAGGTATTTTTGCAGTTAAACTTCTTTGCGGACAACGTAAACAAAAGTTGGAACGGAAATGGGGGCGCGCATTTTTAAAATTGTAAGCTTAAAAAACAGCTTGAAATCTCATAAAAGCTTAAAGAAGCTAAAAAGCTTAAAAACCCTTAAAGCTCGAAAACCAAAAATCATTAAAACCTTCCGGAGAATTTTGGAAATAAGTGAGTTTTACATTTATGCATACTAGGGTGGTCTTTAAAAAGCTTCGTTTTGATGAAAAAACACTGGAATTTTTAATTTAATTTTTAACGACCACCCTAATGCATACACATTCATCTACATTTTCATCCAATTTCTTCGCCACTATATTTTAAGTTACCAACACAATCTTTTGTTTTTATACCAATATTCCAATATGGCGGCTATAGGAAAAACAAAAGATGGTGATGGTAAGTTATCATTGGTAACTTAAAATCTAGTAGGCGAAAAGAATTACAAATTGGATGAAAATGTCTATGTTTTGAGAGGTTTTCAGTTTTTTTATTAAAATGTGATTTTAATAGACTAATTTCACTTAAGTTTCGTAATTACAAGTCTCAAAACCTTAAAAAAGCTCAAAAGTTTAATAAAGTTTAGAAACTCAAAAGAATAAATGTTTCGGGTAATTAAAAATTGCCCGAATTCGAACAAAATTGTATAATTTAAAATTGCTTTATTCATTTAAATGAAACATAAAATTATCTTTTCGAGTAACAAACTTCCATAATTGAAAAATGTTCTTCCATTCTCTTTAAAAATAAATTGGTCAAAAATTAGTAGTTTTATATGAAAAATTTACTATATCTTAAAACTGTTCTACTTTTATAACTACTTTGGACGATATTTTTGGATTTAGCGTACAATTTTACATAGGAATTGACTGCTAAATGTCCGGGATACAAATTGCTGTTGACGAGCATTATTAGTGGCTGCTTTTTGGCTATAGCGATTGTCATATATGACAATTAGTCATTTTTGACTATTTCATTTTTAGAGAGTTGAATCAGTGTTGTTGAATGATTTAAATCACTGGTTTAAATCGCGATTTAAACAGATTGATTTTTTTTATTTAAATTATGCTTTAAATAAAAAATGACGTGCTGTAATAAGGATAAAATTTAAGAAAAACCCGTTAAACTAATTCGTAGAAAACTTATAGGTTTTTGAAAAAAAGGCTCAACATGTGCATTACGGGGTTTTACAAGAGTAAAAAAGATTTATTAATTTTTTTTTTGAAGATCCATTGTTTTACAATGCAGACCGACTATTTATTTACCACTGGAATTTTCTTAAAATGTTTTTAGCCTACAACATGTTAAAAATACTTTTTTCTACTCCCACCTTTAAAACGCCCTTTATCGTACATGTTTCCATGACACTAAGTGACCTTTTAAATACACATTGACAAGTTGTGGCTTTATGGCGTTTTAGTCACGGGCTGAAGTTAGCAACAGGTTTTTAATCACGGGCTAAAGTTAGTTTTATGTGAGTTGACAGTTGTCAAATGTCATACAATTGTTAAAATAAAGTGCCTTTCTTGTAAAATAATACTAAATGTGAAAATTATTTTATTATCTCAATACAAAAATACAAAAGTATTAAATAGTTTCTCAACGCCAATATTTGAAAAGTTTATATGAACATTGTTCTGATCTTTTAATTTCGCCGGCAGTAAACTATAACTTAAATTCGGGCACGGACCACAGTAAAGTCCTCATAAAACATTTTCTTTACTTTCACTGTGAAAAACTGTCAATTTTCAAGAAATACATTTCGATTAATGACCTTTATAATATGTGTTTATAAAATGTAAAAATGTGACATTTGACGGTGACACACAGATTCCCCTACACACAAAAAAATCTAACATAGTACCAAGAACAGCGCTGTAATTGAGTGCATTAAAATTGAAGCAATCTAAATTGTTATTTGCTCAATTAATTACTATTAAACCAAAATAGGGAAATATTTTGCCTAAATGTCAAAGAATTTATTGCTTTAAATGTATACATAGTATACATAGTATACATACAATACGTAGTAACGTTATTAAATAAATCAAATTAGTATTTAATGCAA